CTGAAGATTACATGAATATACGTGAATAATTCAACCGCCACAGAAGCCAACTCTGAACTCAATTTTGATAATTCAGATGCCGAGCAACTTTTCACCAACATGCAAAGCTTTCCGAGGCCAAAATGTGTTTGGGTTTTATTTACTAAAGCGCCCAGCCGATTTGCCATTCAGTCCATTTCAAATGAACAAGTAAAACACGGAGAAATACAAGTTACATACATCCAGTGGGTGATGAGAAGTGAAATGAGTAAATTAATACACACGAGTTTGCTGCACATTAAGTGGTGTGAATGTTGATTCTCATTCTATGTGAACTCTTCTCGCCCTTTTGTCCATTTCAATGAGTTGGACTCACAATGTAATCGACATACACTGGAGAAACTCCACCAACAACACTAATTTACACTCTCACCACTGACCTAAATAGATTTTCGCTGCACCCCAACTCCAGGTTAAAGCTCGCCCTCGAGTGAGTGCTTTAAACTTGTCACCATTTGTATCGCTGGAATTCACGGCGACCTAATCCGACTCATGGAGCGGCTAAATCAGCTAATGAAAGTATAGCACAAATTGAGCTTTTCTCGTATATAATTCACCCTTGCCAAAGCTCCCTCACTTTTGGATGATTGCGCTTTCGGAAACCCTGACGAATCACCCGCATTATCCCCTAAATTCACACCCGGAAAATCAGGGTTGTTCGAGAAATTGAGTGAAGAACTAAGCCGAAAATAAAGAGCATAGTCAAGTTGATGAAACAATATGTGTGGAATATAGTTAAACTACACAGCACAGAGCCATATGTATAATGGCTACATACAGTGGCGTCTGAAATGAGAAGATAGCGAACAATTTTGTATGAGAATTGTTTGACGCATTTTTGCTAACACTCCAAGTTTTGGGGGTAAAATGAGATGAATTCTTAAGCACTTGGCTTCATTTTAATCAAATTTATTAGCAAAAATTTGCATCAAATTAAATACAAATGTTTATATGGCCTTAATAATTCTGCCGCCAGTGTATATGTATAAACAGATCTCAACCCGCTTGAATGGAATTCTCTGCAAGTGAACGGCAGCTATTCTGCAAATTCAATTAATATATTTTCCACCCTAATTGCCAATTCATCCATAATGTGGCTTTCAAGGCGAAACCAGATCACATAATTTGTCCTTTGTACTAAGATACAATGTACAATTTGCAGAGACTCAACATTGCACTACTCAAGTCAATGATAATAATTCCATATTTCAGTTTTCCACCGCTCTTGTGCAGTAATAATATCTCAATTACGTCAAAATCAATAATTTCTACTAAGTTCAGAATATTCCTTGGCTTATTAAACTTCATAGAAATACGCTGGGTGAGTCTAAAATCTGTTATATTAGGGATGAAAATCATATTTGGCAAACAAAGTCGACAAAGGGCAATTAATCAGGGAATTTTGGTGGTACGATTTATTAAAGAAAATGCTTTTCTGAAGCCAGCCTTAAAGAGACTTTTCCACTCTTCTCACAAATATCATGTAAATCGACAAAACTGACACTTTTACATGACACTTCATATCGTGTATCTCGCATTTTTTCGCGCCATGATTTTGTGGGCCGTACAAAAAATTGATTTTAACCACCAAGTTGACGCGTGGAAAATTCTTTCTCCGCTGCAATTTATCTCTGGGGCGAAAATTCTCTCCCGTCGTACACAATATGAATGGTGGGCGCGTTGTGTAAAAAATGGGTGAAACCCACGGAAAAAAAGAAGCAACGAGAGTGTTAAATAAGGTGTAGCGAAATGGCATGAAGAAAAATACCTCACGCACTTTCTTTTCATTTCTCAAAATTGAAATGTATTGGTTACATTATTTCTCATGACACGCTCTTGTTTATTAACATTCCTCTTCCTGTCGCCCCACTCTGCGATGTAATGTGTACCTTCGTACGTGGGGAGCTTTCGAAAGCTCCGACGATATGCAAAGAAACCCCATTTTTTGCCGCCTCGGGTTAGTTGTATGTATACATGTGGAATAAAAGAGTGTAAATTGACGCTATTCTGGGTATATTTGCACTGTTGATACGGCCGAGGGATACAGAGTGAGGGATGTACTTTGCGCGCTGAACAGCTCTCTCTCGCATGTGACAATGCGAATCCCTGTGCATGCGATGTCTCTGGGGTGCGATGGAAATGGGTCGACCAGAGTGAATTTGTGGAATTCCTCATATATAGAGAGATGCCATCAATGCTGAGGATTCGTGAAGTGTGGGTGGGAATTGTGAAACACTCCACTCGTACTTAAGATTACTGCCGTTGGCAGTTTGCTTAAATTCACCATCGTAAGTGCGCTCATGAGGCGGAAAAGGCCCCTTTCCTGCCTCATTTCCCGCGCTCACGCGAGGTGAAAAATCTGCCCCTGCGGACCATCAGGAAGAAACTTGCCCATTGTTCACACAACACATACATCACGTTGTCTTGTGGTCCTCACGATGGATGTCATCAACTTGTGTTACTTCCATTAGCAACTTTTCCACTTTCCACCTCCCGCCAGTCAAGGGGCTGCCCAATCTGGCGAGCAGTCGCACAATCCCAGAGGACTTGGCCTCCTTCTGGCTGTCTGAATTTTGCATGAACATTCGTCTCGACATGAAGACAAGCTGACACACAGAATAAGCTTGTTAGCAATTTCCTGCGGAATCCAATGCCAAGGGATTTCTTTTAATATCGCGCAAGAACTTCTGCAATCATTCGCAAGTGTTTCTCTGCCACTGCAAGAAGTGAAAAGAGACCCTAAACAGTGGATGATCACACACACTTTCCTCAGCGCTCCACCCCTTGATTCTGTCATTCCACTCAGTGATAATTCCATTGCGGAAAATGTCTAGCACCTCGAGTCCCGGAGGGAAAGTTAGTGTCTAACAGAATTTGCGACATTCTACCGTCAACAGTGAATGTTTGATTACACACAGTCACTCCGGGTTGAAGGATATTAAAGCGAAGAGTTGAGAAGACAAGACAACATGTGTGCATCAGTCAATTAAATATGCACAGTTGCAAATTGATTTCCCTGAGTTAATCGATCAACTACAATGCACCGTGAAACAGAGCAAACTTCCCCAGATACTATAAGTATCAGTGCCAGGAAGCATCGTTGGCATGTGAGATTTCCAAGGAGATTCGCTCCGTATTTGTCAAAAGCAAACATCTTCATCTCTCTGGGTGCAAGAGCGGAAAAAGCGCCGGTCGGAGGGAATCTAATAAAGCAATAAGATAAGATGCTCATTTGCCATCCGTCTCTTCCCATTCTTTGCCAATTTGAAATTTGTCGACGAACATTCTGCTCTGGGTCCATGTGAAAACTTATAGGGAAGAGATGAGCTGTTTTTGCACATCTCTGCATGGAAGAACTACTTTTTTCCATTCCATCGGGTATGAGAAATGTCGAGATCTGTCGGACGGAAGAAGTTGCTTGAAAAATGTCTGGTGTTTCGCTTCATGTGGATGATTTCATTCGGATCCGGAGATGCGACAGTCAATAATTCATCTGTATCAAAATTTCAATGGGACATTGGGTGAGAATGTGAAGGAAGAAGTCACAGAGAAGCAGTTTCTCTTCCACATTGGAATATTAAAACACATCCCCACATGAATAAAATGCTTCACAGATGCCAAAGTGGTAATACCTATCGGAGTTGAGGCTGCTTCGGATGTAGAATGCTGTCCTCTGTGGGAAGAGGTTGAAATGGTATCTGATCTATCGAAATTGCCTTATCGTCCGCACCCATCTCTCGGCTTTTCAGCTGGAGAGAGAGAACACTTGTCTCCCCAAGGAAGTCAGTGGTCAGAGGTCTTTGTTCTGCGGCAATATTGGCAACTTTCTGCAGAGGATGAAGAAAATCAATATTGATTGAAATTTAAGGCTCCCCGCTATCATGCAATATCGTGCGGGAAACTCCCACGGGGCGGGGGACTGTCGTGTTTCCACAGGGCGGAAAATCTCTGGCTGAGCTGTGGTTTTTATCACAACACACAGATATGCCAGATAAATCATGGATACAGGGTCGTGAGTCAACATAATGCGCTCCATCCGCATTAGGACACCATTTAGCCGCCATCCTCATTTTTCTCGCAAAATTGCCGCAATTCCCAAGATGCAGACTGGAGTATAAATAAAGTTACACAATCTTAAAATCCACCGAAGAAGATTTAATAGTTGACTTGAGCTCAAGAAATTTGTGCTCCTGACAGGAAAACTATCAATTTCGATAAATGATAGCGCAACTTCAATTTCTCCACAACAAATCCAATTTTCCCATTGATAAATTAATTTTCCAGTGTTTCCAATTAGGTCAATATTCAGAAATGTGTGAAAATGGATTGTACTCACATTATTATGCTACGACAATATTAGATTGAGTATCGAGTTGAGCCGTGATAAATCCAGCATTGCCGAACTATGAAATGTTTATGAATGCTCGAACCATTGTTTCCACAGCAATTTTCATGCTCGCATGCATTTATCTGAATGGAAAGCACTGGATTTTGATTTATGGAAAAGCACACAATGGCTTTGAGATTGAAATGTGTGTAGTTTTAACTGACAAAAAGTGAATTATCAAATATGTACAAGACAATTATATTGCGCGATGGACAGTAAAATTTAATAATTATTTGTGTACAATGGAAGTAGGATTATTATGTCTCTTATTCCGAATAATATCTGCCAAACAATTGAAACTGCAGCTCAAATGCGCACCTGCATTTGGCTGATGAGATTCTGCAGCTTACCCGATAATCCATGGCTGTTTCAGCCATTCTATCACTTTCCGAAGCAAATTGCGTACCGAGCATTGATTACATTCCAAATATTGAAACATCGCTCGCGGAGCATAAATCAATTGACTCTCACCATTTCTCATTTCCTCAGAGCCTAAAATATTCATCCACGCAATTTAATGATATTGTGCCGGTGAAAATGCCTAAACGAGTATTTTCTCTCTCTCTCTTTACAGTGAATTTCGATCACTTCCAGATACTCAGGGCGATAGGAAAGGGCAGCTTCGGCAAGGTGAGTTTAAATCAATTTTCTGCGTATCCTCGCCCACAATGCGCACAGGGAGGCAATAAAAAAATTCCTTCTTTCTCATGAGTTACAATGGTATGAATAATTCAGAGAGAGAGAGAGGGAATAACAGCTAAACACGAGTGAACGTCTATTGATTTTGTGAATTATCTGGTAAAAAATTCTCCTGATACACAGAGCTTAATTGGATACTCTGCTGAAATAGCAAAGAATCTAAAACTTTCTACCAAGTTGCAATTCAATTTGCTTTGATTTTCTTGAATCAACACTCGAGAATGTTTCCAGTTCAGAGATTTTTTTTCATTAGACTGAGTGAAATATTATGCCGGCCAATGCCTCATTTTTTCCCTGTCTTGAGAAACTTTCTGGCAAGATTTTTTGTTTATCTTGAAAGTTTCATCTGGCGCGAGGATTAATTCTTTGTTGACTCACGAAAATAATTCATCGCTCATTTGCGTAGTCAATCGCGATATGTGTGTGTTTTATCCTCTTATTTCAATTCAATTTAGAGAACTTTTTCCCTGCACAATTGGAATTGTATTGAATTGAATGCGGAAGCTGTTGAGATTAAAATGAGATCCCTAAATACGGTTGAATAAATCATTTTAACACTTGAAAAGACTTCACAGAATGCCCAGATCAAATATTAACTCTCGCCGCAGGCAAGGTGCGAACAGAGCATGATTTTTATCTCATAGATGTGTTCTCTGACTCTCTATAATTAGAATTCTACTTTTCACTGATATTGAGGCCTAATTAACAGCCCAATTGAACACTCACTATGTCGAAAAATTATACAATGTGGAGAGATTCTGTGCTTCATGTCAAGTTGGAGAGAGAGATTTTGTGATGTCGCCTCTGCTTTCCCAACACGAGGCGGGAAAACGCGTTTGCTAAAACATTTAATTTACCATTGTTGACATCACTTTTTGTCCCTCTCAACAATTGTCTATGGGACAAAACAGTTGATCCAATCTTCGGCAAACAGAATGAATCTTCTTTTTTTCAATTAACGACCCTTCGTCCAGTGTTTTTCTGCCCCAGCGCACTTCCATGGGCCCAGAAAGGCGGACCTGAATAAATAATAAAAATCAAGTTGATATCATTCAGTTGACTGTCGGCATCATGGTTTTATGAACATGCCTTGGAGAAAATTAATTTTGGCCCATGATGGAGAGATGATGAGTCTTTGGTCTCCGCATCGGCAATATCGTCAAATTAGACTAATATTGTACGTTATGTGTATGATGGAAATATAATTTCGCAAGAGTATCTCTTGAATTTTTGCGCCCAAACTCGCAGACTTCTCTGGGTGTGATAAGGGTGTTCAAAGTTCAGTCCAAAAGATGCCATTTCGAGGGAATGAAATTAAAATTAACAACTTGTTGCTCGCATCTTGGCAGGCATTTCGTCTTTGGAGCCAGAAAAGGGGCGGATTATGGAAGTGAAAGGGAAATTTTACCAAGAAACAAATCCCATCAAAGACATCATGTCCTTAACCATACCTCATCGCTCCGCTTCTCATGATTTCCCTGCGGATCGCGACGAGCCTGATTAGCTCACATTCCTCTGCAGGTGAGAGAGAGAGAGAGTGTGAGAAAGTGAGACAGAGAAGGAGAGAGAGAGAGAAGTGAGCAAATCACTACAAATCCCAAGAACTGCTCAAACATTCCAACTTCATCCATTTGAGCAAACATCGTGGAAAACGCTGGCGAGGGTGTATTTTGTGCGAAACGGCGGAAAACAGTGCAGATAAACTATGTTAATTAAGTTCTAGAACACCATTACTTACAATCACAAATATCCCGTCAGCCAAACGCGCGGCACAACAATTGATGAGTGGCCTGGGAGAGATTTCTATCGAATTGCGCTCAAACTAAAATTACTTCCCTCGACACACTTCATTATGGCGAAAGTGAATTACACACGGAACGATTGTGAGTTTTATGTGATACCTCAATGTCGCGGTTTGTGGATCCCAGAGGTGAGCTTTCACCTCCCAACAAAGGCCAACAAATATTTGAAAACAGTTTTTGCTGAAATTAAAGCTCAAACCGCAGCGCAGTGGAAATTTTTAAAGAATATCTCGCATTCATGCTCAATCCGTGGCGCCACGTTCGCCGCGCGGGGGTGGCAAATGCTGGGTGTCTCCCTTTGAGCAATGAGCAATAAAGTGTGCGCCGAAGTGGGGGCTTTCCTCGTGTTGGTCTCATTATCGTCATCGACACGAGATTTGGGGATGGAACATGGTGTGATTGTGGGGCCGAGACAAGGCAATTGGACTACAAGTATCGATGTCTCGAGTGCTGGAGCTAATCCCATCCCGCCTAATATCCCCAAGAGTATTCACCATGAATATCACGCTCGAATGGGACAAAAACATCCCCTGGATAATACTCATCTTTGCACACACACCGAGCAGAGAACGAGGCGCTCGAGATTAACTATCTTTTGCGTACAAATGGCCCGGCTATTAAGATGCGAAGGTTCACATAATTTTTTACTCCTTCCCCCGAAATTTTGCATGACACATTTCCATGGGCCAAAGGACATCGCTCCTTCTTTTCACATGCTCAAGCATTTGCACGATCCGCAACTATAAATTATCCTCCGGAAAGTCTGTGTGGGAGAAAGAAAAAAAACGAGATGCTCAGAATTTTCCTCAAGTCGCAAACATGTAGCGAATCTCACACTGATTAATCTGGGGCCACCGCCATTTATACTCCTTTAATACATTTGGAATTTATTTATTACGACAATCTCGACTGAATGTACGAAGTATTCGGTGGGTTCTTCCTCCCCACACACACGCCAAGCGGAAGTTCATTCATTTTCCTCTTCAACCTAATTTCATTCTCTTGCCATTCATTTGTGGTGGGAAATCTGATGAAGACGCTTTTTTGTGAACAAACATTTATGGTTTTTGCCTTGAAAGGTTCGTACAATCAATTAATTTTCCTTTTCACGCTATGCAAAGTGTATTGCAATGAAATTGCTACCATTATAATGAATATCTAGAACAATTCCTGGAAATTCACCCAATTTTCCTAGAAAATTCGACTAAATACGAGCAGATCATAAGCCATAAAGTTATGAGTTTCAGCAGTATAATCTGTTAGCTAATGGGGTTATGCGGGTTATGCTTTTTAAGTCTAAATGCGGAATATGACTCTATGTTTAGCTCTAGAATAACTAGAAGTTGCTTAAATGCCCGTATATCAAAATAGAGATTTTGTGTCCACGTTTGTGGTTTTAAATTGAATATTTCATGTAAAAGAATAGAAACAGTGTTTCACCTATGCACACATAAATGTGTGTGGCTTAAGCCTAAATATGAATTTCACATTTATGCGCCGGTTTATCGTTGTATTGTAAGCGTTTTCTCCAACATCGTTTTCAATCCTTTTCATAATATAGTTCAACTTAATATCCTGGTTTCACAGTATTGATATTTCCCTAAGCACAGAAGTAAGTTCAAATTGTAACACTAACTACTTCACAAAACTGACTCATTCTGGAATTAATTACTCCTCTTTGAGTTAAGTTTTCTTTAAATAACCTTTGATGCTCTGTAAACACACAATGCTCGCTTCCTCCATGTTCACTGAACTTCTCCACATCCCGCAGTCTTGTCCATTACAAGGCTTTTTTTTTAAATTACACCCCATGCTCTGTCTTTTGCAGGTGTGCATTGTCCAGAAACGCGACACGGGACGCCTGTTTGCCATGAAATACGTGAGTCGCGGCGCGTGCTCGGGTCGGGGCGCTCTGGGTGGCGTGCTCAAAGAGGTGGAGCTGCTCTCGACGCTGGAGCATCCCTTTCTCGTCAATTTGTGGTTCTCCTTTCAAGGTAATTCCTCACCCGGTAATTTTCCATGCATTGCCGATTCTCGTCACGCGGTCGCAAACTGATGCATACGCGATCGGGTCCATCGAAAGAAGGCAAAGCTGAGGATAGAGAGTCGTTGATGGAGTTCCCCTATTTGGGATGCATGACACAGCGAGCGCCGATGGCTCGGAGTACATCCACAAAGGGTTGTGCGGCTTATCCCACGCCGCGGGGGTGGTTTTTACGACGTTCGCGGGAGTATGGAGAATTCAACCCCAGAAACACTCTTATCTCTGTCCCACTGTCACCGGAGAAACTCATAAACTTCACTTCGTGGGAAATGCACACGATGGCTTAGTGGGATGGGTTTTCCTTTCCAGCACAGTGAGATTTATCCCGCTTCTTCTCTCCCCTTTTCTCCCATTCGCCAGACGAAGAGGATCTCTTCATGGTGTGCGACTTGCTGGCAGGCGGTGATCTTCGATACCATCTCCAACAGCAGGTGAGTTACCATTTGAATAAAATCAACACTCGTACGTCAATTCGTGCGGTGCACATCGGGGAGCTTTGATGGTAAATGACACCGCATTCGTACGCTCAATGATGGTATTTACACACGCGGTGTTGTTAAACTTCACAGCGAAGGAACGCTTTGCGGGTTCTGACAGTTGTTTTCATAAATTTAGAGGAACATGCACATCATAATTCAGCTTAAATGAGCTTAAAGTGCAACAAACAACATTAGATTGAAACCAGAAAGCTATTCAAAAGAAGATAAACAAGTTAAACTTGCACTTTAATTCAGATTAAAAACGAGATTAACCCAATTAATGTAATGACCGTAAATCTTCCGCCAAGAAGCAGAACTCTTTAAGCATTTTGGGGTTGAAATTTACAGCCAACACTCAAAAATTAATTGATTTGCCCCTGAAAAAAGTGGCACATTCTGCGTCTGTCTCGGAAATGTACGTCAAAATTGCTCTGCGGCGGGGATTTTATTGTCCTCCGGGATGGGATTTTATTGCGACATTCATCTTGAGGTTTTATTGTCTGGTTACACGGCGTGATGGGCGTGGGAAGGATACACGTAAAATGTGGAACTTTTGACAAATTAAAACTGACTTTCACGTTTTGCCAGCTAAAGTACCGTGAAATTTCGCCATCATCGAGCTTTATGTCACTGTTTTTCCCTCGACAAGTTTTCGCCGAAAGCTCACTGGGTGGCGAAAGACACGAGTTAATCCAGTTCTTGGGAGGAGAAAGAGAGAATCTTTCAGCTCTTCCGCCCAAATGAACGATAAACCGGGCACGGAAATTGCTTTCATTTTTCTAAATGTCACACCATTTATTGGCGAGCACACAACTTTTATTGGATTCCATAATATTCTCCTTCCGCTCTTGGAGTTTGCTGATGAGATAAACCCTTAAAATTCTCATCGTCGTGCGTGCTCCAATCTTTGCCATGTCTTCACACATTCAACCCATCCATCGTCGAGCGCTCATGCTCGGGTCATGAATAACGTGAGCACATTTCGGTAGTGTTGCGGATGGAAGGCAAATTAGGGGCTTCATGGGGGGATGCTTCCAAGAGGGCTTTAGAATTCTCGGTAATTTTTTTCCATAACACCCCAAAGATTCTCTGCACAGATAGAATATTTGGATTGCGGAGAGTTTAGCACTACTAACCCCATATTCAGCCTCACACTTATCGTGTGAATGCCATTCTTGCCACATCATGACAGGGTGGTAGCACAATAATGGAGGGAAAATTTTTCCCGCCCCCTTGATGGTCCCATATCATTCGCAGAGCTTTCCGAGTGATTGATATAAATTTTTGAGAGCTTTCACTCATAAAAGCGCCATTAAACAGGGTCATTTACTCCTCCACCCCCGCCATAATCCCCGCACATCCCAAGGGAGACATAAGAAAATGTTCACATTTAATTTAGGACACTTTACCTCACTTTTTCCCCCGAAGCTTTCGGAGAATTGATAAATGAAAATGCTGAATAGTCGAAAAACCGCCGAGTGAATAAATACAGGCAAGCAAAAAGGGAGATAGAGAATCGCGAAAATACCTCCAGGCAATTCTATTTTGCGAGAAAGCTCATATGCGATGGCATTTATGGTTCATCCGCATGTTCAACCCCTGCAGAGCTCAGAATCACGCGCCGGATTTCCCCAACCCCGTGCCAAAAAACCTCCTTCATCGGCATCGAGTATAACATTCAACAAAAAGGGATGGAATTCCTGCCAAAAATCACATTCAAAATCTAATTTGAAAAAATAAATATTTTTTAATGCGGAAAGAATTTGGCAATTCCAGCGTGAATTTCAATTTACTTTTTGTCGTTTTCCACACCGCAATTACAATCCCATAGCGGAATCGCCCAGCATTGCAATCAAATTTGAGAGCTAATTAGCGCACACAGCGCGGGAAAAAGCGAAAAAAAAGTGTTGATACGAAGAGTGTGTAATTAAGTTGACGGTTTTTCACAAATAAGCCTTCTCTGCCTTAATTATGTGTACATAAAAATAAATTTGCACCCGTTTTAAGGGTGTTTTGTGGCATGACGCTCCCAAAATGTGGCTTGAATGCAGCGTTTTGTCATTTTTTATTGATCCTGTCAAGTGTCAGCGGTGAAATTGTGATTGCAAAAAATTAATTTTTACACAAACAATGAATGATTTTGAACTGAAAACACTCGCGCCAATTCATGTGCAGAGGTTTTAATCCTCCTCTGTAATTTTACTCCGTGAAATACATTATGCATTTCAACGCGAAAGAGTTAAGCTCAGAATTAATTTCTCACGCCACACGCGGCGTAAAAAGAGCAATAAAGTGTATAAAATTAGTCGGTGCTTGAGGGTGAAATTGTGGCAATAATTGCAATATTGAGGAATAAACTGAGTGTTGAACTAATTTCAAAAGTTCTGGGATTGAAGCTCAGGGGAAATTCATTTTATATGATCATAAAACTAATGGAAATTTTCAGGAATTCTGTCACACTGATGGAAAATTCATAAAATTATGCAATTAAGATCATGTTAAAATGCTAGACGGGAAAGTCGATAAACTATTTGGAGCTCGATTTGCAGCTTTTTGATATGGTTTATTGAGAGTGAAAAGCTGGAAATTTGCGCCGAATCTGCACTTTCAGAACAAATTATCGGAATGAGTTGCTCATTAAAAATAACCGTTCAATTTTCTGCATAATTTCTCAATTATATTGAGAGTGGGAGTGATTTCTGAGCTGCGGAAGATGGAGAATAAAACTTCTTCCTCTCAATTTATCGCCTCATTGACTAATATCGCGAGGGTGGGAAAAAGGGCTGGATTGACTCAAGTCCTCGCGATAGCATATCAAATTGCGAGGTCGGAAGGATAATTGCAATTGTTAGCCGTTTCCATGGAGCGCCAAGTTGAAAGTTCAGGTCAATGTCAATACTCACAATAGACTCTCGCCGTCTTTCGCCAGAGGAATGGTATAATTAAAATTTATATCTCTCTGGGAACAGGTGGAGTTCTCCGAAAGAAGTATTGCCTTACTTGTGTGCGAACTGGGCTCAGCTCTCGACTACCTACAATCGCAGCGCGTTCTTCACAGGTGAGTATCTCTCGCGTGTCTCTCAACAATTCACCCCTATCTGCGCCAGAGCAGCCCCAACGACCCCCTCGGCGTGTACATAAAACGCTGGAATATGTTTAGATTACATCTCTCTGTCGTTTTATGTGTGTCTGTTTGTATATTAAAAAGGAAATAGGCATTTTTTCTCCACCATCCACCGCACTTCTCCAAGCATTCACCATTGTGTTTTTCAAACTCCCTCCCTTCCGATTTCGCCACCCACTTTTTGTTCAATGAAACCACACACCAAGAGAGTATTTTACTCCACTCTTTAGCACCGAATGCTGGGCGAATGTCAAGGGGTAAATAAGCGCTTCTCTCACTGAATATAAGCGCAAGAAATTTTCAAATTTCTTAAGGCTATATTAGATTTAGCAATTTGAACTTAATCAGAGTTAGACCAAGTCCAAGACTCTGCAGTCGGAAGGCATTTCTCATTATAACATCAGTCATATTTCAAAATAATAGAAGGAAGTGAAAATAATGTGAAAAATGACGTGAAAATACTTTTAGAGGTTAATTAGATTTCATCTATTCTTTAATTATACATATAGTTTTAATTTTAACAAAATATCATAATATTTTCGACTGCATATATTTGAAATAATAATATTTGCATTTATTTACTTACTAAGTTATGGGAGAAATGAAGATACTTTTTAGAATATCGACGTTTTCAGGAACAATGAAGTTTTCAATTGTTTAACTACGACTTGAACTACAATTGATTTTGACGCTGTTGACTTATTCAGTATCGTTTAAGTAAAGTTTGACTTTAAACAGCAAACTTTTAAATTGTTCTTCCACAATTCTACCATTAAATGAAGATGAAAATTCCAATAAAGCAGACTTTAGTATATATTGACGCTGATTAGTAGGAAATAATCCGCGGCCTAATCAGCAAATCGACACTTGTGCGAACTGTGCACGACGCATTTATTTACCCCTTGATGGAATGCTGTAAAAAAATCATGTACACCTCTTTTATATACACGCCCAACTCCCCTGAATACCACTTTATTTGAGGCGGCAAAAGCAAGTCCACGAGCACCAAACATCCCTCCAGTGTCCCACAAGAGAGACCCTTATATGACTCCGTCATGTAATGCAATATTGAAATATTTACAGGGATATTAAGCCGGACAATATTCTCCTGGATGAAGAAGGTAATGCTGCCATCAAAATAGAGTTGTTGATTTTTTATCTCATCACTTTCCATCCCTCACTCTCGCTGCTGAAGATGAGACCACAAAATTTTTTATAGTACAGTGAAAAACGAGAAGAGGAAAAGCCGCAAGAGGCGCGCTAAGGAAATGAAAAGTCTCTCGCAATGGTGAGGGAAGAAAAGAATATAGCTAAAGTCGTTAGTCACACTCTTGAGTTTTGGCTTTTCCATCTCCCAAAACATTTAGTGAACTTCTTAATTTTCCATGTGAAAACTTTCCCTCACCTTTTCCACGCTGGCTGCTTATTGGGTGTCCCTTTGTCGCCAGGAGAGTGAGCAAATGTTAAACATCCCACCACATGATGTATGCTAAACATCTCAAGCCGCCAAATGATGGTGTGGATGTCTTCCTCTCCTTTCCAGAGCAGCCAAGAGTGTAGATTAGTGAGTGAAGGATTTCTGAACGAAGAATTGAATTCTCTTCTAAATTCTCACTAAAATAATTACGCAATTCGACTAGTATTTTGAGTATCTCTCGAATTACGTTGAAACAGTAAAATTTTTCCATGTAATTTCTGCTCTTCATACTAAAAATTACACAGAATTTCAAGTAGTTTTAAGAAAAATATCGAATTTATCAAATTTTTCCTCTTAATTACCATTCAACTCTGTTGGTCTGAGGAAGTTTTGTCGTTACATGACGTTCTTCTTGACTTCTTTCCAACCATCAGAGCTGTCGCATGTGTTTTGTTTTCCCTTCAGGGAGGCTTCAGCCGTTTCTCTGTCCTCACACCCCAAATAGCAAGAAAAATAGGACGAGAGACACCACCAAAAGTGGAGGATGAGAAGTGAAACATGTCAAATACAAATGTGAATATCGAGAAAATGTCTAAAGGAATATTTTTCTCTTGATCGACTTTTATTGATCCGCTTTTCATTTTCTACACTCTCTCTCTAGACGGTATTATTTTTATTTCTTCGTCAAAATACGGCAGAAAAGAAGCGTCATGGAAAATGATTTTTCACCAGCGAGAGTGAGGGCGAGATGTTTGGCTTATACGATTGCTATTAGGTGACTTTAACTTGTAAAATGTGGTATTTTATGGATCATTCTTTTTTTTCCTCTCCATCGCCGCGCTGAAATCCACCCACAACAATTCAGGTCACGCACATATAACAGATTTTAATATAGCAACTCGATTGCTTCCTGATGGATTGGCGTGCAGTATGTCAGGAACAAAGCCCTACATGGCGCCGGAGGTTTTCATGTGTGCCCTCGAAGAAATTGGTAAGGAATCATCCGCAGTATTAGTTATTAAAGTCGCCCGTGCTGCTATTTTTACACTTATTCGGCGGCTTCACGTGAATTATTAAAGCAAATGCCACAATCTTTATACAAAATTAACGTGTCTTGAGGCACTCCACTTGGGAGTGCGAAGATTTATATGTGAAAATGGCAACATTCACCGAGAGCGCAGGTGGAAAAGAGTAATCCGACAAATTAAAACCAACGCCTTTCTCGCCCCTTTTGTCCGTGGACAGGAGAAAGAAAATAAAGAGCGTCTTTAATTGCTCCTTATTTGCAATTTCAGCTGGTTACACTTACCCAGTGGACTGGTGGTCGCTGGGAATTGTGGCTTTTGAGATGCGAGCCGGCGCCAGACCGTTCGTTGTTCACTCCAACACACCGCTGGATGACGTAAAGAATTTATTAATTACGCCCCTGCATTATCCACGCTACTGGAGTGAGAACTTCACAGATCTGATCAACAGGGTAAAGAAAATATCTTCACGTTGAATAGAGAAAGTCACGGAGAGAGAATCCCTTCTCATGTCCTGGTCCAAGAGTCATTTTTCAGCGCGCAAAACCCACGCAAATTGTTTGGGTGCTTTATTGTTACTCCCAAAGTACAAGAGAGATGCAAAAAAGCGCCAAAGCTACACGCGTTGGTGGAAATTTATGGCTTTTGTATGATGATGCGAAGACTGAGGGAAAGAAGGGAGAATCTCTTAAATGAATAAATCCCCAGAGCATTCCTTTCACCTTTCTCCTTTTCACTGGGAATGCAGCTGCTGGAGCCTGACCCAGGTGGCCGGATAAGCTCGCTGCGTGAGCTGAAGAGGACACAAATCTTCCGACACACGGATTTCGAGGCGATCCAGCAGAAGAAGACAATCCCGCCCTTCAAGCCACCCAAAGACCATTTGAACTGTGATCCCAGCCTGGAACTGGAGGAGATGATTGTAGAGACGAAACCACTGCACAAGAAGAAGAAGCGCCTGGCGAAGCAGCGCTCCATTCAGAAGGAGAACGACCTGGAGAGCACGCTCATCAAGGAGTTCATCGTGTACAATCGCTACAAGGAGATGAAGCGGAAAGCCATGGAGCTGAAGGAGAACGCGTGGCAACAGGAGCTGGAGACGGCGATGGCCAATTCCGAGGTGGCGCACCTGAAGCCCATCGAGGAGGCCACCAACGAGCCCAGCACTTCCGGCGCCGCTGAGCCTCTCGACTATATTGATCGCACGCCGTCGCCCAAGTCGAGCGTATGAGAGTGGACCCTCGCCCATCTGCCACTCTGCTGCGACTCCCATCGCCACATGCAGAGCGCAAATTGAGAAAGTTTGGGGTGTCATTGGCACCTTGATATCAAAAACAAGAGACTTCTTCGCCGTCATCATGTCAATTTTCACAAAACTTCTCGCGTGCATCCTAATCAAATCATGAGAACTAACTGAGGGTTGCCAGTGAACACTTTAAAGCCCAGGTATGTAGACTTGAGTACTCTATCAAGGGCAAATTGAATTTTCCACTGACGTCAAAGGATTAGAAGCGCACTTTGTTTGTTCCAGATTTAGTGATAATTTAAAACTTTGACGTGACTCTGAACTTCCGTCTCAATAATGCGTTTCTATGTCTTCCAATTAATTGGTTGTCGTAGGTTACTGAGTAGACAACAATCTCGCTGAACAAAGTTTATTTATACGAGAGCAAAGAGGCGCATTTAACAGCATTTTGTGTTCAACAGCCTTGTGGCATTGGATGGCTTCATATTTTCCTTACCATCTGCAAAACTCACGCGGAAGTTATCTGTTATAAATAAACTGTGGCGTCATGAATTTCATTTGCTCCTTCTTATAATACCTTTGTGCACATACCTGGCTTTAAACCACCAAGACAAAGTGCAACAGTCGCTCGTGAGACTTGTTGCAAAACCTACAAAGGCTTGCTTTAAAGCACAATTCTAAAGAGTGAAAGAAGAGACATGAGTTATGAGAAGGAATTCCTTGAAATATCGTTCTTTTTCTGTGAAATTGCGCAAGTGGAAAATTATTTCCTTTCTCTCTCCTCGTCAAGTGGCAGAAACAAAGGCAAGGATGAAGGAAAGTATTTCAATATTTGATGAATACTTATGTTCATACAAATTAAACCGCCGACCTCATCCTCAGACTCTGCATGATTTCCAAGTCACTTGCCTCGAATTGATACTCGATTTGGGGGTGGATTTAAATATCAGCACTCAGAGGGAAGATGATCCTCCTGAGAGATTCGATATAATGACAGAAGATGTATGCATACTCGCAAGGGGATAAAGATGGGCTACAGAGATTCTCTCCCTTCATTGTGTAGCATTTTCCTATACATTTCGGCGTCTATGGCATCAACACGAGTAATTTATTCGTGATTTCTGGCGAATAATCAGAGTATCATCATCATCCGACTTCTTCCTTTTCCGATGCCAGCCGCACCTTGAATCCACCAGAGAAGACCCAGGGGAATTGTGTGTGTGTGTGTGTGCCATTTGGAGGAAATGGAGGAGAGAAAGGTATAATTTTGTCCTGACGACGATGACGTGTAATCAAAGCTTAAGATATTCTTCCCTTTATCCATTTTATTCGAATTAGACAAGATGATAGCACGTGACGAGACACAAAGGGAATTCTAAATTTAATTTAGAGAAGATAGAAATTCAAATTCCCACCCCCACACAAACCACCCTCAAAAATCCTCTTAATTCTTTTTTCAAGGCAACAGTACTTAGAAGATTGACCTGCTATTGCTCGAAGCGCGGTTTCTGGACGCGAGGGTGGAAAAGGGTGGACATTCTGTGAGTGCGGAAGTGTTTTTTTTCCACCGTAGATCGCAATGAGAGAATAAGAGAACGCGGAAAAAAATACATTTTAATTTTCCTCTGTGAAATATGTTGAATAAATTATCTGATGCTGATAAGAAATGTGCGGTTGAAAAAATCATGAGGGAAATTCTGTTAACTCCCAAAATTAATTCTTCCCTCACCACTCTGCACAATCTCTCTCCTAATTGGCATCCCTTTCTACTCCACCCCCTTTCGATTTAGTTGCACGGGACTGTGATATAGAGAACAAAAGATATATGACTTCATTTTAGAGGAATCATCATGATACACAAGATTAATTAAACTTAATTACATTCTCAATAAAGTCAACTTTTATAGAGATCACCTTTAGTGTAGCGAAGGCAGTGAAGCGATAAATGCCGAAGGAGACAGTTAAAGTCGCACATAAAATTAGTCATAAAATATAGCAGGAAATATAGAGATAAATATTTGCCATTTTCTCACTTGGATGAGACAAAAAGCGATTATCCTTGACACTTTCAGAAAAAAAGATGTATATGTGGATGAGAAAGACAAGTCATTAAATAGGACCAAAACTGCATTTCAAGTAATGGAGATAAAACACTTGTTTCACAATTGCTAGTTCAAAAAAACTAATATTATATAAAAGTCACTCAATATTTATAGTTGTAAGAGAGATCTTGAGAAAATATATAAAGAGCTCTGAGGTGATTTGTTGTCTTTTAATATACCTACCCTTAATGGCACACGAAAAATTATGATGATAGAAAGGGAGGGAGAGAAAGCGAGAGAGCTTTTAAGCTCAATTCACCCCCCCGAAAAGTCACTCAAATGCCCAATAAAAATTCCACATAAATCGACTTTGGCCACAGAGAGGAAAAAGGTGGGATATTCCAGGTAATTTCCTGCTCGCACCACGCCGAAAAACCTCCCCGGAAATACCTTGCACAACTCAATTTGTCCCTCAAGAGAAGTAAAATTGCTGTGCACACAAAATTCCATTTAGCAATTCCTTCGCAGCTTTCAATATACTTATATTTGCATGGGTGAAAGATACATAGGAAAGATAGAATTTTCAGTCGATAATTTCTGGGTGAGAGTTGTGGTGATTGAAAAAACACAAAGTTGAGGCAAACAAACTGAAATAATTTCTGCCTCACGCTAATTAAATGTGCGGTTCGCTCAACGTCAAAAGGCGAGGCGGCGGAAATTCCTGCGCCAAGGGTGTGCTCAAAGAGAAATATTACAGCTCAAACATATATAATTCAGATGATAAATCTCACCGTATAAACATCGTTTTATTGCGAAATGTTTTTCCCCCGACCAGAATGGAAAATAACAGAACGACTGTGGCTTTTCAGGACGAGAAAACATTGCAAGTCACTCCGTGGTTGTCCTGAAGATGCAGTGAATCCATTCGCGTTTAGTGCTGAAGAGTGAAAATAAATTTATCACACAGTCTCTGGGATTCTGCTTTTCCTCGACAACTTGCAGTTTATTTACCTCAGCACTGCAAAAACATGCGAATGGACGAAAAAAGCTGGAGAAAGAGGAAAATTAAATTTATAAAAGTCACAACGTAATGTGCGCTTGCAAGAGGAAAAAGAGCCACACATCTCCTGTGTAACTCCTAATCTGTTATCCTGAACACAAAGCTTTTAAATCTTGTGGCAAACAGATTGCAAACTTTGTGCTGGGTCGGGAGAAAAACTCAAAACTTTTCCACTTTTGCTGAGACATCACCAGCGAAGAGTGTCGTGATAAATGAGCGATGGTAAGAAGACCTCGTATTGTTTGTCACTCAATTTCAATTGGAATTAAATGGGATTTGGCGGGTGCGGAGAGTCAGAGACATTTTTGCGTAGTGTTAAATCCACCCCGACTCGCTCTGAAGGCATGTCTGGCGGATAAACATGCTCATTTTCGAGTCTTTATGCTAAGTTGATCGATGGAGTTCAAATTGAACACATTTTGCCAACACTTCTCTACCCCATCTGCGGAATTCTCGTGAATTTCTCCTCCTCAGAATATAAAGTCGATGTCAAAAATTACCATTTCTCTGCGTAGAAATGCGAATGAGATCAATCAATGTACAGATCTCTCCATGAATTGATTCCACATCTCGGGCCCAAAACGCCCTCGAGAAACACTCAGCAGTCATTATCATATAAATAAAATTCAGCAGATACATGACGAGGGTGGAGATGTGCCTCAAGAGCGAAAAGGGGTTCGAATGAAGAGTGATGAATTCATTGGATTTGATAGTGTGCATGCGGGTGAGGTGCTTTGAATGCCAAAGAGATTATTTTCATCTCATAGCTTAATGTAAAGTTTTCCGGAACATTGTCAAGAGACATCAGCGTCCAATGACCATGTAAAGCCCTTCACTCTCTCAACATTTCTCATCTGTGTGTGGAGAGAAATCGACCAAAAGGGCTTGGAGTATTGCAAGTCATGTGAAACACTTGATTGAACATATTGTGAAACTAATATAAACGCAATTAAACGCAACAGATGAATAATTTGATTCTAAATTATATGAGATGATTCAATGCACCATTTTTCCGAGAAATTATGTTTGACAATATAGAGAGAATTTCATTAGGGAAGTCAAAGTGTGGCCGATTTACTCCCAGAAGATCATTTCACCTTTAAGCAAAGCTTCGTCTGTGCTTATCAATGTCCTTTTAATAATCCCACTTTCCAATTAGTACACAGACTCTCTTTCATCAAAATCGCCTCCACTCGCCCCGGTGGCCATCGGCAAATTGAGTCCATATTGAAGGACATCGAAATCCCCCGTTTACCTAAATACTGAATACAAATGTACTTCAAGAGCGAATGTATTTCTGGGCGATTCTGTGTAAGTCGACTTGGCGAATGATGTTGGGCAAATCTTCAGTTGGCATGATCGTAAAAGTGTCTGTGAAAAATAACTTTCTTCTGAGATATAAAAGCAAATAATTGCCCAAAGTTTTATTTCCCATATTTTTTCAGCACGACGAAAGTGAGGGAGACGATATTTTTTGCCGTCTGCCTAACAGCCCATTCCCAATATCATCAGCAAATTCAACAGAAAGGTGCTTAAGAGATGCGAAGGGAGGAGATATATAATACCTGGGCTCATGAGTCGTATATTTTATTCACCATTTTTCCGCACATGATGCCGCACAGGAGCGGAGTTGAAGACAATGCAGATAAGGAGGTGCGAAAGTGAAAGTCTATCTTCAATCTTGGCGGTGTTCAGCTCAGTCGGGAGAGCTTTCCGTCATGTCTCTCCCACCCACGGAATATCGGGTCAGTTGGGGTCGAATCTCTTTGGGGGCGCAGCCTTAAGGGGTTCACGTCTGGGCGGAAGTTTCCTCCCACTCACGGGAAGAGTGTGAGGAATTGCCAGAGACACAGTCGCATTTGTACTGCCGAAATGATTGATTATGCTGATCGTCATCGAACATTTATGTGTTTTTCACGCTGTTGTTTGGCCATCTCCTCGACAGGGGCCAAATAGCCTCTGGCCTCCGAGGAGGGCCGAAAGGTGTGAGGAATAGGATATCAGCGGTCGCTGCAGTAAACAGGGACGTCTTTGTCTCATGTAAGAAACTTTCCTCCGTCGGAAAATATATTCTGACCCGTGGCCAAAAACCTTTTGCGCACCGCCAGATGCTCTTATCGGACAATCATGTTGGCCCAAAGTTGAGGGCGCAAAGAAAAACCACCCTTTCAAATCGCTCGGCAATTGAATGTTAAATTTAAACAGTCTTCGGCTGGTGGTGAAAGGCAATTTCTTATTTTCCCAAGATTTTTCTCTTCCTATATTGAAATTTAATCCTTCCCTCGCTCGCCCACGAAAACGATTGAGGGAAAACAGAGGCATAAAAAATATGGAATCAGATGCTTTCTGGTGAGAGGAGAGAGTATTAAATTTCTTCCCTTTTTTTCACCCACTTTTTTTCTCGCCATAGAAACACAATTTTCTGGTGAGGAGAAAAAATCGTCAGATATGTATAAAGGAAATGACTTTTACAGTCTCCGCAAGAGTGAAAGAATCTGGAGAGGAGAGAGAAAGTTCATGGCAAAGAGGTCAAATTTTAAAGGCTTTGAGAGGGTTTTGTTGAATTTGTCGGTCGGAAAGACCAAACACTGTTCATTCCTTGAGGCTCTTCACTTGAAGATAACATGAAGTATTTTGTGCGAAATCGAATGGCCGATTGAATATATTCGAGGAATTTCCATTCAGAATACAGCAGAAGACATTTGAATGGCGTCAGACTTGACTTGAATTTAGGAGATTACTTTATACTCAAGTTTATACTGCTAAAAATTTGAATAAAACTTCCTCTGGCAAAGTCTCTAAAGCTTCTGGAAAAGTTTCTCTCTGAAAATGACAAAAAGTACATTAAGGAAGAATACTTTTTCTCCCATTTTGCGGTCACCTGAGCGCAGACAAGCTGCAATTTTTCTCACCTTTCATCAGCTAAAGTCACTGTGTTGCGGAAGTGTAAAAGTTGCTAGGAAGTTCTTAGATTTTCCACAGTGATTCTCCACCCTGTTCGTGATGGTTTGGCGCGGACAGTGGGAAAAAAGGGCAACGCAACAAACTCACCAAGGAGACGCGATTGAGATAAAAGAGCCATAAACACCCAGCGAGATTGCCATGGAGTGATCTGGGCGCAAGAAAACACTCTTTCGCCATCACCGTGTAATTAACGTCCGCAAGGAGAGTCTTTGAAGAGTGGGCAAGAGCACAGTCATTAACTAAATTTGATGGCTTCAACGGCAATTTCATACACACAAACAGAAATAACATCCGCTTTAATTGCTGTTTAGAGCGTCTTTGGGTGAGCTTTCAGCGAGGGCAAAAGCTGGCGCCGCTTTCGCATGGTAAAGAGACATGCGGATTATGGTGAAGATGTTGCTAAATCACCCTCACGGATTGAGCGAGGTCTACGAAGATGTTGAAAACACTTGCCAACGCTCCCACACCATCAATAGTTTTAAGTGCTGTGAGTCAATGAGATCATCTCTCTCGAGGCAGAGACGCTTTATGCGAATCATTAGACAGCATGTCTTGTATTTGTCCTCAACTTTAGCTCAAAGTTTAATTCAATTTCCAAGTATGTATTTTTCGCGACAAATTGCCTCCACGAAATTTCATCTTGTATATATTCAACAAGGCCTCATTTTGGAAACATGCCACCGAAAAAGTCTCCCTTTAGAGGCACATTGTTGGCTGATATACGCTATAATGGGAGTATTATTGAGAATTATCTGTTATGCAAACAGCGAGAGGAAAGAACAAAACACATTGTAGGAAAATTAAGGAAGAAAAATCCAATAATCGTTCACGCAAAGAAGCACTCAAGACATGAAGAGAGTGCAGAGTTCAGGGAAAGGAAGTATACTATGTCAAATACAGATGGTAAAATCATATATTTAATCCTTCAAGGAAATTCACAACAACTATATACATATGTGGCAGAGATTTTCAAGAAATCATTTAAATTTGAAATGACGGAGCTTTCAAAGCGCTACTGTCACACACATTCGTGTCACTGCAAAAGCTCAATAAAACCCTCTGGCTCTGAATCTTTGATGTTCTTTATGTAAATTCCTGCCAATTCCCTGCGAATTTCTCTCCCTGTCGGAAAACTGCAAGAAGCAGTGCGGATAATTGTGTGGCTCGAGCATGGCGGAAAAAAGCGAGAGGATAAAGGCCACAGAGAAATGGCACATTTATCGAGTCTCGTTCACCATTTAATACAAGCTCGCCAGAGAGACAAATTTCGACTTCCCTCCCCCTCCCCCACTGAATTGAGTAAATAAACCGACAAATAAACATTTGCCAGAGGTTATATTGTTATTTGCGCATTTCTCAGTCCCTCCGGGTCAATTGGGTCAATTGAATATAGATATAGAAAAATTGTCTTCACTGCCACTTCCGCGCGCCGAATAGCCAAGGCGTGTCCTGAGCCTTTGTGATATTTCCCATCGAGAATTTCCATACATCCACGCGCGGCGAATGAAATATTTATGTGGAAAGAAGTCACTTCCGCTCCCTGTCAAATTTGCTGCCATTTGTGCGGCGTGTGGGTGCCAATTGGGAAATGATATTCACACCTCACTCTCCCTCAATGGCCCTTAATCAAAACAATATTGTTTGCGCCGTGCATTTGCAGGGACCTCTTGTGGAAAATTCAATGGGGAAAAAGCCCAAAGAGTGGGAGCAGAGGGAGAAATTGGCAAATGGAAAGCTATAAAATGGTAAGAAAATTGAATTTCCCAGTAGATATTTCGATCTCTGTGTTCTTTGCGTTTTCTATGCCTTATTTCCGTTTTTCTCTCCCTTCATCGAGACATGCATATCGCGAAATTGCTTTTCTTTTCAAATGCCGCCTTCCTGCTGCGAGAATTTTCATTTATCTTCAACTTCATCCTTTGACGGTGGAAAAAAATCTATTATAATTAATTCACAACATTCACAAATAAAGTATAGTAAGAGAGAGAGAGAGCACACATAACGAGCTTTTCCTATAAAGCGCGCGGTTTTATTTGTTCTATGGCACTTGAAATAACCCTCTTCCGTTCTGTGGATGCTTTTCGATTCAAAAGTTAATACTTTCAAAGCAAATATTTCTTTAGTCTCTCACTAGGCAAGCAGTGAGCACGACATTCTTTTTAATAAAGTACAAACTAATTACAAAGTAAGTTCAGTCGCTCAAGGGTTAAACTTCATTTCAACCTTTCACATATGTGTGGACAAATGGATATTAAAAAATGTCCCCTTTCATTGCAATCAAGGGAAGCTTTCTTGGTTGAAAAAATGTGAATTACACGAGGACAAACCACAAACACACTTACATGAAATATTAATTTAATTTTTAATCCAATTCCTAGATACGTGAAAGGGTGTGAGGAAGTGAGATTTTCCCATTTGACAGAAATGTAGAGAAAAGGACGAGAGAGTGGAATTAAATTGTGGCTATGGCATTAAAACTTCTGTGTCGGGTGAAATTCTTCGTGAGCGCCCATCCCAAGCTTAAATGTGATTTAATTAAATTTTAGTGTCTGTCGGTGTTTTTAGTATCGCATTCTCCATTTTTATCCTATAACCCAACATTTGTTCTGGCGGCGTAATTGAAGTGGTTGTCGCTCGACTACCCTCCGTGAGAATGAGATTGAGATAAGAGACTTTTTGTGGCTGTTTGCGAAAGAAGTGAGAAGCACATGAGTCACAAAACTTTCTGCCCTCCTGCCGAATGTATTTGGCAAGCAAATACGAGAATTCGGGGCGAGATAAGGCGATTATTAGCCAATGCTAAAGTGTCTGTTTATTAATTCACCAGCCAAGTACACAAGTCATAATTCATTTCGCTGCCAATTTCCACGGAAATCGATGGGATAGTGAACAGATCGGAGCAATAAATATATATCTGCCTGAATATTTATGATCTCTGAGCTTTGCCAGTGGAGTCGCTTGGTGATTTGCGACTCTTGAGCTCGCGTTATTCCAGAAGGAAGCCGCCTCAGATGAATGGTGATAATCACTGGGATGGAAAGTTGATAAGACAACAAACATGTTTTACACAGAGGAGAATAATCAATTAAGCTCGACTGCTAATGCAGTAATAATTTAACTCAGAAATCTCCCAATTCCTCGAATCGCGCCTTTACCCAAAGTCAACAGCAAGAATTTCAACAAATCTTTAAGGCGTCCAATTGAAAATGGTCTCGTAGTTGGATCACCATAAAAATTCCGGAAATGCCGAAAGGGATTGATTTCCATTTTTATCTCTTCCTTATGGGATTTGATGGACGAACAGCCAAACCGAAAAGCACAGGAGATGACTATACATACGCGTCCTGTGCCATAAATGACCTTTTCGCTGGAGCTCCACGTGAAGGGACGTCCCGACAAAGGTCCGCCCGTGTTTTAATTCACTTTGTACGTGTTTTGATAAAAGTGTCACACACTCCCAAGTGGGTAATTTTATCTCAATTCAACCCAACACTTTCAGACGAATCTTCGGCCAGGACAAAACGTGTGTGATTTGATGATCCTCAGCTGAAATTCCCCGAGGAAGGCAGCATCTCAAATTCTCAAGTGGGTTCTCGCGCTAAATTGGGTGGGAAATTCTCCGGGCGAAATAATTGCCAGTGACGATACAATATTTAAAGCATTTTTCTCTCAAGAGTGCTTCCGACACTTTCATCTGACACTCGCGCGCGCCGAAAAAAGAGGACTCCAATGGCTAATCGCGCCTGTATCAGTTGATCCGGCCGTGGAACTCGCCCGAGGAGCGCGGGTCTGAGAATGAGGGTGGCAAAGCGTTCCAAGATAATGATATATCCTGTCGTTATGATGATGTACAAAGTGCTAAGTGATTGTTGAGTATATGAGCTCATTATAATGAGAATGTCGCTCGAGGCGAGAGTCTTGTACGTCTCCGTGTCAATGGAGACGACATGAGTGATGTAAAGTGGGTGCAGGCTTTAAGTGGAGAAAAAGGATCGCACAGAAATAAACATCCCTTATTATTTTCCCATAATATTTCCATTTTCACAGTGACGCTTAGTTGGCTGTAGTTGAAATATTCGCCAGCAGAACAATTGAGAGAAAGGCAGAGATATAAATAGCTCATAAATTACATACGTGGGCTTTGATGTTGAAAGTTTGAAAATAGGGGAATGCAGGGCAGAGCTAGTTAATTAATTACTAAGGGAATCAAGTCTCAAGACAGTCATCGTGAAACGATAATGAATATACCTTTTGCCCATGAATTCTAACGACAAAGCTATTTCTATTAACACTTTTGTTGATGACGCAATTATTGTGGTAATGCGATGATCAACAAGGTTGCGTTAAACTAACCGCAAGATAGTCAACACGACGCCAAGTCTGTTCATATTACTTTCACTATCCGAGAAGAGAGGAATTTGCCCTTAGGCCATGATTAATGACAATTTGGTTCCACAAACAACCGAAAAAACACATGCTTTTCTTAAAATGTTAGCCATACAGTTCCAGCTGAGTAAATAAGGTTGAATAGAATGTCTCAAAAATTGTATCTGTAAATATAAAAAGTTGATATGAAAATTGTATTATGATTCGAAAATTGCTTAAAAGGAAGCTGTATTGAATATTCTTTCTGAAATTGCCCCACTCTCCCTAATATTTGAGGTTAAATATTAAATTCTATCGATTTTGCATGTTTCAACCTCAGTTCCGCTTTAATCTTGAATGCACAATTAGCCAATCTCAGAGCGATATCTGATATTTGATATCCATTGAAAAATTATTGCTCTCACTTTCTTACCTTCAACTTGGAATGTGAGTTCGTGAAAATATTCTGAGATTCGCTAGAAAGATTCCTCCGCCAGTATTGCGCGTATTCAGCACGAAAATACGCAAATTGATGAAAGTGCTTATTAAATTACCTCCACATTTGTTGCATTCCACTTTTAGATTGAGATAATGCAGCTGAAAATCTCAGCTTCTTTAGTCTAACGATGGGAGTAATTTAGCAGACGAGAAGTGTGTTTTGGGCGTCATAAAAACACAAACGAGAGTGCATTGTAATGTTGGGGAATTATCCGGCAAAACTGTGCTGTTTGCATCTAGATTTGCCTCCTTGACTGCAAATAATTGTATTTAATTTCTCAGCCAAGTTTAGCACTGTTGTGCAAATATGTGGTCTTCGCCGGATCTTGCCGCCAAAAAATAATGAAATTACGTGATCTCGTGGCACTTATTCTTACACTCTATTTGCCTCATTATATCTCACAAGCGCGTAGGCTTATTCGGAGCACACTAAAATAACCAACGAGATAAGGTGATAAGGCAATGAATCTTTAAAAAGGCGATGGAGCATAAAAATTCCTTACTATTTTGCCTGTTGAGCATCTTCCGAGATCACATTTTCCGCACATTAGTGAGGTTGTTTTCATTGCAAAGTGAGGATGGAAGTAAAATGATCCACTATCATTAAACTGACAAAGTATATTGATGTTCAGCAAGCGCAGAGAGTGTGAGTAATTTTCCTTGGCTCTCCGATAATAGGATATTTAAATAAATTGTAACAAAGTCAAACATCAGTCTACGTCCGGCTGATTTGTCGCCTTCTGTTAATTAAATATTATCACTTGGAGATGCGTAAGAGAGCATCTTTTGCTGCAAATGATGAAATTGCTGGTGACGCTGAACCATTGAGATTAATTGGGAGGAATATAAGCTTCTCTCCAGTGCCACAGACTCAGTCTATCGTTCGATCGGATCGCGAAGAACACTCCCGCCAGACGCGCACGTGATTCAGAATAACATTACATTCCTTCCCATTCCCAACAATTCCGCGCCGAATGCTGGAGGGCAGCCAGTGAGGGAAAAATTCGTTAGAGTGCCAGTTTCGAGCGTGAGCGGCAGAAGGCAACTTTCTGGTGTGACTTTGTGCCAAAAGTGAACTTTTTTCCTCTCTGTGCATATTTATAACTTTTTAATTGAAATGCGTAGAATACCAGAATAACCCGGGAAATTAGACGTGAACAAATTAATTTGCACTAACTTCCTCAAGTACTTTTTAGCCCCTTCATCTTGCGCAAACTTTTGCCCTTTCGCACAATGTTTTTCCGGAGAAAAGGTAATTTCCCAGCATTTGATACTTTAGAGAGAAAAAAATTCTGTAAATATTTTATTTGTCAGCGCCTTAGTGAAATTCTGTTTCATCGTTATCGACTTTTTGAAAATACGCGCAGCGTGATGTTGTGAGCCTCTTCGCATGTGAATTCTGTCACAAAAGAGAGACAGCAATAAGAGATGAGCGCATTATTGACGATTTTACGCTTCAGTGGAAATGTTGACGAGAGTGTCAAAAAATAGAGAGTTATAAATTAATTGACTTTATTAAATTTGCAGTGAAATTCCAGTGGATTCATTAAATTTATACCACGAATATTTTTTTGCGTTAATACAACATAACGCTGAGGGATGTTTAATGTTATTTTTCTCTTTGACATTCACGACATTTAAAATTGTGTTTGCCGAACTTCATTGTATTTTTAATTAATTTCATAAATTCAATAAACATTACAATAACGTAATGTCGTTATAATGAGACATTTTTGCTTGAATTTTAACCAACACGCATTTTATAAAAATTATGAGTTGGTAATTGACATTAATATCGCGTATACATGATTGTAAACATAACTACATGATTACATAATTACTTCATTTGCAAATATTTATATCAAGTTATACTTTTATATTGCCAGCTCTTTTGTTATGCAAACAATTATTGCAGAAGAACTGATAATTAAATACTCGCTATCTGCAAAGTGAGTTATCGTTTGTCTTGTCTTATTGCTCTTTGTCTTTTCTATCTGGGAAGCACAAAATCTTTATTTATTCTTAAGTGTGAATCAACTGAGCTCTCAGTGCATTAGCAAAGAAAGTGCCAATTAAGAATTGAAATTAACGCTTCACTGCATCGTGCAATTGGAGATTTTTCCGCTATTGCGCGCACATTTGCAGCGCTGTTCAGAAGAAAGTCAGTGGCGTGTAATCAATGAACTCCGCCACTACGTAAACGCACTTCCCTGCGATTGTCTTGGGTTTTTGACAGATTCCGCCGTCCAGAAGTGACCCAGTGGCGTCAACCTCTAATTGTCGGGCGCGCGCTGAACAATTTACTGTGTTAATTGGTGCTCAGATTTAAAAATTGGAGTGTTATGCAACTTTATTAACTCTTAATGTCTCCGCCTTAGTCGCAATCTCACCACCAGAGGCAGGAAATCGCGTCGCGAATCCGTCTGGCCAGCAAATCCCATCCATTGACCTGAACATGAGCGGACAGCCCAGAGACGAGGAGGCGCAGAAGGTGAATCTCTTTCATCAGCGCGAACCAGAAAATGAAGAGTTTGATGACGACAAGCCAAAGATGTGAGTATCTTGCGCGCAATTGTGATCAGGGAATGCCACTGAAGGTGACTCTTCGCCAGATGGAACAAAACAGTGAAGCACTGGCCAGTAATCTCGCAGCCTCTGAGTCTGCTGGTGATCTTCCTGCTCATGTGGGGTGTGGGCTACTCCGTTGTGCCGCAGTACACATCTCCGGACAGTCCCTTCATGCGGATGGTCTTCCTGTTCATCGGCGGACAAACGTGCGGCATCCTGGTGAGCTTCGTCGGACTTCCGGACATGCTGGGCATGATTGGCTGGGGCGTCTTCTACAGAAACATCGGTCTCGGCACATTTGTCGGTCTCCAAGGCCTCGAGGCGATTCTGAGGTATTATAATGTGACTGTTTACAAAGTGTCACACTCGCCTTAACTTCCTTTTAATCCTTTTCAGAGAATTGGCTCTGGTTAACATAATGCTGCTGGCAGGATTAGGACTGGATCTGGATGCTCTGCGGAAGCTCTTTGGCATGGTGATGAAAATCACTCTCATCCCGACAGCCGCAGAGACGGTCATCGTGGCTGTCCTGGCTGTATTCCTCTTCCAAATGCCCTGGCTCTGGGGCTTCCTTCTCGGGTGAGAGTCATTTTGCTCATTAACTCTGAGTTCTAGAATGCATTTTGTTGTGACACTTGTTTTTAGACTTCAGAATTTTCCTCTTACTTTGATTGTACATCAAATGTGTAAGTGGAAGTAGATCTTTGTTTATGATTTAACTCATTCTTGAAGTTTTCCTTCAAAATCACATTGACAGAATTTTTCTGTCGAAGGTTTTTCTGTGAAATCATTGTATTTTGCAATGTGTACACAGAATTTTTGTAATATTGACACTTCACACCTCAAGTTCCACTCGATTTTCGCACCATATTTTCCTCTTAATTATCACCAAAAAGTGCCATAAATGTTTACTCATTAAAAGAGATAATATGGATGTCAGAAATTCGCACCAGAAAATATTGCTTTACCGTCGTGCAAGGGTTAACTTTACGATATCATTCAAAGTTCCCGACATATATATTACACAATATGATCCAGACAGGGAGATTTGGGGAGATTTCACACTTCGGGCAGCAAAATATCACTGACACGATAATTGTTTTAGGCTTGTGGTCACCGCGGTGTCCCCGAACGTCGTCATCAGCATCCTTCTGCAGCTAAAAGAGCAGCGGCTGGGACTCAATAAAGGCATTCACACCCTCATAATTGCTATGACCAGCTGCAACGATGTCATCGCCATCTTCTGCTTCGGTGTTGTGCTCGGTGTCATATTCTCCAGTGGCAATCTCACTGACCAACTCTTGCAGGGGCCAATTGGCATTGTCCTGGGCCTTGTGGCGGGCTTTGGAATGGGCGTTTTCCTCACCCTCATGCCATCCAATAAATCCGTAAGAGCACAACTTAATTAACTCCATCCAGCCTCATTTCCCATACATCTACCCCGGTGATTGTGCACTCAGAGAAAATGCTAACCGCAGCCCAATTTGATAGTGGAAGTTGAAATGGCCATTTAACTAATCCACTGGCGAATGGGTGCATGAATTTAAATTGCAAAACGCTTTTACCTCCGTCCTGGAGCCATTCCGCACGTCCGGGCAATTTCCTTGGCATTTTCTTTGAGTGCTAGAGAGCATCAGGGCGGACGTCCAAGTTCACAAATTGAATTGCGTTCTCTGCAATCAACATCTCACGTTCCAACCCTTGTAGACGTACTCCACCGGGCTCAGGGTGGCCACAATAGTGCTGGCCGGAGTGCTGGGCGTCGTGGGCAGTAAGGCCATCGGCTATCCGTCAGCCGGCGCCCTCTCGTGCATCGTGGTGTCTTTCGTGGCGGGCACGGGCTGGCGAAAGAAGCACGCAAGGGAGGCGGTAAGGAAATCACCATCACTCCATCCAATAATTAGCCCAATTCCCAAATGATGCTTCACATGAAACTCTCTAGGCCGACGTCACGACTTACTTGGATTTAATGTGGAAGTTCATGAAGCCAATCTCCTTCTCCATGATCGGCAAAGAGGTGGCATTCAATCTCCTTGAGGGCGAAACTGTGCTCTACGGCTTCGTTGTCCTCATCGTTGGCGTTCTTGTGAGTGACCTCAATTCTTCAAGCGTGAAAATTTATGCCCTCTCACTTTAACCACTTCTTTTGCTCTTCAGGTTCGTGTGGTCTTTGCCTATGCATCACTGTTGGGCGGTAAACTGAACTGGAAGGAAAAAGCCTATGTTACGATCTCGTCATGTCCCAAGGCGACTGTTCAGGTGAATATCTGCAATGTTGTCATATCCATCAGGAGAGCAATTAAGACGATTAGAGTAATTGATTCCGAATTGATTGCTGGTTTATCGATAGTCTCTCGAGACTGAAATTGCATACTCGCAGTTATCAGGCTGATTGCCATCAACACTGGATGAAAGTCAGTCGGTTTATTGCTCAGTTTAACGTTTCAGTTTGCACGTCAGCCACGAAGCAAGGGGTAAATAATGCGCAAAAATTGAGAAATAGTGCTTCAAAGTTGGTATGATGATTCTTTAGGCCATTGATGATGCTTAAACGTCTGCAGTTAAACTCATTCGTGCAGATTATTTGCGCCTTGCTTGAAATCCAATCTCTGGAAAATATGATTCTGGCCTATTGCCCACAGTTTACGATGAGAGTCCATAATAATGCTTGCAATGTTCCGATTTAGGCCGCTCTCGGACCTGTTGCACTCGATTTAGCACGCAAAATGGATTCTTCTGGCGAAACGCTGGCGTTCGCCAATCAAGTCCTCATCGTATCAGTGCTGGCCATCACGGCCACGGCGCCCTTAGGGGCGCTCCTCATGACCAAATTGGCACCGTCATGGCTGAAGAGAAGCCCGCCGGCCACAATGGACGCCAACGGAGCAACAGCGGACCGCTTCTAGCCCCAAATGGATTTCCCCATGTGGGTCAGTCTTTCACATGTGATTATTCATTGCTTCTCCCACTGTTTCTGCCCGTTGACTTCCTGCAAGTCACCCGGAGGGACGCCTTTTTGGGGCCAGAGGCGGAATCATCCATTTTATACCTCATTTCATCGATTATGGAGCTTATCTGGGCATCTTCCATGGCTAAATTGGAAGCGTACAGAAAAAATTTCATCCTCGCCATAAAGCAAATAGCTATAAGAGAGATGGTATAGAAGTGATAAGAGTTGGAAAACCCTATGAATCTTACTTAGTTTTGTACTTAAGAGAAATATATTGTTCAATTTGTGACTTAATTTAGGAAAATAAATGTTCTCACGGCAATTTTACACGAAGTTGTGCAAATTCTTCACCACTGTTTACACTTTATTGTCTGGAGTTGGTGTTTATGAGAGAATTATGGCACTACCCAATAAAACACAGGGAAGAAGGTGGCCTTAATTAAATTCCAAGAAGGAAATAAATGTGAATCGGTGGGGATATTCACCGCACACGATATTCCATCTGCCAAGAAGTTTGCTCCGCAAGAACACCAGCGCTTTGGTAAATATTTGACACACAAAAGAGCGGAAGACAAGCGTTGGTAGAACTTTAATTCTACTATGATAATGTTTGTTCAGCCTCTTTAAAACGCGTCTGGCGACATTGTCGCGATCGACGGAAAATTCGAATTAACACGCGAGTCATCAATCATTTGGCGTTGTGGACTTTTCTCTGTAATCAAGTTAAATGCTCTCCCATCTTTCTGCATGTCTGCACCAGAAGTAGTGCAATGTCGAAATATCGCTCGAAAGTTTCAAGCGATTAAGCATCGCCAGAGTTTTCTCTCATCGCAGCTTTACTCCAGAGAGGGATTTTACAATCACGATATAGAGGCGAATTTGTCACTCGCAATCCCACCGAAAAATCCATCAAGTGTCTAAAGCTGGTGCGAAAGCTCCGGCAAAGAGAAGTAATGATGAGATTCCACACGTAAAATCGTTTCGCTGAACTTTCTATCCTCACGAAATCACTCCAAATTTGTTTACACTCTCTGTTTCAGACGAGGCAAGACTCTAATCACGATGTATCTGGGATAAAAGTTGCGTGTTTGCATTTTTCGCTTCCTTCCCTGCCCGGAGAAAAGTGTGGGAAATGGAAGGCGGGTGCAAAATATTGAGTACGAGCAACTTTCAACTCACGAAGGTGAGGAAAATGAGGGCTTATGGATTCTTCTGTGCCATTATCGCTTCTCCCTCTTGACAGGAAATTCACACACCACACGATATCACTGCCAACCATAAATGCCCTTCTATTTTGCCACTGTATTAGCTGCGAGATTCTCAAGTTGCCCAACAAGAGACATTTGACAAGCATAATGCTCTCAATTGATTTTTTTTTGCTGTCCCGCTTTTCCCACAGGCGGAAAAAAGAGGGGCGTCAGAGCGGAGATTTGGGGGTGATTGAGAAAATTGGGGAAAATCCATGGAGATTTTCAGTAGAACGTCCTTTGATATCCATGGCTCATTTTATCATTTTAATTAAGGTCGTCGCACCATCGCCAGTCGCTTCGCATCCGCCAACAGGTGTCTACACGTCGTAATTCAATCTCACCCTCCGCCCAAGGAGTTCAGGTGAGTCTCCCTCGATACCATCGGAAACTTTCTCTTTTACATCATCCAATCACCCCCGAGAGACTCCGCCTCGTCGTGCTTCCGATGGGAAAGAATTCGATTGAAGAGAAAAGTTCATCTGCACACAAGAAATAGCTTCAAAATTTTCCATTGTTTTTCCTCCGCAACAAGAGGATAATAAGAGATGGTATTTAAATTACCCCTACTCGCTAATCAGTGGCGTATCATTGGAAAATCGTGTATGTTTGATAAATGTCGCAAAAACAATTTCAATAATAAGATTTTCAATTCAACAATAATTGCCATTTGTTGATTTTCTCAAGAGAATTTGAATCAAAGACTTTTCAAATTAAAATGCAGTTTTTTCCGTAGTCTCAAGCGTTCCTGTGCTAAAGCTCTTTTCCTCAATTCTCGCACTCAATTTGTAACTTTCTTTGTTACGCCACTGGCAAGAGCTCGTGTTTTACAAAAAGCTAGAAAAAGTTCTGAAATATTTCCAACTTCCGTTGTGTCAGCGCTGTCATGTTAATTTAAGAGAGCTCGAGACTTTCGAGAGCCTGAACTCAAAGCTTTGAGCACCATTGAAAGTTGATACTGTGCGACAGTTTCATGTGTTGATCTTTGTTTAAAGTTGAGCAGAAATTGTAATCAATATGCGTTCAAAACACTGTATAAACTTTCCACACTAAAAACAAATCATCAACACTACATAAATACACATAAATCCTATAATGGGAAGCACTTTGTGCAAAGTTTTCCTCATGTGAGAACAGTGGGAAAACTGAGTGAGAGGCGCAACTTAATGCGGAAGCCCCTGAGATATGTATTGCTGCAATCGTGAGTGACAAAGAAAACTTCTCAACCTCGAGGCTGTGCGTGGAAGGAGGAATTTTAAGTACAATTTATGAACATTCTTCTTCCATCCATTCTTCCCCTTCTGCCTCGTCTTCGGGAAAGCGGCCCATTTTTTTCTGCACTCTCACATCTGTTTACACAAAAGAAGTGTGCGCCAATGGTCGGGAGGGTGAAAAGGCGACTCGAGGACTTTTTTCCGTGGCGCAAGAAAAAAGCTAATTTCAAGCACTCTGGCGAGGAGCTTTTCACTGAAGCAGAACTGAATTCAATACCGAAAAATTCATCTATTGTGACTCTCTCTTGGCCTGAATTCCGAAGAGGCGCGCACTCGAGTGGGAAAAAGCAGACAGATGTTGTGAGAAAACTCGGAATTTTCCCAATGCGGACAAGACATTGCTCTTTGCCATACAAAACTTTCACAGCACCGCCACTTGAGATTTCCCACACAACTTTCACTGGCGAAAGACGCCTCCTTTATTTGACTTGAGTGAAAACTTTTCAGTTGCCAAATAACATAAAAATCTCCTCTAAATACCCCAAAACTATATTCTCAGTCTATTTCCTGTCGATGCTGATCAAGCAGCAAAAAGACGGGCTTTTTTGCTAACGAATGACATGGCAAGTGAAGAGGAAGCAAGTTCGCAAGGGCGTAAAAAGAGACGCATTGTGAGTTCAAAGGCTAAAAGTGGAAATATGCAAATTTAATTTGTGCCTGAATAATAACAGAAATAACACAGTGATTTGATTGTCGCAAGCTGTACAAGCAGAAAAGGACGACAAAGAAGTTGTTTTGCATCTGAATTCATATCAAAATCCTCCCATCGCGTGGGAAATTCAATTTGTTGACAGTGGAAATGTGGAGAAATGCTGCTAAAATGGGAAATAAGGAGTCAACTAAAGCTCTTGACACATATTTTTGGTGTTAACGTAACATCAAAGCCACATATCATAGTTTCATGCCAGAAAACTCCATATATATAATTTCAATATCTATCTAAAAGGTTTACTTGTAATATGACAAGCTTTATTCACCATGTTTCAGCCGATAAACCCCATTGAGGAGCTCTCAGAATCTTGCCACAATGGGGATTATTGGGAGAAAGTGTGTGACTTTGCGTGGTAATTCGGTAATCAGCAGCACAACACATGCTTTTTCACCCTGCGCGCCATTCACGTCCCCTTGAATATCAATCGCAAATGCCACCCTTTTCGGGTGGGCAAGATAAAGTCCTCCCTCGGGAGGGTCGCACCATGAATTACACTCTCTAGATGGTGTCGAATGAACAATTTCCAGGACAAATTCGATAACCGCACTCTGACCATTTTCCGTACGTGAGGATAAATTTGGTGTTTAGGCGAAAGTTTTAGAGAGAGAACTGATGGATTTCTTACTCGACTCACTTCTGTTATTGGTCAGAAAGCTCAGAACTGCGAAATTGAGAAATGAGAAGCGGTGAAACACAAATTCAGGTCTTATTAGAGCCTATCTTTTATTCGTTTTAATTAGAAACGAGTTCTAATGTACTCTAAATTTTATCTCACTTTAATTCGGTTTCGTATTTTGGTTTATTTTGGTTGTATTTATTCTTGGTTCTAATTCAACAGTCAATTTTAATGTAAATCTGTACCAATTGCCATCTAAACTTGCCAAGATTCATTCACTCCACATTCCGAGGTTTTTCCAGTAATCCCAACTTTGCTGAAAGTTGCCACAGCTTATCGATGTCCCTTTGTATCTTAATGTCCGGGGTTCGACCACCGGGGAAAGTTCAAGGCAAAGCTCCTTTGCAGTTCATGTTACACTGATCATCACAATGCTCCACGTCTCTTTGAACTGCTCCACAGGATTTCTGTAATTAATTCACCACTGGGAAATCATCCCAGGCACACAATCTCTCCCCGGAGGAGGGAAATAAATTAAAAGTTTCACTATGAAGACAAAATACACCAGCAATTTAAATCGTCGCTTGAAAATCTCCACAGAGAAGCTGTAAAAGCATAAAAGTTTATGCTCGTGTTTAGCATATAATATGATCGGTTGTGGGAATTTTTTTTCAATAACACACCTCTTTAAGCTCTGGCTCAAGTTCACGTGAGAGAATTGCACGAGAGTGTGCGTGAGAGGCAGATTCTCATTAGTGGCTGTTTTTCCCTGACTTGTCTTCCTTCCTGAGCGCCGTCGCGACGCAGGAGACGAAGATGAATGAAGCTCCATCGCCAGAGGCGCATTTAGGCTCACACACACACACAGTTCACCTCAGCCGAGATGGCAGGAAAGCCAGAAGAGCTTTGGATGGGGTTTTTGGGTAAATTGATGAGTGAAAATTCCACCAAAAGAGGCATAACTACCGATAATTACTGAGCCATCTTTCTCCATTCCCACCCACAAAATAATGAATAACACGAGCAATTTATGTCTCTTCTCATCGTCTCATAAATCACGAGCGAGAATTACCATTAATTAATCGACTAAAACTGCTCCTCAGCCCGAAAGCTGGGGCAGTTTTGGGGTGGCGAAAGAGAACACAAGATATGTAACAGACCAAGTGTCAAGAATATTGACTTCATTGGCCACTTTCCATATCGTTGCGGAACTTTTTGGGGGCGGAGAACTTTCCCATCGATTACAATTTCCTCCCTTTTGACCGCCCTTCCTGCCTTCCGCCGGAGCCAAAAGGTAAAGACACATTCGCTCGAGCCCCAATGCTTTAACACACCAGAGAAATTTATACACTGCTCTAGTTTTTCACCCCGATTTTCTGCCCATTTGCCAAAGTGTCTGCTGCTTAAAATTCAGCGGCGAATTTATTTTTAGACACATAAATGCTCACTTCAAAATCGTCAAAACTCTATTGAAACCATTGAAACTTGTGATGATCGTCAAACTTTATTTCAATTGAGAACATTTTCCAAATAGCATCGTGCAACTTTGCCTCGCATAATTCTCAGTGTGCGAAAGAAAGTGAAAAGAATCTCAATTTCCCACTCAGAGTGCTCGATAAACTTTCGGAAATCTCCTTTTGGAAGTTAAGTGAAACTGTCATTTTCCTTTCATCTCCACGTCAAAACTAAAGAAATTTATCGTCCTTCTGGAATTGAAGCTCCTTTTTTCTCTCTTTCTCTTCTGCCACACTTTGATCGAGTCGGAATTTAACCCGCAAATTGACTTTATCGAATGGAAAAACTCGCCCTTCATTTTTGGCCAATACTTGCGCGTCGAGCAGGAAAATATATGTGTGCGAACACATTGAAAACTTCGCCCTAATTACCAACCATTAGCGATAAAGCTTAACTCATTCTCGCAAGGGAGGCAATAAATTGGCCCCAAAGTGGGAAATAAATGTGTTTTTCACACAAAAGCTTTCGCCTCTTAGGAAAGTTTGCCGAGGAAAAAGTTCACATTTGTGGTCAAACAGAAAGTTTTCAATCTGCCATAAAGCCTCACGCAATGTTCGAACTGCAATTTCTCTCAATAATAACGCCATCATTCTGTCCACTCAATCAATCGCACTCAATCAATGCGAAATTTCTCAACGAGGTCTCAAATATGCATAGAAAAACACATAACACTTATTTGTTTTCTGTTTTTTTATCATCTCTTTACATATCTATAGTTATTTTTATATATAATTAAAGTACATTTATTAATTCAATATCTTTCAGCATCATGAAAAAATATATACGTTATATTATTTCAATCAATATAGAAAAAGTCCTTGTAATTTTTCTTCTTTTACTTCTTAAATCTTTTTATCGTTTTCAATCATTTACTTCTGTTTTTTTTTCTTTATTCAATCTTTATGCAACATATTTAATGCAATTTTCATTTACTCAATATTCTTCTCAATTTTTTTTATTATACTTCTCTTTATAATTTCTCCTCTCTTTCTCTCGATAAAATTATCCGAGCCCATAACAGTCTTGTATTTTATTTAATCAGTTTTGAATTTCAAGTTTTTTTTTCATCATAAATTCAAAGGGTTGTAAAGCATCTTTTCACTATGATTTAAAGATGTATAAAGGATTTCTCAAATACGGCAAATTTTTTATTCTCAATTTGCTTTGACACAACATTCCAGAAAGGTTAAACAGTTTGTTTTCCTCTTCACTAAAACCCAGTGGGAAATTTCAGATTGATAAAAGGGACTAAAAATCTAATTCATGGTTCTTAAATGTTATACAAAACTTGCTACGACTCAATATTTCACTGAACTGTATTAGAAAAGTGAAGAAATATCAATGAAAAACGTCCAAAATAAAACTTCTCTGACGCGAAATACGTTGCAAAACTTCCATTAAAAGTTCTTCAAGAGATATTTAATGCACAACAAGTGAAAAGTTCAGCGGGAGAAAACATAATTCACTCACTGAATCAAGTCAAGCAGTGAGGATGATTAAATGAAGAGCGAGAATGCATATAGAAAAATTTAAATAAATATTTAGTTGTACAATGATAGTTAAAAATAGAGGATAAAATCACTGCGCGATTCTTTTCTGCACGTTTCAATAATTCATGAGCTTAAATTCTTTTCACATCTTAGTTTTCTCCCGCTCTTTTTTTTTAGCGAAATCTCTACGATTTTCTCTTTTTTTTACTTGTCAATTTATTCCCAGCAGTAAACTCCATATAAAACTATGTTAACACAAGAAAATTATCAATTATTATTTAACATAAATATTTTATTGTGATTCATTTCTTTAGTTTATCCAATTGTAATCAAGACAAATGTTAAATAAATGTCGAATCGATATGAAAAAAAAAAATACAAAATCATCTGAGTGAAGTTGCTAAATAAGAAAAAAAAACATTGAAATATCTCTTCATTCTTTTCAATTATACGTATTATTACAATTAAAAGTTCTTATACGATAATTTTCTTTTTTTCATTATTGATCTCAATTTTTTGTTAATGGGTTAATATTATTAAATATTACTTCATTACGTTTCTCTCTCTCTTTTCTTCCATTAGCCATCAAAATCGTATTCTATCGTATTAACTTGTCAGAAATTTAAACAGGTGAATTCTCATCGCTTTACTTCAAAAGAATACTCAAATTATGGTTATATTTTATGGTACAAAAAAAAGGAAAAAAAAACAGAAAAATTCATTATTGGTATGAAAATCTTTGAATTGCAAACTCTTTTTTTTGTAGTTTTTTTTCTATTTTTATGATTTTCTTTTGCCATCATAAAAAAAACTCAGTTGAAAACAATCAAAATGTTCCTTGATTTTTCAATAATATGTAGCAAAAAACATAAATTTTTCATGAGGCTTCTTCAAAATCGCACTCTTTTCTTCTTTTTTTTGTCTAAAATTCTTCTCTAATCATTTGTTCAATTCATCTCATTTTTTTTCTCTATACTTCAATTTACCGCAAAAATTCAAATATACTCTCTCTTCGCTTGAGATGCTCATTATAATAAACCTCCCTTTTCTTAGTGCTTCTTTCCAAATTTCACTTAAATCATTGTCACATCTCTCGCGACTCCCTTCGTCAATAACTCACCTCTGCTTCTTTTTAGTTAGTTTCAATGAAAATTGATTTACACTGCGGTGACGTCAGTGGTTTCAATTCTATTTAAATCGTTTTTGTTATTGCGCTCCTGCGACTTCATAATCTCAACACGCAACTCCACCTCCTCCATCTGATCCTCGTTCTGCACGCGCACCTTCAGGTCGGCCAGCGAGTTCAGAAGATCGTTGGTGGCCTGCTCCAGATCAGTGGCCGGCTTGTGGAAATACAAGAAGCATCGTCCGCCTGAAAGTGCACGGAAAACAGCGTAAGAACCGCACAATTTCAGCAATCCTCAAGCAATTCTACTCACTCTTCCAGGAGATGAAGTGCGGATTGCAGCCACGTTGTCGGATCTCCGCCTTGATGTCCTTCACGCGAACGTTCTTGGAGATGTTTGTAACTTTGATACAAATGTTATTGCTATGATCTGTACCACGACGACGATCACCAGGCGGCTTCTCTGATGGATTCTCCTGGCCATTCTGATTGTCTCTCTCGCTCTGCCAGAAAGATAGATAATGAGAATCAGCGTCTAACCGAAAGGAGCCACAATTAAAATGGACAAACTATTCTTATTTTTAAACCAAATGTCTAGCAAAAGGTCGTATTTCAACTCTGCACAAAACATAGTTAAAATTTCTATTTGATTGTCACTTAACAAAGAAATGTTAAGATTTTGACTTGCATTTTGGCTCATAAATTATAATATATTATATTAAAATCACGATTTCAAAAAAAAAAAAACATTATCACAATGATCACTGGAATTGCTTTGCGAACTTACGCGACGTCGAGGGAATTTCCTGCGTGGGCGTCGGGTTCGTTGGTTTTCCTGCAAGTCAATGGATAACTTTTCAAAAATCCTTTGCATAAACTATGATAGTTTCTTCCGTTAGTTACTCACGTTATTTTCACCATTGTTCTCCGCGCGAGGCTTGCGCTGGCGCTTCATGAAGCGCTTATTTCGATTCTGACGCGGCTTGCGATTTGACTCCACATCCGTGTCCTCGGCCTTCAACTCGATCGCCTTGTTGGCTCTGCAGAGGGCGAAAAAAAGCGTGGATCAGTGCTTAGACAAGGATCAATAGCTGGCGACAGACTTACGCCTCTTCCTTCTCCTTGAGCACCTTGAGCACGGGCACGATGCCGAGGCGACGCTGCGAGAGCAGCGGCCACTCGATGCCCTGCGGACGCGGAAGGCGCTTCGCCACGCGGATCACCTCCGTGGGCGTCACGATCATATCCACAGGTACGTCGTAGCTTTTGAAGAGATCAGCCGGTAAGCTGTCGGAGACCTGCAAGTGGAATTCATAGGCGTTGCAAAAATCTCGCGAACGCGAGAGAGCAAAAAGGCAGATAGCGAACCTGAGCGTCGTGGACCGTTGTCACGATCAGGGTGTCATTGGTGATAACTCCGCAGTGCACGAGAAGAGCAAAGTCCAGATCCACGTAGCCATTTCCCTTGCCAATTCGGCGACCTTCTCTGTCCACCGCCACGGAGCCGATAACAATCATGTCCAGCTTCAGGTCCGTGTCGTGATCTTTGCGCAGAGTGAAATGCAACGGAGAAAAAATGGTGATAAGCAATGCTTATGCTATGTTTATGAGTCTGACTGGTATTTCTGCGGCCAATCAACTTGACTAGGAGTTAAAATTACACTTGATTTTATAGATTCACGGAAGATTCAATAATAAATAGTCAGTAATAAAAGCCCTTTGAAAAATGTAAATTTAGCATTTAGATTCCACTTCTTTTTGTTTGATTAACAAATCACTTTATCTAATACAAAAGAGTAAAAAGACAATACGCAAAGAAATCAGTGAATCGAGTGAATCATACATGAATCCTAGACGAATCCTTCAAATCTCCTCCGAATTGTTTTCCAATTATGCAATATTCAACTCCAATTCGACCATCAATGTGACTCTGTACAGTGATTAGCAGACAAAAGTCTGTGTGCTCTCGAGAATAAATTAAGAACGGGTCTATGAATCATATTCCTTTTTTAGACGCGCTTTTCTCATGCTTTTCATTGAACCTTCAAAGCCGCCTCGAAATCCTCCCATGCATTATTCTGTGCCCGTCTCAAGATACTCACTGATCTCCTCGCCCTTCTCGCGCAGCACCTGCGGACGAATGAGCTGCTTCTGCACGGCCAGATCGGCATCGGCCGGAGCCTCGAGCTTGGCCAGGAGGGCCGTGGAGTCGCGCACTGGGGAGACGAACAGGGGCTTCCCGGCGCCCAGAGCCAGCAGCTTGATGGGCTCCTGCGGCTTGTCCGTGTTGATCTTGATTCTTTCTGCACGCGCACAACCAAAAGAGAGAGTTTTTCAGTGAAATATGGCCCCAGAGCCACTCCCTGAAACCCCAGGGAGCTCCGTTGGCATCCACTTACGGGCATTCTTGAACTCCTGCGTGTCCGCAAGAAGGGCGGCGGCCTTCTCGGCCCCCACGAAGTTCGTGATGCGATTGTAGACGTAGTTGGTATGAGTTGCGGCTTTCTGCTCGAGGAGCTTCTTCCATACTTGGACACGGATTGACCTCTTCGTGATCTCCTCACCTGCAACAACACCCACACATCGTCATGAGCGCCTGCCGTACCGGCGCTCGGGCGCGCCCCGGGGCGCACATGGTGGCCCCACGCGGGTGAAAAGAGGCGAAATGTGGTGAAAACAAAAACACGCCTCGTGTTTCGAGTCGACACTCGACTGGAGGGCATTTTTTCACACCCACTTTTCGCCCCATCGCACCGCACAGCGCCCCCAAAATTCACCACCCGCGCACACCCCACACCCTCAGTCGTCACTTACTCTTCGGCACATCCCCATTTTCCTTGGAAGGCTCCATATTTTCCAGATTTTCTGCTCTGCTGCGAAAAATGACAGCCACTGATTTTGACCAAGCTGCAGGAAACTGCTGCAATGCAAGATGGCGCCAACCGAACACAAAAGTGGCCAGAGGGCGTGCACGGCGGCGAGGAGTCCGCGCGGAAATGTCACTGCGTCACGCAAAAGCTCGTCAACCGGAAGTGGTCAGGGCTGCCCAGAAGGATGCCCTCTTCCTGGAGGACATCACCGGGCGGATCGGGGAACTCCTGGAGACACTGCCCATCGGCCGACGACAAAGATTTCCCGAGAATTTGGCGAAATACATCGCTGCGGGTGTTTATTATGGACTGAGCACAATATCTCGCCTTCAGACGCTCGGCGAAGAGTACACAGGGATGATCCAGGTGGACAGCCAATGCCGAGACTTGCCGCGGAAGAATGTGCAGATGCTCACGTACTTGTTGGACGTGGGCGGAGAGGATTTGATGAGGTGCTTGCTGCAGAAGATTGAAACGCAAGTCATGCACGAAGAGAGTGTGCTTCCTGAAGCCCGAGAGAAGATTCAAGTGGTGCTGAAGCACTTGAGAGATTCCCTGCCACACTGGAAGACCGCCCACAGAGCATGGTTCTACATTTTCGCCGGGAAGTATCATATTTCAAAGAGACTGACTGGGATAAATTACCTTCTGGTCAGATACTGGATAAACTCGACTCTGTCCATGAATGCCTACAGATTCCTAGGAATCATTACACTCCTCCAGTTGGGAATAGTCTCACTGCGAGCGATGAAAAACATGAAAGAGGACTTGTCCCGAATTCGTCCGGAGGATTATCAAAAACCAAAAGTTTTCGACCAAAATCTCATGCAGACGCTGAAGATGTGCGTTCTTTGTCTGGAGCCGCGGAAGAACACATCTGCCACGCCTTGCGGTCATCTCTTCTGCTGGAACTGCATCATGGACTCGCTGGAGCAGAAGAGCGTGTGTCCAGTGTGTCGGGAAGCGCTGAAGAAGAGTTCAATTGTACCTCTGATGAACTATTCCTAATTTTATGATAAATACGGCAGACTTTAATTTCTATTCAGAAGTCAATAAAGCGTTAAATATCGGGAATACTGTGGGCGTTTCTCTGGAATTAGCGAATCGCTTGAGACATGTGAAGCGGCGTGAGCATCAATTCGAGTTGAGCATCTTTGAAATTAGCACCTGAAAATCATGTATTCAATCAGAAAAGGCCTTTAGGAACACTTGGAAGCGTGCTTACCTCGAAGATTAGCTTCTTGAAGGTCACTCCCAGAAAGATTGCACTTCTCCAGATCAGCGCCAGCGAGGATTGCTGCCCGGAGATTGCAATTTTTCATGTTAGCGTTCTTCAGATTCGCCACTCGGAGGTTGACTCCGGCCATGTTGCTGCCCTCTAGACAGGCGCCCTTGAGGTTCACGCCCTCCAGGTTGCTCCTGCTGCCCGTGGGGTCCTCAAAGTTGCACTCCTGCAGATTGGCGCCCTCCATGTTGGCGCAGAGCGCCTTCAGCGAGATCATCTGAGCGTAGGAGATGTCAGCGTGCGAGAGATCACATCTCTCCAGGCAGCAATTCGTCAGGTTGGCGTACGACAGGTTGCACCGCGACAGACATGCATACTTAAAGTTTACCTTCCTCAAGTCAAGACGCCGCAGATCAGCTCCTGACAAATTGATGCCCTGGAATCGCAACTCTGAGAGATTGCATGTCTGAATTATTGCCGTGACGACATCCCGTCGAGTCAGTGGAGCGTCTGTGGCTGTGTGATGCCGCCTCACAGTATCTTCGAGTTGGGGAATTAAACTCTCAACGCCGAAGAAGCGCGCCTCTTCCAGAATTCCCTGAGGATTTACGTTTGTGTCATAAATCAACTGTCCGCTCCGCAAGTAGTTCACGATGGGCTCAAAATACTGCGGACTCCTGTCAATAAGATAGGCGCCCTGGTCATCCGTGTCACTAGGGTCCATCGTGCCATCCGTAGAGAACATCCTAGCCAACATTCCTGGTTCTTTAGTCAGCGTCGAGAGGCTCGTCATGAAAATCTTTCCGCCCACATTCAATTTTATCCATTTCGGCAGTCTCTTCACCACCACCTCCACTTCCCGCATTTGCACACTATCATTAGAGACCTCTTCAATATCCTGGGACATTCTTATCACGGGGAATATCAAGGGAAACAGGGATTGTTTACGCTTCCGGGATGACAGTCGAATTTGTTCTTATTAGCATGCTAGCATGCTAGTGGAATGTCATCGCGCCGGAAAAATGAGGTTGGGTTGTGTGGCCAGGAGAGAATTCTGATCAAATGGTATTTCTGGTGATGAAACACAAGTGAATAAGCAGTCAATCAATTGCCCAAGATGAGCAGAAACCTCCTGTTGAGTGTTCATTCAACATACCGAAGAAACCTTGCGCTCAACAATCAATTAAGGCTCGTCTCGACAACAAGGATTCCCAATCCCGGCAGAAATGACCAGAAGAGCCGCAAGAACGACAGGAGTAGCTCAGCGACGAGCTGGACGATATGCGGCATTGCCATAGGAATTATCTCCAGTGTTATAGGTGTCAATGCCTACCTGAAGAAGAGAGATGACGCAAGCATTTTCCCGAGAGTCCTGGCTGCCACCATGACGACTCCTGCTCAGCGGCGGAAGGACTTCAACATAATCGCAGACGTGGTGGAAGTGGCTGCGCCGGCTGTGGTGTACATCGAGATTAACACTATAAAGAAGCACGACTTCTTCAATCATCCCCTAACAGTATCCAACGGATCAGGCTTCATTGTCGAGGAGGATGGCCTGATCCTTACAAATGCGCACGTGGTGGTGCGCCAGCCCAACACCAGAATCAATGTGAAGCTGGCGGACGGGCGGAATTTCACGGGAGTTGTCGAGGATGTGGATTCCATGACGGATTTGGCGACAGTGAGAATTTCGTGCAAAAATCTGCCCACAATAAAACTCGGAGAGTCATCAGTGCTCCGATCCGGAGAGTGGGTAGTCGCCCTGGGGAGTCCTCTAGCTCTTAGCAACACCGTGACAGCGGGAATTGTGAGTTCCACGCAGAGAACTTCCAAAGAACTGGGAATTCTCGGTAAGGATACGCAGTATAATCCAATGAATTTGTCTAATTTTGAGCATTTTTTTTTCCAGGGAAGGAGTTGAAGTACATCCAGACAGATGCTGCCATCACCTTCGGCAACTCTGGAGGTCCACTAGTGAACCTGGACGGTGAGGCGATAGGGATCAACTCGATGAAGATCGCCGAAGCTGCTGGAATCAGTTTCGCGATTCCCATTGATTATGCCAAGGAGTTCCTCAAGCGCAGCAAGGAGAGAATCAGTCGCGGCGGTCTGAAGCAACAGACGCCTCATCGACGGTTTTTGGGCATCACGCACATCACCATCACGCCGGATATCCTGCACGAGTTGAAACATCACAGACATCCAATGGCCAATCAGCTCGATGGCGGCGTTCTGGTGTGGAAAGTCATCCCAGGCTCGCCAGCGGACATCGCGGGCGTCAGCCACGGAGACATCGTGATCGGGATTAACGGGAAACCAGTGAAGAGCACTGCAGACATCCTGGAAGTCTGCCAATCGCTCACTGAGACCGGCAATATCAGGCTGTTGATCTACAGAGGCGCGCTTAAGCTTGAAGTCAGCATTCAGCCTGAGTATCTGGAGTAGCAACAGAGTTGTGAGTGAAACGAGTGATTTTATCAATACAATAAAGTCCGATTTTATTATGAATTCATCAATCAACATTAAGCATTCGTCACACGCACAGAATTTTCATCAAAATGCGACAATTCCGAAGAGGAGAAGATCAAACAGCTTTAAGTAGATGTCCTAAACAATTCCCTGTAGCATTCAGATCTCACTAAATTTCCACCTTACAATTTAGCATCACTTTATGGCTCTCTTGTTAAGTAATATCATTGAACATATTGCAGACTTTGGGAGTCACTTTGATGAGAATTCTTCCGTGTGACCACTCAAGACACTCTGCACGCACTCTCACTACAATTTCCCCGTCAGTCACTCGATCTTCCGCCCATTCACCGCCGCTGAGTTGTGGTGCGTGTGAAAGAGCTCATAGTTCTTCGCGTAGTCTCGCGGCAGACTGAACTGAATGGCGTCCGCCGCCATGTAAGAGGCTCCCAAAGCCATGGTCCGCGTTAAGCGCTTGAGCGCGAGTCCGTAGTTCACCGATGTGGTGTTCATCTCCTTGACGAAGCCCATCTTCAGCAGATCCCAGCTCTGCCACACGGATCCCACGCACACAATGCTCAGCTCGCCGCTGCGCACGAGATCCTCGCTCACGCGCGGCAGCAGGGCGATGATGTGCTTGGCCAGCAGGCGTCCGGCCTCCGTGAAGAGCTGCTGGCTCAGACGATCACCCTCGTTGGCCGCCTTGGCCAGTTTCGAGCACAGGCCGGCGATCAGAGGCTTGTCATAGTGTTTCGCGTAGAAGAAGTTCAGCAGATCATGCCGCGTCTCGACGCTGAAGTGCTCCTTTATCAGCCGCCACACGACATTCGTGGGATGTGGCGATCTGACGAAGTTATCCTCATCGTCGAAGACAGTCTTCATGGCTCTGTAGGAGATTCCCCAGGCTGCAAAAGGCAGAATATCAATTTAATAGGTTGCTTTTAATTTGGTCAGAATGAAATTAAAGCAAAGACTAAAGAAGCCTCACCGCTGCCCTCGTCGCCCATCATGTGTCCCCAGCCGCCGCAGTTGAACTCAGAGCCGTCGGGGTTCTTCAGCAGGGCGTTCGAGCCGGTGCCGGAGATGAGAACCACGCCGCCCAGCGGAGAAACCGTGGCGATGCTGCCCACCGTGTCATTGGTGATAACGAAGCTCTCAGCCAAATTGGGATCTGCGCTGCGCAGCTCGCTCTCCAGCGCCTCCTTGGAGTCCTCGCCACCGCCGCTCAGACTCAGGCCCAGACACTTGAGCCGCAGCGTCTGCGGCAGGCCGGCGGCCGCCTTGGCGCGCGTCGCCATGTCGATGATGCGCCGCACCACTTCCGGAATGCCCACTTGCCAGTGATTGGTGCCCAGGCCCGCGATCGTGGTGACGACGTCGCCCTGCTCATCGCAGATCACCAGCTTGGAGTGTGTCGCTCCCCTGGAAATTAACCAGAGTGGAAAATGACTTCCTGTCTTATCAGCTCAGCTTGTGAATTTACGAGCGTCGGGGGTGAGTTTGCCGAGCGATTTGCTCGTAATTGATGTCAAGGAAAGCCCAATGAGACGCAATTTCGCTCCGCGGAAATGCAGAATCGGCCAATAATTGCTCAAGAAATTTACTGCAGAAGTCTCTCGCGCTCAGCAAATATGATTGAGGTCAAGGAGAGCAGAAGAAAGGGCGCGAAAGAATAAGATTCTATTAATAAAACATGAAGAGATTCAATCGACTGAGAATCTCCAAGAAGTTTTACAAATTATCTTCCAATTGAGAATCTGAACTTTGGTCATTTATTGTACAACTTTTGCATCACGCTCTGAACCAAATAGAATTCAGCGATAGTGCGTTGCAAAGATCATTCGCAACGAAACTATGGCTCTAAAAATTGCGACATGATTCACAAGAGTGTGCGTGAAAATACGCCTTCTGATAAGGCGACGTTTAATCTTTATTGTGTTGTTAAATTTATTGGATGTCTTGTGGCATTTTCTATTGAGTATTCTTGTGCTTTTTGGATTCGATTGTAGAGAATATCTTTATAAATCCTCATGTACGATTCGAAGATTAAGGAAATCAGCAAGTTTTTGTCGTGGAATTCGCTGTTTTTGCATAAAAAACACGAAACAGGAAGTCTGTGAAAATTTGTAGTTAAAGCAGTTTAAATCATCACAGAACTCGTAAAATTTAGCAAAAACATTAATTTATGTTTATATAATCAATCATACTGAACTCTTCGTTTGATGCAACTAGTTGCATGGAAACTATTCTATCTCTCTTTTTATCACCATTCAATTTGCTGACCTTCAGTAAAAAGTAGTTTGCAAAGCCATATTGAACGGAATTCCTCCGATTGAATCTTACGTTCTGGGAGTTTAGGATAAGAAATCTCAAGACTAATCAATGATAACTCGAATTTTTCAATCGCGCTGGCAAATGCACTGAATGGCCCTATTGGAGGCGCACGAGGCTCAGCAATTAATTGGGTATATTGGAGAGTCTAGTGTGTCTCCGGAATATTTGGAGCGCGAAGAATTCACCGTGATCACAATCGGCGGTTCAATGACCAATCGACACATGTTCTCTTGGCCACCGCTGGCCAATTAATGAGCAAGAGCGATTGGTCCACAAACCCACTTTCGTCTGCGCGACCACTGGGCCGCTCTATCCCTGCCTTTCCGGAAGAAGCGTGCAGGACACTCACCCCTCGACTCCGCCAATGTACGTCGACGTCATGGTGTGAAAGTCTTCCCTGGACAGTTCCTCTTGCTGGCTTTCTCCTCACACGTCAGACCACTTTTCACTCTCTCTGCTCACAGATGTGCACCACGAATCACCCTCGCGAGACACGTTGGCACTCCCAGAATTCCACTGGCGACTCCTCGTCCTCAAGATCACAGGTGTTCCTCTCCAATTGCGCTGTATTTGCCGCACCGCGAGCGCACGTTCGACCGCTGAGGCGAGATCCAAGTGACTGGAGGAATGTGACGAGAAACCGCGCCACTCGGGCCACTTCCCGAGCACTGGCTTCGGCTCTCGCGGCACTTTCACTGCGTCTTCCGCGCGAAATTCACTCTCCAGACACTCCCACGAACCGCCCTCGCACTCCTGGGCCTCCCGGAAGGCTCGCCCAAAAGGTCATGACACTGGCTGTTGTGACGCTCGCTCTTTGGCTGTGGTCAAGTTCTCTGTCGCCCCGAAACTCACTGACCCTGATTTTGTAGCGAGAAATCAGCGAAAATCCATAAAAACAGGCAAAATCACGAGAGAGTTTTTGCCTTGCTTTTTGCAAACAATAACAAACCCACTTCGTAGAACTGCGCCGATAAATTTCAAGCTACTCAAGCAAACCTTTCTCTAAATACCGCTGTTAAACACTCTTATCACCACTTTAGAGTGTTATCAGCGGAAAATTTCAGGTAATCTTTCCCTATCTTATCGCAAAAAACATCTCAAATCACGTGTAAATAAAAAAATTTTGGCATGCTTTTAAGCCATCATGCCAGCAGTGATCTGTGATTTGCTTTCATGGCATTTGCTCGGTTTCCCGCGCTTTTGCATGCCAGTCCACTCACCAATTCATATTATCCGACGTTTATTTATCTCGAGTGTGTGTGACAAAAAATGGCAAAGAATTTAATTAAATGCTAAATTAGGCTCTAGGGATGATGAGGATGGGCTGGGTAGCCTCAGAAGGATGAGAAGGAGTTTCTGGGTGGAGACTGGGAATAGAGGGTGTCCGTCGGAAGCCGACCCACGTGACTGAGAGGCGCGGCGTACGAGTCAAATCCCCTGAAGATGCTGCTCTCCGTGTCCCTGGCCTCGAGGACTTTCAGCGGGCTGGCCTGTGAGCTGTAATCAGACGAGGTGTCCAGGTGATTAAACAACCCTGCATACATATTCCTACCGAAATTGTACCCAGAATGCTGCAGTTCGTGCTGCTGCGACACAGTCGGGAAGCGCTGGGCGCGCGGAGACACTTCCTGGAATTGTGAGAATTGCGGCCTGATGTAGACATAGCCGCTTCTATGATTGTCGTAGAGTCCTCGCGCTACAGCGTCGTAGTACTGCTTCCGCTCATTGGGATCGTTGAAGTAGTAGCCCTGGGCAGGGATGATCTGAATGTCCGTCACTCTCTGATTGGCCACTTTCGAGTCGAAGCGGTTGCTAAAGCTGGTGGCCTGAGGAGTTTGGTAGAAGGGCGCCGGAGTGGAGAATCCAGTGTGCAGAGGCAGCGCATTAGGATTCAGTCTGGACGTGAACTGAACTCGCTGAGGGAAGAAAGCACTTCCTTCCTTTGCGGAGTCCTGATCTCGGGCGCTTGGCAGAAGACCCAATTTCTTGAGCTCCCTCTCTTTGATCTCCACTGGATCCAGAGGCAGAGAGAAGTACATCGATGGAGGATTTGCGTTATTCAGAGGCTTCTGCGTCTTCTGAGTGGTCTCATCATCGCCGAAGCGGATATCCAGGAGAGGAGCTTCTGTGGTGCGAGCGGTAGTCGTGGGCGGAGTGGTGACAACCACTCTTGGGGGCGTTGTTACCTGGAGATCATAGGGAGTTTTAGAGGGTATTGTCGTCGTCTTCGTCTTAATATGCGCCTTGGTAAATCCGTTTGGCACCGTGGGCGTCGTAAAGGCTGGACTATGTTGTGAAACGTACAGAAATTGTCTCATGCGATTCCTCAAATATCTGGCATAGTCTTTGCTGTCTCGCGACGAGATCGTCGTGGTCTTTGGGGTGGTTGTAGTTTTGGTGGTCGTTGTAGTCTTGGTGGTCGTTGTAGTCTTTGGAGTCGTTATGGTCTTTGTGGTCATGGGAAAAGTCGACTTGGTCTGAATCTTGGGTATTTCCGGCGTTTGCGTGGTGTTGATGTTCCTGAAAAACCCACCCATTTGAGCCAGCATCACCTCAAAGTCCACCAGCTCGTCATTCACCTCTTTGGCCTGCACTTCGTCGTGAGATCGAGTTATGGGAGCAATTATTGTTGTGGTGTGAACTGGATATTCCTCTTTCGGCGGCAGCAATTCCAGAATGAGTTGCGGAATGTCATTCTTCGATGGCAATCCCACTTGGTCAATGGAATTTCCAGTGAATTCCGTGCTCGTCTCTTCGGGAATGAGTGTTGACTCTGTGAAATCTTCAGTGGGATCAGTCCTCGAGGCTTCAGGGGACACGGAAGTGATTGAGATTTCCTCGAGATCCTCAATTTTCTCAGTGGTTGTGAGGACTTTTTCAGAGTCCTCAAGCTTATTACTGTTATTGTCTTCAAAAGGAGGAAGTAAATCTGTGGCTGGAATCTCAACTTGAGGGATTTCTTGAGGAGTTGTTGATGGAATTGCTTCAGTTTGCTCAGTAGTTGTGGTCAGAACTTCCTCAAGATTCTTAATTATCTTCCCTGTTATGTTCTTTTCGAAAGGAGGAATCAAATCTCTGACTGGAGTCTGAACGTCTGGGATTTCTGGGGGAATTGTTGAAAGAATTTCTTCAATATTCTCAGTTGTGGTCAAGATTTCCTCGGATTTCTCATCTTCGAAGGGCGGAAGTAAATCTGTGACCGGAATTTCAACTTGAGGGATTTCCTTTGGAATTATTGATGAAGATTCCTGAATTTTCTCAGTAGTTATGCTCAAGACTTCCTCAAGATTTTTAGAATTCTTATCTTCAAAAGGCGGAAGTAAATCTCTAGCTAAAGATTGAAGTTCTGGAATTTTTGGAGAAATTGTAGTGAGGATTTCCTCAATATTCTCAGTAGTTGTGTTCGGAACTTTCCCAAAATCCTTAACTTTCTTCTCTTCGAATGGAGGAAGCAAATCATTGGCTGGAATTTCAAATTCAGGCAATTCCGGGGCAAAAGTTGAAGCTATTTCTTCCGCCAATTCAGTGGTTCCTTCCAGAAATTCATCAGACTCCTCAGATAATCTACTCTCGAGTGGCGGAATTGTAGATGCAGCATCTTCAGTCATCTCAGTAGTCACTTCCAGTACTTCATCCTCATGTGGAGGGAGTAAATCTGTGGCAGGTTCTGAAATATTAATCCTCTTTCTTTCCAAATCTTCCGTGGTCGTTTCATATTCGATTGTCGTTTCCTCGAACGGAGGCAGTGAATCCTTTGCTGACCCAATTTCAGTGGTCGTTTCGTCAGGTACAAAGATATTGAAGGAAGTAGTTTGGTCGGGAATCTGGGTTGTCACACCCAGGACAGAATCTTCAAAGGGTGGAAGCAAATCCCTGGCAAGTTCTGGAACCTGCTGGGAGCTTCCATTGGCTTCAGATTCGAGTCGAGGAGGGAGGAGATCAAGGAATGGAACTCTGAGGACAAATGTTCCGTTTAGTGGGGATAGATTGTCAGTCCTGGCGTATTTCTCTTGACTACTCACGTCCCTGTTTCTCACAGTGTGTCCCTCGAGAGATTCCTCGAGATTGTCTTCGGGCGACAGTCCAAAGTCGGTCAAGTCAAGTGTCTGCACAACACTTGGGACGATTAGTCAGATGGACAGTGCTTGAAAAAATCTCAAAACTTACCAAATTGCCGGGAAAAGAGGGGGACACTTTCGTACTTCCTGCGTTCGCGGGCGTGAAGACTTGAGGAGTGACCCGCTGAGGAGTGTAGGTGTGCTGAGCAGGCGGAATGTAGGTGTTCTGAGGGCGCGGAGGTAAGTAGATGGAGTTTGACTGAATGGCAGAACCGGAGAATTTGCCATTGGGAGTGTGACTTCCGAATCCAATGAGATTTCCAGTTCCCGAGAAGACAGCGTTCAACTTTCCTTGCAGATGAGAGCTCACTTTCGAGTGGCCTGGAAGATTACAAGAGGAACAAAGAAGTGAAGGACGCAATGTAAAATAGAAGAAAGGATTTCTTACCTGCACCGCTGAAGTCTGCTCCTTGGAATGTGTTTGAGGCGCCAGATTGCTGGAAATCGAGATTGTGGCTGATAATATTGGACTTGGAGAGATCAAATCCTGATCCTGGTTCCGTTGACAGCTCCCCGAGATTTGAGACGTAGATTTTCTGATGAGCTTTGGAGGAAGCGTCGAAGTTCGTGGCTGACGAGGAAGAGTCCCCGAAGGCTTGGCCGAAGGATGATCCTCCGGCGTGAGAGGAAAGACTGGCGCCAAAGTTGCTGGTTCCTGTTGATCCTCCGCCGGCATTGAAGACAGCGGATCCACTCTGGCTGACTGAGGGCTGCGCCTGACCGAAGCCCTGCGCCATCACGAAGTTCTGCATGTACTTGACCATGGTCATCATGTGATCGTGACTCTCAATCCGCTTGCCCAGCTGCTCGTTCTTGGCATAGAAGGCAGGACTCTCGGCGCAGTTGACGTTGTAGTGCCAGTCGCAGACGAAGTGCCGCTGGTTGAAAAGTGTGCCATTGGGACAGAGGAAGGCGAAGCCACGGCCAGTCAAGTCCGTGTTGGCGCACACTCGGAACACCTGACACCTCGTCTCCGTGTCTGCGTAGTAGCCTGCAAAGCGTCCGCGGTAGAGCAAAAAGGCGCGGGTGAGAGATGAAAGAATTACTTGCGGATGTTGCGACAAAAATAGATTCTGCATTAGCATAAAGAGCATAATTCGATGAATTATGTCCAAAGTCAGCAAACCAGTTTCTCTGGCGCAACGACTTTCAAACTGTCTCGCGCGAGAATCTTTTTTTTTCAGACTCTTCATTAGGCTTCTAAAGTTTCTGCGGTAACCTTTCCAATAGCACAACATTAATTGAAGGACTGAGGAATTTATTATATCGCCAAGTAATTTGTCATGAGGCATGAAAATTGCCGGCATCTTTCATTTATCTCAATCATGGTCATCATCTGTGATCCCAGGTAAGTTTGAAAAGCACAAAAAAAAAACATTTGAAATTTGGTGCTTTTATTACCTCGCCAGAAGTCATAACCTTCGAAAGCCCCTATAAAATCACCAATTAAAAAGAGTTAATTTGTGAATTCCTGGCCAGCAATGAAGTCCTCCTTGTGATAAGTTCACAAAAGTCTCTTCCTCTCTCTAGACTCGCGACATGTGAATTAATTTTATCTCAGAAAAGTAAAAGGCAGTTTGTTTCCCTGATCGTGGCAAAATATGCCAAATATTTCACACGCAAAAACAGGTCCATCATCTTCTGCCAATTTTCCGTCGCTCGCCAATTCCTCATCCAATCTCGCGTCCGACAAAGAAATGCCACACAGAAAATTCTTGTTGACAAAGCAAAGTCCAAATAAAGTGGAATTTAATTAAATTACGCGACACTTTTGAGAAACAATAACGCGCGATCCGTTAAGATTATGCGGGGCAGCGGGGAGGAGAGACGCCGTTTCTGGCAATCTTGTTCCGGGATGGGTGAATAAATCTTCTGGCACTCACCGTCGTGCCGGCCTGCGCATGTGAAACTCGTCTGTGGTGGAAAGCTGTAGATCGGATAGTCCACGTTCGGCTCGCCGCGGATGGCATTCCTGAGAAGGCTGCACGGATCCAAAAAGGTCAAAAGACTCCTCGGCACTCTCTTTGGCACAAGCAACTCACCTGATGTCGTCAGAGAAGTGATTGTTGACACCGTTGAAGGCGAGGTGGCTCACATCCCCCCATGATGCTGGTATCGTGGCCAGGAAGAGCAGGAGAAACCCTGGAAAGCGGATGCAAAAAGTCACAAGACGAAAACATTTGCGGAGGCAATTAGTGTGGAAATTATCAAGTCTAGCGTAGAAATTCTTAAACAAGTTTTTTGTCTCGGGATGGCATTACATTTAATTAAAAATGATTAATGGACTTGCTGATAAGGAAACACCATGAGTTTTGGAACTTCATTTGAGAAAGCTCATAATCACAGTGGAGGCGCTTGAAGATCCTTATATTGAATGAAATCGTGCATCTTGTGTACTTGAAGCCAAGGATGAGATGATTTTACTTAGAAAGAGCTTCAAAATTGCATTTTCTTTGCATTCAACATTTTCAAAACTAATTTTAAGAAAAACAGTCAGAAATAGTTTATTCTACTAATTTGTAATATTCTTCATAACAGAAATTAAAATATTGTGACAATTTGTCAACAGGAGTGGAATAAAAAAGCGAATATTGTAAATATTTAAACTCATACATAATATCTGACCATCAAATCTTCCTTTGTTTGCAGCTTAAATTGTTTATTTTTTATGCAGAATAATAAATAAGTAAAACAACTTTAGGCGACTCTCTGAATGATGAATCAGTTCTCTTCTAATTCTTCACGACTTCTTCAGGATCTGAATCTTAAAAAGTGGGTTAAAGCCAAGATTGGCAAACCGTTTGCATTTATTACTAGGAAAGTACAATCACGTCACGTGAAAACCATGGAAGACTAATCTGAAAATTTCCTCTTGCTAAATTTAACCACTCTTGGGGACCATAAAAGAATCAATCTTAATGATTCTAATATAATTTGCACTTTACAAATCTCCTGAGATACACTAAAGTCCACGCATCTACCGTTAGAACCATAGATATATTCCTGGCAATTAATTTTAACCCATTTAGAACCATCGTCTTGATTTAATTTCTCATCGCAAAAAACCCCGTGCCGTTTTATTACAACGCGAATTCCCGTCCGGCATTTATTGATGATGACGCCAAAATATCCGTTGAAGCTTTACCGCTCATTTGCTGGAGTTTGTCTCGTTAATTATCACCTCTTGGATTGACATTACAGAGAATAATGAATGTGTTATTTGTAAGACAAATGGGTAGAAAGAGTCTCTTTCTTGTCTCCTCATTGATGAAATCTCCGCGCGTTTGCAGAACGAATCTTCCTCCTCCGCATCATTGTGATGATCATTGTGGTGATGATGAAAAAAAGAGCCATTCGTCTTTAACCCTGACCTGACGCAATGTCGGAAGTGACTATCTCTCAATTGAGGAAAAGTGAGTCTTTACGATCGACTGTCACTCAAATACCTGTGTTGTGAGCCACGAGCAAAGCTGTTCACCTTTAATGTGTGACTTTTTTCAGCTTCTTCTCTCACGCATTTTTTGTCTGTGCACAGAAGTCAATAAAACAAATCTTTTGAAACCGTCGCGAACTTTTTTGCCTATGTGTGCACGATGTTGAGCAAAAGAGGTGATCTTCACTCTTTGTGCACTTAATGTGTGTCTCATCGCGATGGTGAAATACATTTTTATCCATTTCCACTCTTCAACAATCTAATGCATTCACACTGTATCATCAATCTCATCCATGACTTAATTTTCATCGATATTTTGCAAACGTGGCGCAAGAGCTTGTCTCAATTTGTCCATAAGTTTGGCCGAAGACGTGCCGCAAAAGACCACTTTTTGCATAAACAATTTGAGAGACGTAAGCAGTTTCCTCCGACTAAATTTATCGCCATTTATGCCCATTATGCCTTTCGGGAATCCATCCGGTTCTCTTTCTCCCCTTCTCGGCGGAGCGCGTGCAAGAATCTGCAGTCATCATTTCTCATCATCCCGAGGAAAGGTTAATGAATTTCGCCACGAAGTTACACGTGGGGAATACAAAATGATCGCGGGAGTTTCCCGCTTCCTCCTCCGAAGCGTCCTCTCAAATATTTGCCACAAGATCGTCTGTCTTTCGCATGAATCACACACCCTCAGAGATGAATGAAGAATGAACACATTCTGGAGTCAAGAACTTCTGTTCAGCACTTTGAGTCCTCCGCAAACAATTTATCAAGAAATTCTTAATAAATCACCGCTTTTTATGTCCACGAAAATCCCGTGTGGTTTTTTTTTGGGATGAGAAAGTGAGTAAATATTTTTTGGCTGAACATGAACTCGAGACTCTGATGCGACAATATTTGGAAACTGAGAAGAGCATTAGAAAGCACGTGGATTTTTGCAAAGACTTTCTTCACTGATTGCCTGAAATTTGTACACTTTGGTGGAAAATTATTAAATTGCTTCACCCATAAAACATGAATATTACTGATAATTGCCCAATAAAACTCCTCTTATTCCCATATCAAAATTCCAATGCTAGATCTTACATGCGAGATAGCGATCCAAATGTGGAAACAATGAATAAAATTATGGATGGAATGTTTCTTTTTTGTCTTATGAGAGTGAAGAAAACCCATGTTTTCCATATGCACAAAATATAGTGTCTTTATAAATTCAAATAATGTCCATTAACAGTCCGTGTTTATTCATGATCCTAAACATGAGTGTAGATTTATTTTTACCCGCCAAATTTTGAGAGGCCATAAAGCTGACATCCTACAAGAGAATTACACGCACTCTGCGAAAGCGATTAATGAATTAGTTAGACAATGAATTAATGCCTGTCAGAAGTGAGCCTTTTGATTTGAGCGATCATCCCAAAACGCCGAGTCAAAGGTGACCAACATGAGTGGCGTGGTACGTAATAAATTGAAAGGATGGATCGTGCCAAAAGTGGAATTTTAATCTTCATCTAACTGATGTTCTGATCTCACCGAACTGACCAATTGTCTTGCGTATTTATTGGTTATTTTATTGATTATGTCCGCGCGCAACAGTCAATTCATCAAATCGCCTCAATAGAATCCGCGCACCATTCGCGGTGGACAAATCTGTCTAATTTAGCCGGACAACGCACGCGGCATGTCTTGAAATGCCGCAAAATATGGGCACAAGATATAAAATTCAGAAACCCGGAATTCTCAGTGTAGATGTCCGTGTGAATTAATTATTGTGATTAGAACATTGATGTCATCTTCTCTTTCATCATATTCGGGACAAGAAAGAGAGAAAATTAATTGTGGACAGTTAATCTGCAGCACAAAAGGTGAATAAACTAACATAGGGAAGGCCGGGGCACATTAATCATTTAGTCATTGTAATTTTATTCAAATTGTTCAACATTGACTATTTCAATTTTACTCTTCTCTCGACATTTGAATCAAAACGTGTCCCATAATTTTCCAGAACTTTTATTTTAAGACAAATTTGATCTCATTTTCCGATTTTGTGGAGAATTTCTATGTTTCAGAACCCCACACTCTCCTAAGTAAATTGGCAACACGGAAAAGCAGAATTGAGCGAATGATCATTTTAGCACATCAATAATCATCTGTGATGCTCTCTGATGGCGCTATTTGACTTTGAAAACTGTTGAGACGAAGACAGCTTAAAAATTCATCTGTGCTGAGGTGTCGTGACTTCTTTTTGACACTCAAACTTTCTATTTCGATTCGATTTTCCATTTTATAACATCTTTTATGGTCATCCTCATGCCCATTTCAGACATCATCGTTTTATCGCGACTTGATATTTAATTTACACACGCAGCGGAGACACAACGAATTATAAATTCAGTTTTTGTGAAGGTCGTCGCTTGAGATGATCACAAAATTTCCTTTCGATTGCATCGCACAGAAAAAAGTGACAAATTCCTTTGCGCAATACCCACATTCTTCACGCGGTGGCACACATCCACAGCATCGCGATCTTTGCCGGATCATCTCAGCGGCCTGAGATCTTCATCAGCGATCACTCGGCGATTGTGGGTGTTTCCGTGTTGTGTGCACCTTTTGCGGGTGGGATTTATACTCAACAATGGCATTCAATATACCTTTCCACCCGCGATTTGGACCATCGCGATCGCCGCGCAGAGTTCGTGGATTTCTTCCTCCCCGCGAGAGAAATATGTTAAATTTATGCAAACTTGAAGAGCAATAAAATTCATGAAATCACCATCTTTCTCTCTCGAGCATGTGACAATTGGACGCATCTTCAAGTTCAATAGCGTTGGAGGGAAAACCTGCCCGTCTCTCTGGTCATTTGTCACAAATCAATTTCACTTTTCGTCTTTTTATCGCGTCCGCGTCTGCTTTTATCATCTTCACCTTCACTCTCAATCAGAGTTGGACTTTTATTGTGATTCCCTATTGTAGATAAGAGATTTTTCATTCTTCATGATTGATGCTCTGGAGCTTCAGCTCTGGCGATCTTCATAATATGTAAAATATCGCAGCAATAATTGGTCTCTTAAACAACAAATTAATCTCAGTCGTGAGGCGAGTGTGGAAATGTAATTAATTGCTAAGTGGATTAGGTATAAACACGTAAAACCTACACAACAAAGCGTGTGATGCAAGAAGAAGAAGTGGCGCTTCTTGAGTCAACATTCTTTCTCACATTTCACTTTCATTCTGATAAATAGAGGCATCAATGGATGCGAAGAAGACCCAGCAAGTGGTCTGCAAGTTCCGTATTTGATTGCTCTCTCTCCAACACTCAATTTTACCCATTTTACCTTGAAATGTTCGATTGTTTTTCTTGCCTCTCTCTTCAAAAAGTAATATTGATCACTCAACAAACAAACACTCATGACAATACTCACCGAATAAAGAGATTATCCACATTTTTGGATGATATACAATTCACTATGTGTTGTCCTTTAGGCACAAGACGATTGAAAAGCCTGAAGAGTCACGAGAAGATAGAAAATCAATTTGCAATATGTGAGATTATTATGTATGATTGCTGATCGCGTAAATTCATCGGAGAGATTCAAACATATGAATTACAACATATTTCATGAACGACACTCTTCTGTATTCGAGTGATCGCGAGTGCTTCAATGACGACAAATATTTGTTTATGAGTAAAATAACCACTGGCCAGTAGCTGAAGACAATATCCGATATAAAATATTTATAAAAGTGTCTTGAAGGCTAAGTAGAAAATTCCTCAAATGCGGCCTAATCAACAAGATGACCAGAAATTCGACAATTGATGAGCAAAGTGAGTGAAATTTGAGCTTTCACGCTATATTTCTGGGGCACACATTGCACGAGAAGATCGCTAATTCAACTCTCAATTATCACACTTTGGACAAAAAATGGACTTCGGAAAGAGATACAAACTTTGCGAGGAGCAACACAAGACGCTGATGGTATTCAGTGATCTTCACCCGATCAGGTGGCGTTTGAGACTGATCACTGTGCTGCGATCGCGCATGTTGTTTATTTTTCGGCCACCTCTCTTGACGCCAGAGTGGACAGGAGGCGATATCTCGGATCTTCTGCCCAGTCACACATTCACCTGGGCTGAGGTGCGCTCTTGAAAACCCGCTCGACTCCCTGGACAGTCCGCAGTGTGACTAATGGGCGATCAGTCGGCGAAAAACCCGACAATGTGGTAAATATTTCAAATTTCAAGTGCTATGACGACACTTCATTACCATTGCACTTTTTAGTGGCAAACACAGTGCGATATGTTTCACTCCGTGTGTTTCCCAATGACCTGCCAAGCGATCGTCACTCATCATCATGTAATTGCACGTGAGCAGAGTGATCTTGCACTGTGCGTGATTGAGGGTCAACGATTCCATCTCCAATTATGTCTCCGCATCCATTAAAGCAGCAAATTTTCGCTCGTGTGAAAACTATGAAGAAAAACGCGCTAATTCTCGCACATTCCGCAATCAGTCTTTTTGGCGAGGATTGAAAGTCACTGAGGCTCGGGAAATCATCTTCGATTCTAATTGAACAGATCCGTGATTTATTGTGACGAAGGCAGGAAGAAAAGGCTTTGACCTCCGCTCGCGTAGACAACGATTCTCTACATTCTGCGCTCCATGGAGAATTAATTCGAGGCGTAGAGAATGGAAGAAGTGTGTTGAAATTTGGCCAAAGAGGGGATCAAAAGTGGTCCAAAGTCAGAGACACTTTTGTCTATGCCAATTGCATAAGCATTGCAAACTCTTCTTTGCATTCGTGAGGAAATGTAAATTATAATTTTATTGCATGCTAAAGTTTTGGTGCTCTTGAATTTTCGCCGGGATGAATAAAAAATCTTTTAAGTTAGAAAACCGCATTCTTGAAATAGGTTTCCAAAGAAGAAGTCTTGAGGATTCTCAACTGATGGGTTAATGTTAATGTTCGTCATTTCGGCCGAATATTTCTTCTATCCCATCACCAAGAGAGAAAAGACAATATAATTAAGAAAAAAGAAATAACGAAAATTTTTATGAATAAATTTGAATATTTCGTCGCGTGAAGTGACATTAGATTCGAGTTGCTCGAATGGCAAAATTGAGATTTTATGCTGGACGCGCGGTTCTTACTCGACGACTCACGGAATTATCATCGGCAATTAAACAAAATAGGTGTGCTTATCATCATGTCTGCTTTATTGGGGACAATTTATGGGATTTTAATTGACTGTCATGGATCATCTCGACGCAAGACGACGCCTCGTAAAGTGTTCTTCAGACGAAATCCGCTGGGAAAGAAAATCACAAGCATTGGGTGGAAAATGGTTCATTGTGCGCCAGCAAAGATGATGATTGGTGAGCAATAAATTTGTAAAACAAAATAATTACGGACAATTTTCAACATCTTCGAATCGTGGAGGCGTTTTCATTTCTTGGGCAATTCCGATAAATGTGTTAAATGCACGAGATTAATGTAGGATGATCTGCAATGTATCGCAAGAAATTGATCTTCCGAGAAGTGACCCAGAAGTGAATAAAAAATTCTAGGTTTCCCCGACCAGATAGTTCCGATCGCGCACATTTGCGGGAAAAGTCAAGGAAAGTGAGTGAACGAGAACCTCCAAATCACTTCTCACCGCCAAATATCATCTTACAGTCGCTCTAATTGGCATATTACATCTATCATTTCCACCTCTCATGTGATATCACAGGTAATAACTGAGATTGATGCTAATTTCTCGGTGTTTTTCTGGTTTTCTCTCCTGAAAATATGACTAATGAGGCTGCGTTTGATTGAAGAATTTGTCTCATTGCGAGACTCTCACCTCGAAAAGTGGCAAATAATTGGACAGTAAATCTTATTGACCTGCATCGATGTTGCTTCCAATAAAAGATTCTTCATAAAATTTGTCAAATGAATTGCATTTCAGCGATTTCTGCACACTTTTGACGAATAAATTCTATCATTTTATTGGCAATTAACCGTAAAGATACTTTTCCCGCCAATTGCACTCATTGCGCCAAAATGTAGGCAAAATTGCTCTTGACATGTTTCCGAGCACACGGACTTTAGGGTGTTTCTAATAGATTTCTCATCGACACGCCATTTAATCGTAGAGTTTATTGGAAATTGTCAATGTGAACAGTTTTCCTAACATTTTGCAATATTATAGTGAAATAAACGGGTGAATAATGCTTCCGGTGAGTGGCCAAAGTGTCTGTGCACATTTCTGTGATTCGGGGATTGACGGGATTGTTGGTATTTTGCAGCGCACAAAGGTTTTCGTGGGCAGTGTGCCCCAGGGTACCAAGCCAGAGGATTTGCGTCGCTTGTTTGAGAAATTCGGGGTCGTCACTGAGTGTGACATCATGAACAGGTGCGGCTTCGTGCACATGCAATCTCAGGAGATGGCAGACAGTGCCATTCAGGCGCTGAACAACACCACATTCCGCGGCGCGACCATAACTGTTGAGCGTGGGCGGATGAAGGAGCGCGGCGCTGGGGGTGCGGGAGGAGCCAAGAAGGGGCCCGGCGGCGGAATGATGGGCCAGAGGAACAACATGGGCGGCATGCAGCGCGGTCCGCCGATGGGCGCCCGCGGTCCGATGGGCGGAATGGGCCCTGGAGGCCCTAGAGGGCCCATGGGAGGCCCTATGCGGGGTCCTCCTGGTCCGGGAATGAACAAGGGCGGCCCTGGTGGCGGTGGTGTCAGGAACAACATGAGAGGTGAGTTGTCTAGGAATAAGTCAGGGATGATAAATTGTCCAATTTGTTGTCAGAATATCTTCTGTAAGATCAAAAATCAGGCCAAGAAGGCTTCTGGATTTTCCGCTGGCTGCTCTTTTCGAATTTCCAACAAATATTCTCTAAAAATTACTGTCAAATTCCTGATTTCTGTGTACCTTGAGCAGTGCTAATGAGGGTTTGAAAAGGTAATCAGTAAACTCACGTGTCACTCCAGGGCCCATGGGCGGCGGCGGCGCCATGGGAGGCGGTCAGAACGGTCCAATGCGGCGGGACAACAACCGTGGCAACAACAGGCCGAATCCGTACCAGCGCGATCGGCCAGACTTTGGCATGCGCGGCAAGGGCGGCGGGATGCGCAATGGAATGGAGCCCTTTCCGCCGTTCGACGACATGCTGCCGCCTATGGAGATGGCGCGCGGCGGCATGATGGACAGAGGTAGTCTTGTGAGGAGTCTCCTGACCAAAATGCACTCACTTCATGAGCTTTCCACTCAAGGCATGATGGATCGCGGCTCCATGGGCGGCGCCGGTGGGCCGGATCGCTTCAATGACGACGGATTCGGGTTCAGCAACGAGGATCGCCGCGGATTCGCCCTGCCCGAGCGTCAGATGTACGATCAGGACGGCCCGATGTTCGACGACCGTCGCGATGGGCCGCCGTTCGACGACATGCGAAGAGGCCCGCCGCCGATGCGCGGCCGGGGCGGCGGTGAGTTCGCCGGAGCCGGCGATTTCCTGGGACGTCCATCCGGAATGGGCGGCGGCGAGATGTTCACCCGACGCGGCCCTCAAATGTGAGTTTTATTAATGTTTGAGAGCTATATTGGTTCTTAATTGGCAAATTTTGTCGCTACACCTGAAGAACTGTGCATTGAGGTGTGTTTTTCTGCACTTTCAGGCGCGGCGGCGGAGGTCCGCGTGGCGGAGGAGGCGGGTTTGACATGGGAGACGGCTACAACCAGGCTTTCCCGCCACTCGGAGGCGGAGGTGGCATGAATCGGTGAGTAGAGTGAGTTTTTGCAGCCCTTTTCCAGCCACATTATTCCCCATACGCACGTTCTGATCGCGCTGATTGGCGATTGTGAGTGCTTTCACGACTCACGGAAGCGTTTTTTGATCACCTTGATGATGAATAGTGAAAAAGGATAATTTGCGGATGTTTAAACACTTTGTCATGTGATGTCCCGAAGCGAGTTTAACCGATCATGATCTATATATTCTCCATAATGAATATTTCTATTGTAGCAATGGGCCGCCTCGTAGATGGTAAAGAACATTCGCCCTCACGTTTCCCCAGAAAAACAAACACGTTACGAGGGGAATTTTTGTGAAATTCTCCTCACGGCACGATGGAAAAGATATCAGGAATGATTTTTACAAAGAAATAGTTTTGCACAACCATCAAATATTGGCAATTGATCAAGAAGTTAGAGAGAGAGATTAGCTTTTCTTTAAATCTTCCAATTGTTCTTGCAGAAAAGAAGCTCTCAACTGTAGGACGAAACTTTTATTTTGACATTATTTTGTAATGCAGAACAGGAAGGAGGAGAAGATTAGATGAATATTTTAGGGACATTTTTCACAATTTTTTCTGTTAGTTTCAATGAACGAAGAAATATCACGGATAAGAAGCGGATTGCTTGAAAGTATCTCAGAGTTTTACTTAAGGATAGCTTAGAGAAGGAAAATGATGTATTATATGTCGTTCAAAGGAATTTATCAACTAAATTAAATGGATATAATAAAATAATGGCATTGTCGATGGAAAAGGATGCGATTTTCGGAAGGCAACACAAGCGGAAAATTGGTCATGCGTCTGAGAAGTTGATAAGAAGAGCGTTGGTTAGAGAGCGATGCTGCGTCAAGAATAAGATCTACTCTTCAGTTTGCAGTGCCGAGAGACCATTGAAGCATCTCCATCTGCATAAAAGACTGTTCAATTCACGGATAAACACATTTTATGTGCCACTAATCCATAATTTGATTTTTAGCGAGAGTGTTTGAGAATGAAAGACGTTCGTTCGCCATCGGAAAAGTGCACTCACGAAAGCGTTTTGTTAAGAGAATCGCAAATAATGCAAACGGAGAAGTGAAAGACAGGCGATCGTTTGACAGAATCAAGCTTGATTGATAAGGAGAGCGACTGGAGAGACTCAATTTTAAGTGCATTTAGTGATTTCACGGGATTTTACGTCGTTTAACCCTTTCACGATGATGCGTAAAGTGATTTCTAGTTTCTATTTCTTGAAGATTCTTCATGGTTAAGCCGGAGAAATTCTTCTTTCTTGTGTCTGTCTAAGCATTTCTAGTCTATAATTCAGTCGTTGTGGAAGGGTTAACGTTGATGCGGAACAGAAGCTTGAATTTGACGAAATTGTGTGAAAAAGGGTGAAAGCGGGATTATTGCGATGTCTTAAATGCGTCAGAGAGGAGAAAAGATGAAAGAGAAAATGCGGCCCAAATGCGACTATCATCGATATTTAGCAACGTTTTGCCCCAAACTGAAAACATTGAGTTTTCTCGATGCTTTTGTGGTACGTATGAAAAAAAAAATAAAATCACCAAACATGAACAAAAAACAATCATTTAAGAAAGAATTAATAGCGAATGGAAGCGAGAAGTGCAATGAAGCGAAAGGGAAAATCGTTCTTATCTTAAATCTTTATTCTAGACATTCTAGACTAGATGTTTCTTGAACTCTCGACGTCTTAAATTTTTATCTATCTTTAATTGCGGAATATTTTCTTGCGGCAATTTTCATAGACATTTTAGTAGATTCTTTTTAATATACGGTTTAACTGATGATTCTAGTTACTTTCTTCCGGAGGTTTGTTGTCACTTCGCTAATGGGGATTTTTGTGTTTTTGCAGGTTTCCCATCAAAGCCTTTGACTGATTTGACACCCAAAAGACATGATGCAAAAGACTGGAAAAGAAACTGTCTGTGATTTCTCAGTACAAATCGATAGAAATACATTTTTCTTTTGAATCTTACGTAAACACGAGTGTTTCAAATGCCGCGCCCAAAACTGTTCTACTGTTATACAAACACACGCAGTGCTGCCGGAAAATCCCCAGAGAGTCTCTGGCAGCGCACAGCTGATCTCAGTTGACGAATGGCCTTTGTTGTGTGAAGCTGCGCTACACGTGAGCGCGATGTTGTCCTAGAGAAATTGATTTTATCACTTAGATTCCATCTGTAGCGCTCTGCTTAGTTATCGTGCAGCACATTTGGCAACTCCCTCGCGTTCTGTGATCGCGCGCGATTTGATCTCCCGCAAGAGTGCAACGAAAGCGCGGTGAAATGTTCCTGGAGCAGCTGAAGGCAGTGTCCCTGCTGCTGTGGCTCCTGGTGCCCTGCCTTGGGGCCTCAGAGGGCGTAGACAAGACGGGGAAGCTGGTGTTTGCCCATGTGGTCAGTGACCTTCAATCCTCTGCTCTCGGACGTCCTCGAAATTGTCGTTTGCCCTTGACCTTTGCAGATGTACCGTCACGGCGACCGGACGCCCATCAATCCCTACCCCAACGATCCCTACAGGACGCCCTCGGCCTGGGACGGCGTGGACTGGGGCCAGCTGACCAATGTGAGTTCCATGATTTTTACACGTGGATTTGTGTTTTGTCGACGCTCGCACAAGATCGAATTTCCGGGGTTTTTGTGTGGAAATTTCATCGTAATTTTCTGTGCTAGCGGATCATTTGGATTTCATGGGGTTTCCAGATAAAAATAAGTGCTTTGTTTGGCTTTGTCCTGAATTGAATGACCGCTTGAACTGTATTTGTCTGTCGTTTTGAATCTCCAGTGATTTGCTGATAAGAGAAAGTCTGGCTTCTCACCCAATTTGGCTCGAGATATTTGCATTTTCACTATGTGTGAAGTAACCAAAAGAATGCTTTTCGACAAAACTCTTCGATGTCTTATCAGTGAAACGTGCAAAGAACGGACAGAGAGTGATAAAAGCTAATGCGGAGTGTCATTTAACATTTAAATGCTCGTTTAAATGCCTGGTTTTATCATGTTGTCTTGCAGGAGGGCAAAAGGCAGCACTTCGAGCTGGGAAAGTGGCTGAGGAATCGCTACAGCGAGCTCGTGGGGGAACTCTATGATCGCAATGAGATCTACGTGCGCTCCACAGACGTCGAGCGTACGCTGCAGAGCGCCCTGTCCAATCTGGCGGGCTTCTATCCGCCGGCCGGACGCGACGTGTGGCAGGAGGAACTCGGCTGGCAGCCCATTCCCGTGCACACGATGCCAGAGAGCATGGACGCGTTGCTGGCGAGCAAGAAGGCGTGCCCGGCGTACGAGTATGCGCTGAAGAAGAAGCGCCGGTCGGAGGAGTACAAGGAACTGAACAGGAAGTACAAGGAGCTGTACGATTACCTCTCGCTGAACAGCGGCAAGAAGGTCAACAGTCTGGAGGGTGTTCAGATGCTCTACAGCTGCATGTTCATCGAGGCGCTGCACAACAAGACGCTGCCCGATTGGGCGCAGAGCGTCTTCCCAGGCGACATGGAGTGGATCTCGGCCAAGTCCTTCTCCACGTACTGCAGCACGCCGCAGCTGGCGCGTCTCAAGTCGGGACCCATTCTCAAGGAGATGCTCGAGCGCTTCGTGAACAAGACGGAAGGAACGCTGAAGCCCGATCGCTCGCTGTGGATCTACTCTGCTCACGACGTCACCGTGGGGAATCTGCTCAACATCCTTGGACTCTTCGACGTGAGTAGACAATGGGAATTAAATTTGAATGCTCTGCGTATCTTTTACTGTGCAATATCGCACACATTTCACAACTGTTCAGAATAGAATGCACTGAATTCTCATGCATTTTTCATGAGTTTCAGAAAATTGAGTTGTAGAGGGCTTCTTTTTGGGTCAAACTTATGGAAAGTGTTGCTCAGAAATTCAGTGTCAGAAAATCGATGTCCTTAAGTGTGATGTGCGAACGTAAATTAGATTTATTCGACATATTTAATGTAATTTCTCATGCCCTAATTTGATAGTTCAGATTGTGACGTGCGCAAAATAGATTTTATGCCTCAAGTTTAGGTGCAAATTTAATATATGATGCACTTCGAATTGGCCACGTTGTCAAACGCGAAGCGTGTGCTTATCATGTTCTTGCACAGCTGAGAAGTTTTGCATGAGTCTTCCTGGAGATTAAATTGACTCTGTGCGCAACATGTGAAACATGCTGTAAATCTGGAAAAGGCTCAAATTCACTTGCCACTGACTAGTTTAAGCACAAAAGCTATGAACTGTTTTGCCGCGCTTATCAAGATGCATTGTGTTAATGAGGCTCGCGTGGAAATGTTGCTAACTGCCAAACGTCGCTCTTTCAGCCGCCTCACAATCCGCCGTTCGCCGCGTGCGTGATGCTGGAGCTGCGCCTGTTCGATGGCAAGCCCTTCGTGTCCGTGTTCTACAAGAACACCACGGCTGAGCCTGAGGCCATGGACATTCCGCGGTGCGGGAAATCGTGTCCGCTGGAGAAGATGTTCCTGCTGTACGCTGACTTGCTGCCCGACGACTGGGAGTCGGAGTGCAAACTGCCACTGATGACCATGAGCTACGAAGAGGTCGATCTATCATCGCCATCGTCTTCGAGTGAGTATTTTTTGAGCTCCTTCTCTAGTTAGCGGACAATTAACGTGTCTGTATTTTTGAATAATCCTACAAAAAGGCTCTGATGAAAGCAGTCAGAGTGTCTGGGATTTCTTTGATGCTGACCAATTCCACTCAAACGAAGAGCTTTAAGAGAGTGAACATGAACCAAAACCACCAATTTCAAATCACGTAGAGCTGTGCGAAATGTATACTTAACTACATTTTACGTAGAGATTTTTAATTAAAAGTGCCTGCTGGATATTCTAAGCTGTTTTCCTTATCACTCTGATATTTGCAGAACTATTCCTATTATTTCTCATTAATCTTGTGACTAATCACTTTCCATTCTGACTAACAAACGCACGCTTTTCTGTCTCATTGAAGTCGTCGCCGTGACCGTGCTCGTGACTTCGTGCCTCGCGCTGCTGCTCGTGCTGATGCTGGTCTACGCCGCCATCACGTACAACCGCCGGCGGCACTACCAGGAGCTGTACGCGTTCCGGGGACCATCGATGAGGACGCAGCTGATGTAGACAGGCGCTTCGCATGCTTTCTAATACTTTGCTTTTACTGTTTCTTGTGTGACTTCAAAGACGACTTTGTTATCCATTGAAAAAGACCAGAGAGACTGCGTTTAGCGATCAAATTTTGTTGCGTATCAGTAATTTGTTTTGTTACTCCTCGTTTAAAGGGTGTTTTAAAAGTGCGTGCGCGATTTGTGTGTATGAGTTCAGATAACTTTTGTTACTGCATTGCTATGTTAAATGAAATCTTCCATATCACGGCCAAGTGGACATGCGAAGACGCGTTTTCGTGGGAGTTTAGAGAGCGAGAGCAAATATTTTTCAGAATAGGAAATTGTTGAAGATTTGTAATATTCAGAGAAAGAGCGTGTCTCAAATATTTTTATTCCTAATCATTATACATGTCTTCAGAGTTTGATAAATAAATATTTGGAGATTACCACGAATGTGACTTATTTGCCGAGCGTGATTTGAGGCCAAACACACGGAATCTTACATCACACTCAGGCTCTGTTGACTTGTATGTGGAACTTGCAGGAGGGCATTGATTGCACTTCCGCCGTCACGGTGCTGTTGATGCCCAGGTTCAGCAGACTGCCCCTTATCAGGCCACACGTGAAGGCGACGTACTTGGGCGCGTGCTCCAGATACTGTGTGCCCTGCGAGATGCACGTGAGGAAGCGGAACGCGTTGTCCTGCAGCACATACACGCCCTGGTGATTCGTCCGGAGGTTGTCGATCTGCTTTTTGTATATCGACGACCAGAAGTCCGTGCAGATGAACTTCAGCGTCTCCAACTCGTCCTTGAATCGCGGCCACTCTCTGGTCAGTCGCTCGATCAATCGGTAGCCGGTGGTGAAGCCAATGTACTCCAGGTCAGACAGATCGTTCTCGTTTCCCTTCACCTGTGCCCGGAAGGAAAGTGTCTTAGCTAATATTGTCACATACAGGAGGATTTCTCCACATCTCTCATTACTTCCTTGTCCGACAAGACATAGTTCACAAGCTCAATGTGCAGATATTCCAGAATTGCCTCTTCTGACATGGTTCTAGTGGATTTTCCCAGGAAAACACTCCAAAACAAACACCCAACATAACCTCACACGTCAACAGATAACTGGCACAGGGCGACTCATTCGTGGTGCTCTAGCTATATTACTTTTATAACATGGTTCGCATCTGTGCTAAGCTCAAACATTTGACCTCTTAACATAAGACACTTCGCCTCTCTTAAATGAAACTCAACGCATTTTCTGTGAAACTATTCTTGTTTTACTCTTCCTAAATTTTACAACGAAAATTACAATTCTTACAGCATTGATTTCAGTGAAGATGCCCCGCGCGAGTGCAAAATCCCTCACGTACAAATGTATTGCATTCCAATGATGATTTGTCAGCTTAAAGCGTTTCGCACACAATAATAGAAGAGACTCTAATAATTTAGGGGAAAGAAGCTAAATGCATTGTATTCACTTTGGCGTGCGTCATCCCAGATTTTGCGCGGATTCCTTATCGCCAATCTCCAGATGTGTCAGCGTTCGCACCACTTCGACGCGATTGGCGGGCGAGAGAGCCTGACAGAGGCCAATGACGGCATCCAGAGCCACTTCCGGACACTCCTGCAGAGAGAGAAACATTGAGATTAGCCCGAAAACACTCGTGAGCAGAGGTGCGAAGAGACTCACCTCTAAAGCTTTCTGAATCTGCGAAATGATCGCGTCCTTCTTCACGGACTTGATATTCCTGGACACTGTGGAGTCCTCATCTCGCTGGCGCTCCAGCCACTTCACCACGTCGTCATTGTGATCCCAGAGATACGCCTCCGTGGCGCCCAAGTCCTCCACGAACCACCGCCTGAGCATGGACTGCGCCTGGCCCACGGTCAGGCTCTCCTGCGCGTCCAGGATCTTCTTCACGAACTCATCCTCCAGCAGCAGTCTCCGCAGGCGCCAGTACAGGTACTTCCGGGAACTCCTCCACTCCACCACCTCGCTGATGCAGCCCTTCTCCAGCATGCGCTCCGGCGTGTCGTGCAGATCGGCAAAGTGGACAGCCACAGTGTGATAGACATGCAGCAGAGAGCTCGTCCTGTCCTTGATCTTCACCTCCAACTCCTGCACCTTCTCCTTGTTGTCACCCAAGCTCGCGATTTCCTTCTTCAGCTGTGAAGAAAGTCAAGAAATTGGCATTAAAACCCTCTTCAGGACGCGGAAAAAAACCCACGGAAAACTCACATCCAGAGTGACAGGATCCACGCGATGGATTGTCTTGATGAGATCCTTCTCCCTGAACTTCACCTCCACGATACCTTCGGGCTCCAGGACGCCACCTCGAGACTCCGGATCGGCATAGCATTCGATGTAGCGCGGATTGATGGTGGGATCAAGCACTGCCCAGGCGCCGCCGCGCAGCTCCGCATTGGGCGGCAAGTAGACCAGCACAGGCTGCGTGTATTCCCTGAGTCCGTCCACGATGTAGGCGCCGAACTTCACGATCTGCTCGTACATGTCTGCAAAGCATCGCGCGATTAAAGACACCTCAAAGGCATTTCTTAGCGCGCTTAACACTCACCCTTCATTCCACCTGAGAATCCCCTCCAGTTGGCAAAGATGATCAGCGGCAATTCCTCCCGTCCGAAGTCCTTTATTGCTTGCGCCGTCTTGTAGGCTGAGTCCGGATACCACACCTGTCCAGCCTGCTGCAGAGTCTTCGACTCAGAGTCCATGTTGGCCGGATCGGCGGGCATTGTCACCTCCACCGTTCTCGTCTCCACTGCAATTACGCCCACTGGCACACCACCCAGTCTCGCCCTGCCCGTGACCACAGTCTGCGCCCACGGCTCCATGATCTCCGACCAGGACTCCCTGTCAAAGAAGCCCGACTCCCACTCACCGGGATTGCTGGGATTCGGCCGGCCTGCGAGCAGCCAGCGCGGATCGTAGGGCACTTTGGTGGGAATGAAGCCCACATCGCGGTCCACGGGATCGCTGGGCACCGTGATGGGCAGCTCGCAGCCTTTGTAGGCGGGAATGTAGGAGAGCCAGTGCAGCACGCGATACACACCATCCAGATCCACGGCCTCCGTCTTGTGCGACACGCCGTTGTTGTACATGATCTGCACGCCGCCCAGCTGATTATTGGACGCATACACCATGCGCCCGAGAAGCTTGTTGAGGGCAGCGTAGCCAGTGAGGATGATGTGGGAGTTGTCGATCTGGATCACTCGCTGGCCCAGTCGCAGTAAATACGATCCAATGCCAATGGCTCGGCAGGAGACGACAGAGATCGTGACGATCTCCTCGTAAGCTCTGCTCGTCTCGCCGGCAATCATTCCGGCGTATCTCAGATTCTCAACACCGATGGCGTCCTCCTTGCCAATAATATCAGTGATTTTGTACCTGGGCTCACCCTCGTCCTCAATCAGGATCGTTTTGACAGAGTTCTGATTCGCCAGCGTGCTGTAATCCTCAGTGGTGAGATAGAGATACTTGAAGCCCTTGTCAGGCTCATCCGGATCCTCCCAGGCGACCTTGAACAGCGCCTTGACCTCCTCAGCCAGTCCGATTCTCGCTCCACTGTTGCATGATATGTAAACCTGCAGAAGAGAGCATCTGTCAGTGTTAAGAAGTCAATAATCTTCCAAATTCCTCACCCTTGGTATCTTCTTCTTCCTCGCCAACACTGACGCCTCGTTGAACAAGTAATCCTCCTTCACGCCAAAGGATCCCACGAAGTAGGTCAGATCATTGGCTATCAGGATCATCTCTCGTCCTTTGGGATACTCAGGAGTGCAGATGACTACCCGCCAGGCCACCATTCCGCACTGCAATCCCAAAAAACACCGCATTTAGAGCCATTCATGCGCCCAAAACACACTCAAAGACTCACAGTATTCTCTCCCGGAAGTCTCTGCACCTCTTCCAGCACGTCACCGTTGAGCACCAGCTCAACGCACTCGAGAAGAATCTTCTCCGGAATGTGCAAGTCCACACTGGGTCGCACTTTAAGGTACTCCTTCCAGAGACGCTCAGTCATTTGTCTGAACATGTCGGGAATGTCATAAACGTAGGTCGTGCCGTTGGACTGTGCCTGGAAACGCTTCTGCTGCAGGAAGTCTTTGGTCATGTATGGCGTGGAGATGGCCAGGCCATGCAGAGGTCCCTGCTTCGTGCCATGGCTCTGGAATCTTATCTGTAATGCCAATTAAATGTCAGTTGATAATTTCAGCAAAGAGATACGATAAAGTTGAACTTACCACTCCAGTTTCCGGATCCTTGACTTCGATGTAGAGACTCAGGTCCAGGAAGTAGCCAGAGTCATTGGCAATGCACAGGCGAAGGGCAGTGGTTGGCGATTGAGGTGACTGGCGGATGACCATCTTGAGCTCAGCCTGCAGAACTCGCAGCTTCCACAATCTCGGTCCGTAGCGCATGACCATCTTCGTCACGGACTCCTCAATCTTGGTGGGATCCATGATCACCGTGGGCACGAAGTTTAAGAAGATGTGATTGCAGTCCGTCCTCTTGGCCTGCGGATGCGAGAAAGCCACCTCCAGTTCGTCCATCGCCTCCAGGAGCACGCGCTCGCCCTCATTCTGCAGATACTCGAATGACGCCTCCTTGGTGATCAGATCCGAGTGCCTGATGATGGAGCGGATGAAGAAGCGATAGTCCGTGACCTCCTGACCCTTCGCCACCTTCGCGCGCCCCAGATACAGATGCATCTTCTGATTGGCAGTGGGCAGCGCCTCCAGATCGTACGTGCGCATGCGATTGAGCTCGAGCTGGAAGGCACAGGCTGGCTCTAGATGGCGATAGATGCGATCCTCTTTGAAACAGTCCCTCGCGCGGTATGTGAAGAACTTGGGGAACTGACGCTTCTTCAGCGCCGCAAAGGTGATCCTCCGCACGCGACGCGTCAGCAATTCCTCGCGATGCAAGCTCATGAAGCCACCAAACATGTCCGACATCTGCAGATCATCCATGTCGCCCAATCCCTTGATAGCCACACTCAGGATGTGAATGGGCTCCATGGATTGCGCCGTGTCAATGTCTGTGCCGATCCTGGTCACTGGGTCTGAAATGGAGACGTTGATGGACGTGCTGTGACGGCCATCAGACACAGAATCTGCCGCTTCCACTGCGTCCAACACTTTCGTGCTGACGAAAGCCGGCGAGGCGAAGTCCTCCAGCAGGTCTAAGATCTCATCTGAGTAGTCATGGAAATGCTGGAAGCTGTCGAACGCCGCCATGCAGCCAGTCCGGATGGGCACCTCGAGTTCCCCATTGTCGCGATTGGGATGCGACGTGGGCAGAAGGAACTGGAAGTGCACCAGAGGCACTTCGCCGGACAATTCCAGGTGCTGCAGGCAAGTGAGTTCGTAGGATGTGTAGGCGCGCCGCACGTACACTTCCAGGGCGGCATTGCACACGGCACGGTTGGAGTGGTAGAAGAAGTCGTGAAGAATGTCGAAGATTGAGGTCTCCGAGAGAATCAAGCGCTGGAGATTCTCCGGATGGAAATCGTGGCCGTACATGTCGACGGCGGACAGGAAAATCGATTCCATCTGGTTGTGGCGCAGCTCATAGGCCGGCTGGTGGGCGGCAATGAGGACCTGGCGCGCCCTCAGCGCCACCCTGGAATGTTCAGCTCTGTTGAGCGATGTTAGTTCGCTGAGCGTGGCCGCCAGTTCGTCCGTCAAGCCCGGCTCATTGGCCCACAGGTGGTCTATCAGTAGTGTTACCAGGAGATTCTTCTTCGCCACCTGACTGTGCGAGAATATTGTGTTCACCACTTGTGTCATGTCGTCCTTGTGCTTCTCACGCACTCCCGCCACACACTTATCGTAGTGTCCGTGCTGGAACTGCGACTCCACGGCGTAGTACTGGCGCAGCAGCTCGTGCACGGCCGCCTTCATCCTCCCGCGGATGCCATTCCTGTACCTCTGCACCAGCTGCACAATGCCCTGCGTTGTGAGGAAGAACACATCTCTGTCGGCGCGCTTCTGCAGCGTGGCAGCGTGCGTGTCAATCACACTGGCGATCTGTTGCGACGGAAACTGCGCAAGGACACTCGTGATGTTCCTCTCGTATAGCATCATCAGTTTCTTGATTTTCTTCTCCACCACATTCGGAATCCTGCCCGCAATCGTCGCGATCACTTCCTGCAACTCTAGCAGCGGCAGTGAAGGATCTCTCAGACTCTGCATGAACTTCTCAATGATCTCCCTGAGGCGTGGCGCATTGTAGGGATCAGGAAGGCAGTAGCCGGCCAGACAGTTCTCCAAGATGGCCTTGTAACTATTGTGCACACGATTCAGCTTCTCGGGAATATTGGCGTTCTCCACGTGCGGGAAAGGACTCTTAAAGGGCTGCGCCTTGGTCACCAGCGACGGATCATCGAGCTCCAGATGCCCAATCAATGATCCAGCGTCCAGGACAGCGCCTGGGCGGCGCATAAAAGAAACCGTTCCCGCTTCCTGAGACGTCAGCGTCATCACCATCTTCATCACCTCAATCTCCGCATAAGGCTGGCCCTTGTTCACGTGCGCTCCATCTTCAATCAGAAGATTGATCAGCTTCCCGGCCGAGGGACTTCGCAAGAGTGACGGATCGTTCTCCTTCTCAAACACGCACGTCTGATTGCCGATGACTATGCGATATCTGTCCACTTCCTCCTTCATGTATGTCGTGTAACTGGCGCCCTCGAGCGACAGTAGCATTCCTCCGTCCGACAGCCGGTGGATCTCCACCTCCTTGAAGGAACCATTCATGACCAGGAAGTACGAGTTGGTGCCACTCTTTGCCGCTTGCACTTTGTATCGAATGCTCTCGGAAATCAGCTCGATTTCCATGACGTTCGTCAGAGTGTTTGCCGCCTGAATCTGACCCTTCTCCAGAGACGTCTGGAAGCTCGTGAAAGCCTCCGTGATCTGCCTGTCGGCAATGTGAAGCGCCCCGCAAACAACTCCCAGCAGAATATCAGGCTTCTCCGCTTGCACTCTCTCGGCAATCAGTGCATCCAGCCAAGCCGTGTCAATGGTGTTCTCCAGGAATCTATTCGTCTCCAGCAGAGTAATCAGGTACTCCACAGTCGTCCGGAAGTCACCTCTGATGGACAATTCCTTCAGGGCAATGACCAGATTCTCTCTGGCTTGCTGCCGATTCTCTCCCCATGAGAAACAATGTCCAAATTGCGAGTCTGCGAATTCGTGCAATCCTCCAGACGCTGCCACACTGAAGTATCCCCAGACATTCTTGCTAGAACGGAAGTTCAACTCCTGCACTGTTCCCGAGCTGGGCTTGAAGCCCTCATCGGGATTCTCCGATGTAATTCGAGCGGCAATGACATGTCCCCACGGACGAGGTTTCTTCGACGGGCTCTCGAAGTCAATGACAGATGTGCCCCATGGAGATTCTCCGTACAGCAACCGGATGTCCTTGATGCGATACAGCGGGATTCCCATGCCAATCTGCAGCTGACATGCGGGCAAGTTCACATCGGCCACCATTTCTGTGCACGGATGCTCGACCTGGAGTCGCGGATTCAGCTCCAGGAAGTAGTACTGACCCTCGGGATCATACAGATACTCCACAGTGCCCGCACTCACGTAGCCCACCATCTTGGCCAGACGAACAGCCGCCTTCTCCATGTCTTCAAACACTTCCGGCTGCGCGACAATCGCCGGCGCCTCTTCGATGATCTTTTGATGACGACGCTGGATGGAGCAATCCCTGCCGAACAAGCTGATGGCATTGCCATACTGATCCGCCAGCAGCTGCACCTCCAGATGGCGCGCTCCCCTGGCCAGCTTCATCACGAAGATCGGCGATCCCGGCACCTCGGCCTGCACTTGCCGGAAGAGCGTCGGAAACTCATCTGGCGAGTCAACGCGTCGAATACCCTTGCCGCCGCCACCCTCGGACGCCTTGATCATCACCGGAAAGCCAATCTTAGCTGCCGCCTGCAGTCCCTGATCCGGCGTCGTGACGCATCCGCGCGCAAACAGATCGCTCGATATCTTGATCTTCTTGCCCTGATACATGGCCTTCAGCTCCGAGCCAGACCACGGGAGTGTTGGAATGTCTGCGGTTTGGGCGACGATCGACGACGCCACCTTGTCTCCCAGCGCCCACATGGCGCGCTCCGGCGGTCCCAAGAACACCAGTCCCTTCTTGTGCAGCAACTCAGGCAACTTGGGATTCTCCGACGCGTGTCCCCAGCCAGCCCACACGGCCTGCACTTGCGTGCGCACCGCAATGTCCAAGATCAGCTCCACGTTGGCGTAGTTGTTGTTGTTGGATCCGCCCGGCACAGGCACGTACAGATCTGCCATCTTGATGTACTCGGCATTGGCTTTCAGGTCTTCAGGCGTCACCATCACCACGAACTTGATGGCGCGCTCGTTCTTGAACATCTCATAAGACCAGCGCCTGATTGAGCGCATGCACTTGACAGCGGCAATTCCGTTGTTGGCGATCAGCACCTGGAATCACGAGGAGAAGAAGACAGATTCAGTGAAAGGATTTGGGGTGCTATTTTTAGATTTTTCAGGCAGTCTTAAAGATTATATCAACAATTTGACTAGTATGAAATATGCTTAGCTCATTGTATATCTTGACTTTTATGTATTTCCAACTGATTTCTATTAGGAATCTTCAGCGGTGTACCTTCAAAACTAACAACTTTATTACATCAAACTTCTGCAAACAAATGATGACAATTGTTTTTGGTATTCTTCAGAAGTATGAAAAGATCAATGAATAAGCAAAAATCTCAAGAGATCTGTGCAAACTAAAGCTATATAAAGACGTCACATCATGTCTGTGACCTAGTGTCTCTCTAGCGTCAGTTCAACAAGTGCTGAAAACACAACAATTGAAAGTCATTCGAATTCCATCGCGGAATCAATTTGTAAAATGTTTGGCTAGTTTAATGAGCAGGTAAAACACCGCATTCCGTCAATTAGACTCTTTGCACTGATGTCATGTAGTGCTGGAACAAATATAATCTCTACCATTTTCAATAATCGCACGGTTTTTATCAAACAACACAATATGCCACAACGCAAATTCACACAGACATTTCGTCGCGATTCTCATGTATGGGTTTTTTTTACGGACAAATCAAGGCTAGTGAGACTCTCATTGCGTTATTGATTATATAAGAAGTTTCCAACATGCTGAAGAGAGTCAATATTTATCTTTTATTTCTGGTGACTTTTACGAGTTTCTTTTACCTTATTGATGACACGATTGCCACCGAATCTCTTCACAAACTCCTCAGGAGTCGCCAAGACAAAGTCCCTCTCCTGATATCGGTCCTGCCCAAGGCCAGTGCCATGACTCATGCTGGGTCTGCAAGGAAGACAAGGATTAGTCACTTCACTTCACAGCATTCGCTCCTCCATCCGTCATTACTTTATCCCAGTATTGAGATTGTTCACTTTCAACAGGCTCGAATTGATGGGCAATTCTGCCTCTTCAGCCTTCGGCGGCGCATCCTCACACTCCGAGCCGCCACCGATCTTGATATCAATCCCAGGCGGCAAGACGGCCTCGGGACTGTCGTTTGTCGTGTCCCAAACGCCCTGCTCACCACTTTCGGCCAGAACAAATCGTTTACTCGCCCGTCGCTTCAACATAATCGCTCTAACAATCAATGGCCAAATGCACCCAAACACCATATAACATAATTTCCTGAATGGAGCAATGTTATCTGCACTTTCTGGCACTTCAGAGGCCAGAAACTTTCACTCAGTCAAATTAGCAGCTTCGGAATTTAAATAAACCACACACAGTGTCGAAAAAGGGTTCGAAATTCAACCAAGAAAGACACCTTGACAGAAGATTTTCTCAACATTATTAATCAATTCAAGAGAGCGCACCTTGAAGAACTTTGCGAAATGCACTAAATTGAGTGTAATTATGATAAATTTTCTCTCTCCATCCAAATCCAAGGAAAACAGCTCAGATATATAATTGTTTTGTCTGTATTAACACAAATGTCAAGTAATCTCAACAACTTTTCTCTTATCACCGCAGCAGATCAACATCAATTGTATCAATCAATCATTCTGTATGATGCAAAATATGGCAATTCGAAGCCCCTGAGCAAGATCATTGTCGTCCAACAAGTGAAAACACTGCCCAAAAAGACCGAAGACGCGAAGTCAAAAGAGAGAAATTGATTGAATTCTTCACTCCGGCGGAGTTGATTACTTAATATTATTTTGATCAAGACGAGCGCGCGATAAAAAGCGCGTGGAGGGAGAGAAAATCAGGTTAAGCCAAGCACATTCTCTTGAATTAGTAATAACGAAGAAGAAAAATATATTTTGCGAATATTACACAAATATTTATCACTTCTTCACTCTCTCTCTCTCTCTCTCTCGCTCTCGCTCTCTTCTTTTCCACCACAATTCACAGAACTCCGCACATAAAGAATTAGGTAAGCAGACTAGCCGCCTCGAATGTGGGCCACAGCGGAAGAGTGAGAGGTCACCAAGAAAAATTGGTATTTTGCAATAATTAACAACTTTCTTCTTCAGCTGTGCGCGCGCCCATAAAAGTGTGGTGAATAAAAGCGTGCGAACTGCAAGTCGAACGACCACTGACTGATCAACTTCTTCGACTCTCGCGCCGGAGAGACATTGCCACTTGGCGGGGAATCTCACTGTTCTCCCGCCACGCAATTTCTCCTCCCACCTGCTGAACTCCCGTCGGAGCCGCTCAGGTGTGTTGGAGAGGTCTTATCAAGTGCATTCCCTCATCAGTCAAACACAGAAGGCTCGTCATCTGACAGAGTTGAGAAACGCCGGCTAAAGATCGAGCCGAAAGGGAAGAAGCAAGAGTAGTTGATTGAAAACGAAGAAGTTCCTTTGAAGCTCTCAATAACTTATGGTCAATCCTTAGAGCTGAAGAAATCGCAATTTTATCTTGATTTGAAGTGACTTCAAATAAGAAAAATTTTTGTATTTTTTAACAAATTATCTCTGCCCATGTCATTATGTCGTAATGACGCACATTAGATTACAAAAGATTCATAGAAATGCTGTTTGCATTTTTTTCCTTTTTGCACTTTCCTCAGCCAATAGTGCGTGACTGAGTGTTCTAATTATGCTGTGCAACAAAAAGCAATTTGTGGCTTGTCTCATTACTCATTTTTCTCATTTCCTTTAATTGTAATGATGAATGTAAGATTTAAAAATGTTCTTTGATTGTGCGGAACATGCAAATATTTGCCGAAATCTTCCTTTTCTGTCATTCTGCTTCAAATGCAACAATTGCATTTTATCATAGCGAAACTACTTGAAATTCCAACTGACTAGCAACAGAACTATTCGATATGAGTAGGGAAAACACTATTATTATTGCGAACATGTGATACTAAATGAAAAAAGCTCCACAACTTGAGACACAGCACATTCTTTGAGCACTTGACATGAACTGATTTGCGATATGAAGAACATATCTCTTCACTAAGCAATAATTATTCAATTCAATGTAAAGCATTCATATAAAAAGATGAATACTTAAATTTTGCGTTCGTACCAAAGAGACACTTAAACTATAAGTTAATTGATCATTCGCGTATTTCTTCCTCGCAAACAACTTGCAAAGCCTGGTTAATTGACAACTGGTGGAAACGGAAGAAGAATAAGTCAAAGGTTGTCATACAAATCAAGGCTATCTGCTAAATTTTATAAACAAATCAGTTTGTATTGACCAAATGGAGCATAATTAATCAAAATATTAAAACATTGAATAATCTAATTTATGTAAATGAAAACCACAAGTTTTAGAATAGTTTTAACGCATTTCATTCTTGAACATTCTATATAAACAATCGTTTGAATTTTATGAATATTCAAACATCTCTCATCTACGATATATTCAACTCTGTCGTCGCCAACATTCGCATACAATCGACGTCAATTGTCGATGAGGCGATGAAGATTATCATGTCTATTCAGCGGCCCGTATTTTGTGAACAATCCCAACGAGAATGGAGAAGTCGTGTAAAGTTTTGAGACTCACCTGAGTCGCTTCCGCTTCTCCGCCAAGTCGTGCGACATCCTGATGCCGTTCGTCACGAGATTCTGGTTGAAGTCATCGCGATCCTCCAGCGCCTCCTGGCCGTTCTCCGCCGCCTCCTCGCCCACCGTGAAGCTGGGTCTGTCGCTGTTCTCCGCCTCCATGTCTGTCTCACTTTCACCGTTCTTCACCGAATCGATATCACTCTTGTTCTCAATGATAAAGTTCTCATGTGAGAATTTGACTTTGCGTATCACTGGCTCCAGCACCTCTTTAGCCGCACCACTCGATGTGCCCTCCTCTTCGCCGTCTGCAATGAGAGAAAACACAGCGTGCGTGAGTAAAAGAATTTGTGGCAGAAACCCATCTCTGAGGTCGCAATTACACACTCGACTCAACGACTGCAACCGCTGTTCTAATAGCCCTGCATTCTGAGCCTCTCGAGAACAATTTCCGAAAGCATAGAGCTACAAGTGCGAACAGGCCTAACATGAAATAGCCTAGCATTTGCGTGCCAATCAATCATTCATCGCCTGTATTGTGTGCTGAGTTTGTGTGGCTGGAAGAAGGCAATATAGAAAATCAATAAGAGGTCGAATGCCATCAAATCTCGCTCTACGTTGATAACAATCCACGTGACGCATTAAAGATATTATTGCCAAATTAAAAATTCACTATAATTTGCTCTATAAAACCGTCACGTTTTTCATTTCATTCCACGAAGGCCAGTTTCAACAACAAAAACCAATAAAAAAAAGCACCCGAAAGGGAAGAAAGACAGGCGAAATTGATAAAAAAAAAGTTAAGGTCAAGAGCTCTATATCAATTTTGCGATTACGAGACGATGAGAGAAAAACTTTTAAACTCTTCTATAAACTCACTGATAAGCTTCGGTTATTTACTTTTTAATTTGTCCCATTTATCGCTTTCCTTATGTACGTGGAATTACGCAAGCAAAGCAGTGAGCAAAATGTCATAATTCACACGAGGAGCATTTATCCCAATCTTGAGCTTAAGCTTAAGAATAATTTGATTTTATGGGTGTTTTTTGGTGATTTTTCTTGATAGGTTTTCATGGGAAACTCCAAAAATAGACAATGTTTTTGCTATCACATCAACTGCCGCACCCTGTGACTCACTGATAAAGCCCTCAAATTTGGCACATTTTCCTCAGAGTGCTGCGCACATGTCATTTCAATCAACATCAATTAACACGGCGAAGATAAACCAGTTGAAACTGACCAGAAGAAACAATCGCGATAAAATTCAGCAACTTTGCATGAGAGGCAAATAAATCAATTCATCCTGGCTTAACTTGGAAAGCTCGAAGCTCTTAAAGGCACACTTTTTATCAATTGTCACACTTGGCAATCTGCAGGAAACGCGCACAACTTTGTTTACCATCAGAGGTAAAGACATGCGATAGGAATCACTGCAGAGATAAAAGACTGTCACCTTTGCTGCTGAAACACCCCACAGTGAAAGATCGCCCAGGTGATAAAGGCCGAAGCACCGCCAGAGAGCCAAAAGTAGTGCGATCACTGCGCGAGTGAAACTGTGACTGATCGCGACCTAAACGATTGAGTCTCCTGGAGTTGCGGCCTCTCAACTGATTACCCACCACTCAATGTCACACAGGGTCACAATCGTGGCAGAAATATTCGTATCACACCACGAATTTACATAACGGGATGCACAGAAATTTGGAAGAAAAGTACAGAGGAAAACTCCTTGAAGATGCGCATGAAAAAGCCGACAAATTAGCCACAAGATCAACAGGTGTGATCGTAAACGAAGATCATTAAACCAACATTACGAGAATCGTTAAATTGCGACCGGAAGTGCTACAAAATTGTAAAAGCTCACTAAAGGGCGACAGAATTGAACAAACTGATTTAAATATGCAATGAGAAAGTTAATTATTTTCCTAGACGATCGATAGTTTTTTTCCGTTTCCAATTCACAAGTCACTTTTCTACACCCATTTTCTGGCTAGAGACGAGATAAGAGACGGCAATGTTTGGCTACTATTGCATTAGATCATCGCTCTCCTTAAGTGTCGAACTTCCCACAACACTCAGACTTAAATCTCATCAGAATACTCGCAGTGTGTAGCAATTGAACTGTCTATCATAGTTGCAATCTATTTGTAGCTTGTTTGTCACGCTTTGTTTACTCTACTTATTTTTGATTCATCAGCAATTTAGAAGAAATCCTGTTGCCAATGAATGATTTTCTAACGTCTCTTGAGGAAATGAGCTTTTGAACTCATTCGCAATGACACAATTGACGAGTGTTTAGACTTTAGAAGGAGGAGCATAAAAGTGGGCGGAGCAAAAGAACACATAATAATCAAATTCATCAACAGCGTGTTCAGAAATTCCCTACTTTATTTGTGCACAGCGAGCAACTCGCTTTTCTTCTCTGTCCAAAGTTTCCAATGCTAATAAATAGCTAAATTACCGGAGTTCAAGCAAAGGTTAAGTATTTTTCTTATTTGCAGCGTCATTTCTCAACAAAAACCTCTTGTGGAAGGTAGATTTCGAACTGATAAGCCTTGTAGGATTATTGCGAATGTTAGCAAAAGCCTTTGAGTTTTCTTGCGGTTCACTTGATTTTTTTTTGTTTTGGCAAATTCACTTCTTTTTGCGGCACAATAACGAGCAATTTGACGCCAGCAATTCTTTGGCAGTGCAAAAGACCAACTCTGGGTCAGTGACACCTTCGAATTCCTCTTCTGCACTCACACTCACTCTCCTCTCCCGTTCGTAAATCAATTTACGCGCCAATTTCCCCCACGAATCCCCCAGCGAGCGCCACAAACGGCGCACAGGTGAGGATTAAATATTCATTGTTTTGCTCGCCGTTCCCATTGACAAATCATTGACCCGGGCACGATGAGCAGGAAGCTTTCTGCGACTGCCCTCGGCGGCCCCGGAATTTTTACACACATCGCAAATGCAGGATCCAGGCGTCGGCCCATTGATTAATATGCCACCTCCGCGCGCTCATCTCTGCCCTGACCAACACACTCTCGCGCCCGACCACGTTTTCCACACCGTGTCAATGGCGCGAGCGTTCTCCGCCAATCCGAGGACAAGGTCAGCGTCGAACCGGCACAAACTCAGGCGCAAATCTCTCTCTCGCTCTCGCCATGTGCGTGAATCTCCCGCAAGGCGCTGCACGGGTGGCGAAGGGTGGGGAAATTCCCCGGCTCAGAAGCCTCCTGGCCGCTCCAGAGACACCTTGGCGTGCCCAGCGTGGTCAAATCGACGGCGTGAACTCACCAGGAAGGCGATTCAGGACGTGTCAGAAGGCGAGTGTCCGGGAACAAGTGCACGCGCGTCACCTGCGCGACGGCCACGAATCGACTGATTTGGGCCGCTCCACGGCAAATTGCCCAACACGGAGTGGTCCCATTCCGGTATGCCGATTAAATTATCATAAATTGTGTGGATGAGGAAGAATCAAAGAGAATCAAAGCACAAAAGACGTGCGAATGTCTGCGTCCAGCGCGTCAATAGAGCACAGGAATTGTCCGAGAGATCATCAGACACACTTCTAGATCACCCAAAAGAGGGGCAGAGAGGCAGAAATCGCGTGATTTTCTGCTTCAAATTCGCGAGAAAGACGAGGAGAAAAAATCTCTGCTTCAGACGTAAACAAATGCAAAAGCCTTTCTTTTGCCCTCTCCGCGGGGGAATTCCTAATGGGATGTGGACAGATTCTTACTCATATCCATGACGAAGGCCTCGGTGGTCTGGTGAGGGGGTGTGCTTCCTTGGTGGCCCCGGAAAATGCGTCAGATGATGGAAAATGCTTAGGAGTTCTTTGCAGATGTGTCTCGTCGATGCTCTCACTGGCAGTGTCGTGAATTCACTGAAACCGAGCGCGGAGACACCAGATTCACATAATCACGCTATAACAGAGGCAGCTTTACTGGATTTTCCCGGAAAGACAGATAATTTTCTCAGAGAATCTTCGAGGACACAAGAGGTGGTATTTTGAGGTTACGTACTGCGTCAAATGACCGTTGGCAAGTACAGAGAATGGTCGTCGTGGCGCTGAAGATGGGGAGCTAAAATATTCATGAAATTTATGAAATCGCATGAAAATTTGCAATTTTGCAGCGAAGAAATATTTGAGTTTCTGAGAGAAAATAGGTCAAGGAGACAAGCATTACTTTTCACCATTTGAACGGTGATTATTCCTCTGTATGAAGTGTAATATTTGCATACAAACTTCAAAATTTCATCATTCCCTAAAGTCGCGATGTCGAGATCGCCACTTTTCCCCATTCGGCTCACACATCTTGTTTGACAACACGCGAATCGCGGAAAATTTTTCGTTCTGATGCGAAAACTGTGAAAAAAGATGCTGGAGCCCAATTCTATCAGGACAGAGCACAAGGATGTGATCCACGACGTTGTCTACGATTATTATGGGCAGCGGATGGCGACTTGCTCCAGCGATCAGACCGTGAAGGTGAGGAGTGAGGTTATGTCGCTTTGTTTACATGCTTTTCTCACGGGTTTTCTCTTTTTCCGGGTCTGTGGGGGCTTTAGGTGTGGGACCAGAATGAGCAGAATGTGTGGAGCGTGACGGCGAGTTGGAAGGCACACTCGGGCTCTGTGTGGCGCCTGTCTTGGGCGCATCCGGAGTTCGGCCAAGTTCTGGCCACTTGCTCCTTCGACAGAACGGCGTCCGTGTGGGAGGAGACAATCGGGGAGAAGTCATCACCCACCATGGCACCCGTGAAACGATGGGTGCGCCGCACGAACCTCGTGGACTCCCGCACGAGCGTGACAGATGTGAAGTTCGCGCCAAAGAGTCATGGCCTGTTGCTCGCCACCTGCTCGGCCGACGGCGTGATCCGCATCTACGAGGCGCCGGACATCATGAACCTCTCGCAGTGGACACTGCAGCATGAGATCGCGTGCAAACTGCCGTTGAGCTGCTTGTCGTGGAATCAGTCGATGTTCCGGCTGCACGCGCCCATGATCGCGGCCGGCAGCGACGACGCCACGCAGTCGACGGGCGGCAAGGTGTTCATCTACGAGTCCAGTGAGAACGCCAGGCGCTGGACGAAGGTGGAGACGTTAGCGCAGGTCACGGATCCCGTGCACGACATTGCCTTCGCGCCCAACGTGGGCAGAAGCTTCCACATCTTGGCCGTGGCCAGCAAAGACGTGTACATTTACAACCTGAAGCCCATTCTGGAGCCCACGGGCGCGTCGCGGTTGGAGATCCAGTGCGCCGGTCAGTTCAGCGATCACTACTGCACAGTGTGGCGCGTGGTGTGGAACGTGACGGGCACGATGCTGGCCACCACGGGCGACGACGGCTGCATCCGCATGTGGAAGATGAACTACATGAAGAATTGGCGCTGCGCCGGAAGCCTCAAGTCGGATAGCGAGCGCAATCAGGACTGCGACACTCCGCCAGTCGTGTCCGTGTCGAACGGCTCCGTGTCGCAGACAAAGTACTACAAGAAGGGCACCATCACGCATCCTAGCCAGGTGCCCTGGCACTGAGACGCTCAAGACTGCGCCACTGTTAGCCATGCTGATGAATAAATGGATTATCTTTTGGTAAGCGTCGCTCTTTCTATAGTTCGTAATGAGCAGTTGAGAAGCGGATTCCCGGGCTGTTGTTTCTGATTGACAAGGAACAGTTCGATTTACAGTCATAAGTTCCAATTAAACCTCTAACGCAGGCTACATTAGGTCCTCAAAGAAACTTAAAAGACTTCTCACCAAGCTTCTCACTCAAAAAAGCGAATCCTTTTATCTATTTTATTTATTCACATTTTGACGCTACATTTCGCGAGGCTCCATTTACGAGTTATTTTCTTTTTGTTGTTTTTGCCGGTTTTCACGTGATGCCTTAAACTTAAACAGCCAATTAATAGAGATCTGCTCAAGACGCACCGGGCAATTCGCCGCTTGAGCACAATTTTTGCAACAAATCATGTGGTGGAAATTTTTAAAGTATGCTTCGCTGGATCCCATCTTCTCCTGGATCATCTTGCAGATCTCCACGCAAAGAATTATTCTGTTGAATTCATACACATCCTCAGGAGATTCTTTGCACCCAAGTCTGTGTCTGCCATCCGTCGATGGAGCTTCGTGTTCGGGCATCCAGAAGCTGAAGAGACGCTTGGTGTCATCTAGAGTCTCCACGTAGCGAATGAAGTCCTCAGTCAGGATGTCCAAAAGCTCCTTTGGCAAATTGTTGATGTCAGCCTGGGTCTCGACCGCCAAAGATTCCCAATCTAAGAAAATGAATCTCCACATGTTTTATGCTTCACTTCACGAGCGAAAGTTTGAACTGACTAAGGAAGAAGTGTGCTAAACAGTTGGCTTCAACCCTGAGAGAAGCATTTTCTTACCTGCTGCTGAAGGGCGTTTATAACTGAAACGCAAGGATTTATGAGAAATACTCATTTAGATCTACTTAACCGATGAAGCATGAAGAGCCTCATTCAGAGTCGATCACTGGGCAGAATTCAAGAGTCAAACCACACATTCTATTCCGATCACATAATTTGGATCATTTATTTCAACTTCAGCGACGAACACGACGCCGGATCTCTACAAGACTCCTTGCAAATGATATGATGAAGCTTCTTGAAGTAGTGCTGCTTGCCTTCCTTAATCCCAGACTCGATCATGTAGAAGATTTGCACGCACATCTCTGCTCCGTCGTTGCTCAGCTGGTCCAAATTCATTCCGATCGTCATTGAGTAGTCGAAAAGCTCCGTTGTGTCTTCTGGAGGCTCTTGCAAGGTGTGAAAGCCCTGGCTAATGCCATAAGTGTCCCCAGCGTTCAAACCGTTCTCGTAGGAGTCTCGCCCAATCCAGTTCACGACTTCCTGCTCGAGAAATTCGAGATCTTCCGGGAGCAGGCGGGTGATGCACTGCCTCATATACTTATGAAGACTCCTTATGTGGGAAACTTTTGCCCTTGACGGTTCTGACATCTTTAAACTTCAGCAAATACTGCCAAATATTGCAAAAAGACCATTGCTTCTGGCTTCCCTGTATCGTAAAAGTGTGAATTTTGAAAGTGAAATTCCTTACCTTGGGAGAGAAAATCTACCTGAGCGACAACTGTCATAAAACTTGGGAAAAATCTGGAGAAAGAGGACAGGAGACCGAGTTGAAAACTGAATGACGCACAAGATGTTACTTGAATCACCGTTTCGGCAACTTCTACCGGGAATCTCAAACGTCACATAATGACGACAACTCGAGCGCCAACAGGCGAACACGAGAGTCAGCGAAGGAGAGTCAGTATTAGCCATATTCGCTTAGACGACAAAATGATTAAGATCGCGATGATGAGAAGGAATATTTGTGTAGAAATGAACGCCTTAGTAGGAATATAAACTGACTGTTTCATTCGCCAACACAAGACTACAAAGAGACATGATTTTGGTGAGGTTTTCGTATTTTATTTGTTTTTTTGTACTTTTTATCACATTGGTTTTTTTATTTACTTGGAAAATAATACTTAATTACTAATGTTAAATGGCCAGGATTGCTTTACATGTGAATCCTTGCAAATCGTAGAGATATTAAGCCAATCTAAATCTCTTGGGCGCGAAAAAAGCCGGAGGCGCCGGAGGATCGTCATCATCGGAGTCGTCATCATGGTTGTATTGATTGCCCAGGATTTGTTTAATTCGCTGCTTCGCGCGCAGCATCTCCAGTTCCTCCTCCAGCTCCAATCGCTCCACCACCAGTTCCCGAATCCTGTAGCACTCCTGGATTGCCAAGCACTTCCGAATACAGACGACTCGATGGTAGCGCCGGAAATAGCTCTCGTCGCCCTCGCGGAAGCGGCTGTAGATCATCTTCATGAGGAATTCGCTGATCTTGAAGCCAGAGTTCTGGAACCTCACGGCGTGCTCCTCTTCGCACGAACAGCCAATCGTAGAGTCTTCCAGCTCAAATATCGACGCCAAAGGAACGCCGAACTTCTCATCCGTTTCGCTCTGGAAGATTTCCGCCTGCTGCTCGATCCAGAGTTGGAAGTCCTGCGTCAGGGCGTTGAGATCCTCCTCGGACAACTCGCTCAGGCCCTCCTTGACGAACAAGTGCGGCAGTCTCACAGCCATGTTTTCGAAGCTCTCCACAATCTTCTTACAATGCGAATTAAACTCCTCCATCAGCGACATTTTCACAAGATTCCAAAGATTAATAAAAAAAAAGGCACACAAACTGAGGATCACAACTTGGATGCAAGACGCGTCAGATGTTAGCTGTCTGTGAGATCAGGCTCAACTGGCTTTTGCTGCTACATAAGACGTTCATTTATAGATTTGAGTTTTAGTGTTTCGTTCTCGTTTGCATACCTGCTTTTTGCACCATTTCGGGTTCACTTCTAATGATGGTAATTAACTTTGCAAGGCGACAACTCCTAAGGATTTAGAAGGGACAATTTGTGTCTGAATAGTCTTTCATTCGTAGTTATTTTTCGTTTTCAAATTGTAATTTTAAATTTTTATTGTTTCGCGTGAAAACTTTATTAAATTTCGATGATAAATATTTTTCTTTGAAAATATATCTCGGTAAAGTTTTTAGATTATAGTGCAAGTTACTCTTTTCTTAGAGAACAAACAAATTTTCTTTGAAAAGCAATTCGCCGAGAAGTTTGTGATTTTCCTTCTTGCGTAATTTCACCGCAAATTTTCTCCGTAAATTAAACATGGAAATGAGAAATTGCGAGAAATAATAATCAAGCGGGAGATGGACGGAAAATGGAGTGAAATGCATCTCACTTTGCGAGATTAAGTGAAAATGTTGATATTTTGAAAAGAAGCAGGAAAGTGGAAAAGTTTTCCATGCCACTAATTAGGGACTTTATTTCGCTTGATTGCACGAATGAGTGTGTTATTGGAATTTGCTCAGTTAAAAATTCAAAATATAAAATGACAGCTGCGCTCGCAGCGCCAATAGGGAGTAGTGGAAAAAAAAGTGAAGGAGGAGAGCGTCGGTGAGTTTCTTTGAGGATTAAAACAGAGAATACGATAAAATTCACGGTGTTGTTTTATTCCCAACAAAGTGGCGCCCAAACGTGGGACAAAATGGACAATAATACTGAGTTAACCGGGCGAGGAAAAGTGTTAAGTGCAGAGTTGTCTTCTACACTCGCTCAGATGGCGGAACTCAACCGCAAAGCTGAGGAGCTCAAGAGGCAGCTAGCCAAGGAATATGAAGACGGGGAGTGCTCCACAGATGAGGAGCCTGATATAGGATCTATTCCGACCCCTCGAGGGAAGGCGCAGAGTGACAGAGACTCAGAGTTCCGGGAGTTGAGTCTCACCATGGCCCAGCAAAGCCAAAGCATCGCAAAGTTAACTGCGCGTCAGTCTGGGCTGAAGGAATTGCCACGGTTCTCGGGAGAAGTCGAGGAGTGGCCGATATTTCTCAGCCAATATGAGCAATCCACGAATTCCGGTGGCTATTCGTCGGCAGAGAACGTCTCCCGCTTGGAGAAATGCCTGTCAGGAGAGGCACGCAATGCGGTTAAGACACTTCTATCCATCCCTACGAGTGCTGAGCTCATCATCAACACTCTACGCCAAAGGTATGGCAATCCACGCCAAATGTTGCAGCGCCTAACTGCACAAGCAATAGCCGCAGAGAAGCCGAAGGATGACAATCCGCACTCTATCATCAATTTCGCGACGTTAACGCGAAACATTACTTTTGCGCTCAAGAATCTGGACGAGGGGAGGTTCCTTTTTGGCTCGACTATCTTAGACGAACTGGAGAAAAAACTTTCGCCGCTGATGAAGATGATGTGGGCGGAAGTTATCCACGCGAAGCCAAACTATACACTGGAAGACCTTGCGGACTGGCTGGGAAAACGTGCTGAGTTTGCAATACATATTGCTCCATACTGCGAGACTTCACAGCGTGTGGAGAAGAAGGAAGAGCGGCACAAGCGACCGATGAAATCGACAAATACCAAGCCGGTATTCTTGGCTGATGGCAAAACAGTCCGATGTCCTAACTGTGAAGGAGAGCATTTCATCCCCGCCTGTCCCGCCTTCCAAGAGATGTCCCCGGATGAACGCTTCGATAAGATAAAGGAGTTGGAACTCTGTATAAGCTGCTTTCGACCAAATCATAGAGCGTTCAGATGTTTCCGACGCCGCGAATGTGGACGAGATGGCTGCAAAGATATTCATCATCGCCTTCTACATGGTCACAGCCGCCGCACCAAGAACACAGCCACAGCCATGAATTCCGTACCGCAAGAAGGTAAAGAGGAACCAAAGAGTAAGTGAAGAATATAATTTTGGATTGAATCCTGTAATTCAAAAAGCAAAGAGGAAATAAAATTAAAGGGTCCTGTGGGATGAATTAAAATACTGGTATTTGAGAAAGTGGGAGTTAGAGAAATAAAGGAAATGAACAAGATAAGCAGGTTTAAACAAGTTGTTGTATCACTTCTACTAAGAAGGGAATGATGATAAATTGTGAGGGGAAATGAAAAAATTTGCCCGCCGAGAAATCGGAGAGTGGCCTGGAGATCTTGCCCGCCGAGAAATCGGAGAGAGGCTCAGAAATTTGCCCGCCGAGAAATCGGAGAGTGGCCTGGAGATCTTGCCCGCCGAGAAATCGGAGAGTGGCTCAGAATTTTGCCCGCCGAGAAATCGGAGAGTGGCCTGGAGATTTTGCCCGCCGAGAAATCGGAGAGTGGCTCAGAATTTTGCCCGCCGAGAAATCGGAGAGTGGCTCGAAGTGTTTGTTTGCAAAAGGTTGAAAATAATCAAATTGAATTAGAGAGTTGTGGCCTATAACTATGAATAATGGATAAACTCAACTTTAGAGGGAAATTAAATGACAATGGTTGAGTCGGGATTTGTAAGTCAACTGAACTCAAATAAAATAAAATTAATGTATAATTTCAGGTGGAAAAAAGATGAGGGATGTGATTTCTGCATCGCTGAAAAGTTCCACAGCGAGCATGGAAACAAATGAAACGCTGATGGATCAAGCCGCGGTTGTAGAACGGGGCAATCAGTATCTCGATCTCGAAAACACGACATATATGCATCGCGTCTACGCAGCCGCAAACATCCATAGAAATGGAATCGTCATGTTACGTGTGGCACCGGTTACGTTAAGAAACCCGCGGACCGGAAACACACTGAGTACATTTGCACTGTTAGATTCGGGCGCTACAGTCACGCTGATTGATAAAGGTATAGCGGAACACTTGACTTTGCGTGGAAAACCAACCTCCATGCGGCTGCAGTGGTTAGATGGCGTTGCGCGAAGCCAAGATACGGTTACTTGCGTAAATTTGCAAGTTAAGGGACAATATGAAAAAGCGAAGTGGTTTAACCTCGACCATAGTTATGTGATCGAGAATCTTAAGCTCCCAGAGACGAATGTAGATCGAGAAAAGCTAACACGGAATTATCCCTATTTAAGCAACGTGAAGTTTGAATCCATAAGACACGAGAGGCCAACAATATTGATCGGAGAGGACAATGCTAAATTAATTGCCACTCAGCAAATGGTACATGATGCTAATTACAAACCGGTGGCGTCATTAACAGCGTTGGGGTGGGTTATAAGTGGAATGATCGAAAGCCGGCAAAGACAGAACGCGAGCAAACAGATGGTATGTCACGCATCGGATAATGCAGAACTTATTGAGCTACTGAAACATAGTTTCAGCCTAGAGAGTGTGGGGATAAGGCCTACAGCGGAACCTCGGTTGACCAAAGACGAACAGCTCGCATATGAAATTCTCAATAACACGACGAAACGCATGGGAAATAGATTTGAGGCGGGACTTCTATGGCGAGTACCTCGCACCTCAATGCCTGCGTCAAGAGCAGCTGCCTGGCGACGGCTTCAACAGACTGAGGCAAAAATGGATAGGGACCCCGAGTTTGGACGACTATATGTAGAAAAAATGCAACATTACCTCAATGAAGGCTACATGATACCTCTTGAGGAAAGTGACTCGGCAGTCCCGGCTGAAGAAACATGGTATCTACCACATTTCGGAGTGATGAATCCCAACAAACCGGGGAAACTTAGAATTGTTCTGGACGCAGCAGCTGAGGTTAACGGAGTGTCCCTAAATAAGCGACTTGTCAGTGGACCAGACCTCACGACATATCTACCTAAGCTTCTGATGCAATTTCGTGTAGGTCTGCATGGATTTGTTGGCGACATCAAGGAGATGTTCCACCAAGTACGTATTCGAGGGGAAGATCAAAACTATCAGAGAATTCTTTGGCGAGCTATGGATCGAGACAGAATACCACAGGAATACAAGATGACAGTGATGATATTTGGAGCAACTTGCAGCCCGACAATTGCGGCGTATGTAAAAAATAGAAACGCCACAGATTACCGAGATGAATATCCTGCAGCTGTTCAAGAAATTGTTGATAAACACTTCGTTGATGATTATTTGGGCAGCAGCGACAGTGTGGATGAAGCAGTGCAACTTATCCATGAGGTTGTGGATATACACAAAAAAGGAGGATTCGAAATAAGAAACTTCGTCAGTTCTTCTCAGGAGGTTCTAAAGAAAATACCATCAGAGATCCGGTTGCAAAAATCGATGGTTGACCTCGACTTAGAACCTAAATTTGAAAAGGTTCTTGGTGTATGGTGGGAGCCATTAACTGACGTCTTTTCCTTTAGAGGTCAAACGGACATTCCTCTGGACACAACACCGACAAAACGTCAAGCACTGTGTACATTAATGAAAGTATACGACCCAATGGGATTCGTGGCGCAATTCATTATCAGGGGCAGAATCATTCTACAAAAAATCTGGCGAACGGGGATTGAATGGGATGATCAGATGCCTTTTGAGATTTATCAAACGTGGCGAGGATGGGTGGAGCAGTTACAGTGCCTAGAAGAGGTGGAGATTCCGCGCTGCTACGCACCAATCCACATGAAAAGGGGACGAGTTGAGTTACACACATTCACTGATGCCAGTGAGGATGCGTACGCGACAGTGATTTACCTTCGCTTCATAGTCGACGATCAGATTCATGTGTCACTGGTGAAATCAAAGGCGAAAGTATCTCCGCTAAAAGCGGTGTCGATTCCCCGACTGGAACTGCAAGGAGCAGTTATAGGTTCCAGATTGGCCAGTTTTGTCGCAGCAAATATCGGGATAGCAATCCATAGGAGAATATTCTGGACGGATTCAACAGTGGCTCTTCACTGGATCAAGTCAGACTCACGCAACTTCAAGCCCTTCGTCGCCAATCGAGTGGGAGAAATTCAAGAAGTGTCTGATCCTGCTGAGTGGCGCTGGGTACCCACAGATCTGAACGTTGCTGACTTAGCAACAAGAGACAAAGGATCAACGGACTTCGCCCCGACATCTGTGTGGTACCGTGGACCAGAGTTTCTCCATCAATCAGAGAACACGTGGCCAAAGCAGCGAGAGGAAGAAACGCCTTTAGTGGCGATAGCGGAAATAGCAGAAGATACGCAATTCAAATCACCGATGAACAGCAAGAATTATGTTAAATGGCATCACATGCTCAAGGTCGCAGCATTCGTCTTCCGTTTTCAACGGGCTTGCAAGGAACGTTGGAGAACGAAATGTAACAAAGAGCACCGGAAGATTGGAACTTTAGACGCAGCCGACTGGAAAGGAGGTGAAGAATACCTGATAAAAATCGCTCAACGAGAAAGTTTCCAAATCGGCGGGGTGATGGAGGAAGCTACGGATACGACAAAATTACGTCCGTGTATTGTTGACAAGAGCAGTGTATTATACAAATTCAATCCTGCAATCGACCAGAAAGGATTCATCAGAGCGGATGGACGACTACAAAGGATGCCCCGTGTGTCACCAGAATTCAGGAACCCCGTCATCTTACACGCGGGCAATCGCATTGTACAGTTAATGTTAAATTCTTATCACGAGCGCTTGGGCCACTGGGGGGCAGACCATACCTTAGCTGAATTAAGGACCAGATTTGAGATAATCAAGGGAAGAGTCACCCTTAAAAAGCTGCAACGTGGATGCAAAATATGTCAGATTGCGAGGGCAAAACCAAGAATCCCCATTATGGGACAATTGCCACCAGAACGACTTGAATCGCATGTAATCCCGTTCACCTACACGGGATGCGATATGTTTGGACCGATAATGGCCAAGGCTGGAAGAAGTGAGGTAAAGCGCTATGGGATGATATTCACCTGCCTAGTCACTCGGGCAGTCCATCTTGAGTTGTGTACTTCTATGAGCACGGACTCTTTCCTAATGGCGCTTCGAAGGTTCTTCGCACATCATACAGTACCCAAGAAGATAATGTCCGACTGCGGAACCAACTTCCGTGGAGCCAAGAAGGAGTTGGCGGAGGAGAGGTCAAAGCTTAATTTTGAGGACGTCACCCAAAGAATGGCTCAACTAAATGTAGAGTGGGTTTTTAACCCACCATACGCACCCCATATGGGTGGATGTTGGGAAAGGCTAATTGCATCTGTGAAACACGCGCTGAAGATGTCTACAGAGTTATCAGCACACCCTCCGAGTGATGAAGTACTTGCAACCTTACTCGCAGAAGCTGCTAATATGGTGAATAGCAGACCTTTGTTGGAGTTATCAGATTCCGGAGAGTCTTTAACACCGAATCATTTCCTGCGTCACCATAAGTCGTCTCTCACATCCGGCGGATCCTTCGACGACAAAGATTTGGTGCTCCGCAAAGAGTGGCGGAAATCCCAGAGACTCGCCGATCATTTCTGGCAGATTTGGACAAAACATTACGCGCCGACACTGTCAAACCGACCAAAATGGAGAGAGTCTGAAGAAACAGTGAAAGTCAACGATCGTGTCGTAGTTATGGATCCGAATCGCCCCAGGAACTACTGGCCGACCGCAAGGGTGATCAAGATAAGGCCGGGCTACGACAAGAAGGTGCGTGTAGTGGTCATAAGGATGGAAGAGGATCAGAAGGAGTATACACGTCCGGTGACGAGATTAGGAGTACTGCAACCGCCAATGCTGACCCAAGATTGAGACGTGAGCTTGGAATTGGGGCTCTAAAGGCTCCCCAATTCGAGGTGGAGTGTTATTGGAATTTGCTCAGTTAAAAATTCAAAATATAAAATGACAGCTGCGCTCGCAGCGCCAATAGGGAGTAGTGGAAAAAAAAGTGAAGGAGGAGAGCGTCGGTGAGTTTCTTTGAGGATTAAAACAGAGAATACGATAAAATTCACGGTGTTGTTTTATTCCCAACAGAGTGCCTGCTCAAAAATGCATTGCATCTAGATGATAAATACTCTCTCTGCTTATGCTTTTATATCTGCGCATAGAATTTGGGGGGAAAGTTTGAAGTGCGGCGTGGAGAGATATCAGAGTGAGTTTTCCTATGAATATTCCACATTAATTCACCGGTGCATTCGATAAACATTTCGCAAAACTAAGTGGTGCAACAGAATGGATTCCGATATAGACATGCTCTCCACCTCAAAACGATGCCGAGATTCGCATTTTGTGGGGCATCGGGAACAATTCCCCAATGTTTGCGGGGTGAAATATGCGGAGCTCCCATCGACTGTAGAGTCATTAGTGTTTTGGGGAAGATAGTTGAGATTACTCCAACATGGCAAACACACATTTCCCGCTTAATCCTCGCCACTGGAAGAAATAATCAAGCTCTGCCTCACATTTACGAATATTTCAGGCATCCGAGAAATGATGCTTTGCAGTGGCAATCGAAATGGCGCAATAGGTGTGCTCTCGCTTGCCTTTTCGATGTAGTGCGCCATCCAAGAGATCAAGCGGAGAGCACATAAATAAGCCTCTTGGAATACCTCACTGCCACCCTATCTCTGGCCATAATTCCTCCCCACGCTCACACACATGTTTCGCAATTGAAACTTGCAGAATCTTCACCCGCCCTCCCGAAAAACTTGCGCTACAGCGCCCATAACTCACTCTTATCGCGGAGTGATTCTTGTCGTTACGTTTTTAATAGCCATCCCGCAAGCAATGGTCAATAAATTCCTCCTTCGCATGCCCATCGGAAAGCACCCTATGCACGCACAGTGGCGCAAGATTAAGTAGCGCTTCCTGGAAAAAACGGAATTGAGAAACTAATTACGTATAAATTGGCATTTTATGAACTACTTTTAACGACTTTTAAAAATTTAACAATGCTAAATGCATTCTGAATGATTCTAGAGAGACTCTTTAAAGCTTGTTTAATAATATTTGAAACTGAATCAGATTTCTGTTGGTTTTCTAGTCATCTGCCCTGTCAGTTCTTATTTGTCGAATCGCTTTTTAATCGTCGAAACGATCAAAAGCTGACACAATTCAGTGAATGAAGTAATTTTCCGTGATCTAGTCAGCTCACGCGACAAGATACTGTGCTCTTATTCAATTTTCACTAACTGTAATCCGACCCTCGGTGAACATCATTCAATAAATATAAAACATTTTAATTTGTAGGTTTTATTTCCATCTCACGCTTTTGTTGCTCGGCCATCGCTGAGCATCCCGAAATTCCGCACTTTGACCTCAGCGCTGATGGGATGGAAGAGGTGTTCCGGGGACGAAGAGCCCCATCAATAAATCAAGGTGCACGCAGTGGAGGAGCTCAGCTCTTTTTTCCGACCCTCTCTCGAGATGGGGATATATTGTAATATCCGACTTTCATTTTGCTAAATTCCTCTCTCACATTATTGAATTTGCTGAGGAAATACAATTTTATTTTCACTTGAGGGAGAACCAGGAAATCCGAAGGGGTTTCTGTGTGTCTTCGGTTTTATCGATTTGGCCCACAAATTAAATAAGTTTTCATGCGAGGGGGGAAAAGGCGCAGGAAATTGCTAATGGAGCGAATTTGTGAAGAGATTCTCACTTTCCGCAACAAAATTTAAAAGTTATCAAGTTGAGGAGTGAAGCGAGACATTTTTCCAAAGACATTCATTGTCTGTTGTTGCGGAGACTCACTTTAATTTCAGTGACTCCTTTGTTAATTACCAAATCCTCATTTTTACCTGCTCTGCATACAATTCTACTGTCGTTTCACATTTATTTGGAAGTCACAGCAAGACTGCAGAGAATTTTGTTAACATTCGTCAGGGAGCATTTGAAGTGATCATTTGAACAACGCTCACGATGGAAGATTCGGCGAAGGTGGAGGAGGAAAATCGCGTTCTTTATCGCGCTTGGAGTGCAGACACAATTGTGATGGAGAATGAGGATGACTTGTTCCTCGTGGAAGCAGACGATCCCTTCAATCTTCGGCGGGACTCCCAAGAGACACTCTCAGGGGACATTTACGATGACTTCAGCGACGTTGAGCTAGAAAATGGGGAGAATTCCAACGAGAATACTCTTCTTCAAGACAGTTCCGATGACGATGATCTGCTTGGCTTTCCTCCGGATGTGGATTTGGATGAACTTCGCGGCATTTCTTCGCGGACGAAAAGACGCCGCAGTTGTGAGACTGATGATGACAAAATTGAGCATCTCAGCGTGGAAATTTCTGCCAAAATGATGAAACTGGAGAAAATGGATTAATTCAGACTGTGGTTCAGTGCTGCCGAAAAACAGCTAGTTTAAAAATACACTCAGCTGGTGTTTGTGTGTGTATGTGTGTGTGTGTCGAAAATTATACTGTTAATAAAGCAACTTTTTGTGCACTTTTTTCCTCTCATTTCCCTTCACTGGGGAATTTTCGCGCGATGCGCTAAAATTACCAAAAGTCGCGCATTGCGAGATTTGCTAAGAATGTTATCATTTCGTCTCGGAATATCATTTATCTCCGGAAAATTCCCAGGAGGAGAGCGCGAGTGGAACATTAAGATCCGGGTACATTGCACCCTTGTCTGGGTGAAAAGACGAGCAGAAGAAGAGAGGAGAAGTTTTCAGCATTTACAAGTCTAATGTGCTAAATTTAATTTGGCAAACTTTTTCTCTCGACGACGATGAGACAAATTGAAAATTCCTCGAGTGAAAGAAAAACATATCAATGATTGAGACATCATGAAGTGGAAGAGATGCTGAAAAATTGATTAAGAACACATTTAATCTATAATTCAAACACTCTTCATCTATTGTTCTTCAAACTTTTTCCACTTTTCCATCCAAGAATGGTAATTGAAAGACCGCCTCGACCATCGTCCGCGAGGGGTTAATCACTAACAATCACAGATATTTGGGAGGTCGAGCGAGAATAGTGGATTTTGGACCACGGCGAAGAGGAAATGATTATCAGGGCGTGCGGCAAAGTTTGGGTGGAGTGAGAAGAAAGTAAATCGGAAGTGTTTGAAATCGAAAAGCAAAACTTTTCCCATGACTTAACTGAATTGTTGAGTGTTCCGAAAGACGAGGGCGAATTACACCGGAAACTTTTCATTCTACAAGACACATTCATGATCGTTTTTTTTTCTCTCTTTCGTCCTCGTCTCCTCGTATTGCAAAGGAGAATATCGGAGAAATTTGGAGGAGAGACGGAAAATTGGTCCAGTTTTGGTGGCGGTTTTTGTCCGCAATGGAAAATCTCTGGAATGTGTGTGGCTGAGAAAGTTTTCTCAGGGTTGTCGGCAAAACCGAGTCCGAAATTCCGCCTGTCTCGCTCACACTGACTCAAAAGGATGCGGAGAAACTTTTTTCTTGCTGATGCCAAAGTCCCAAGTTAAATTGATCCCGTAAATAATGCCTTTCGTCCCATAAAAACGAAGAGAAAAAAAATGCTCATCAGAAGATGGAAAAAAAATCTCCACTATATAGAAATCTCATCGACAAATTCAGATTGCAATTTTATTAAGTTCACTTGACCGTTAGACTCTCCATTAAACACCACTAATCTTGAGGCAGCTTTTATAAGTTTTCTCGACATGAATTTCCCCGTCGGAACCTCTTTATTTGACCATTTTTTCCCCAGCAGGAAAGAAAACCCTTTTGTCACGGTAATGTAATCTAAAGGGAATCTCATGCTAAATACTGAGGGAGACAATTTAAATATCGCTTTGAGGACGATAAAAGAGGCTGAGGGAGAATTTTATGGCTCTTATCTCGGTGAAAGTCTTTCTTTTCTCGCTTCTCACACCTTCGATGGACATCATGTGAGCTGTGTATATCCTGTCCCTCAAACCCAAGGCTGGGGACCTCGAAAAATTGCGACAATCGACCTCTGAAGGGTGGAGAACACTAAACTCCGATTAAGAGAGTCACTTCTTTGAGACGGACAAAGAGTTATTCACATTGAAGTTAGGTTAACCATCAGAAACACTCAAAGATCAAATATCAGGTTACAGAACTTCAAAATCTTCCCAAAGTCTCACTTACAACTTGTCAGACACAGGAGTCATTAATAGAATTTATAAATTTGACATCTTATTGTTGAAATTGCGTTGGAACGAGGATTGGAAATATTTTACGTGTATTGATTATAGGATCGAAATTCGTAAAGTTACATAGATAGGATCGTTAATTGTCAATAAATTGTTGGCTTAGCAATTACAGAGGGCAGATAAATTGGTAAGATGTGACAAATTAGCATGACCGAATCGACCGAATGATTTTTCCATCTTGAATTGAGGGTGGGACAGGGTGAAAAATGTGAAATTTCAATTATTCCCCTTCCACCTGGGCAGAATGAGCGCCCGGGCTTCCATCGTGTGTACGTTTTCCACCCATGGACCCCTTTTTGATTTAAATTGATAGATAGGACCGGGATGAGGGTGGGCCCTGAATAAATGTGCGTATAAATGGTAGGCACCATTATCTAGTCTCTGCACATTTATTTGCCAGCATCGACAAGCCCTGGCCGGTTTTTCGGGTGTGTTGAGTAGGTCTATCATCAGTTCGGCGCCCGCTGCGGCCGTGGGGGTGGTTCCACCCCGGAAGAGGGGCTTTTCACTGCTCACTCCCGCACCGGAAAATGTGCACCGTGTGTGCGGCGCGGTACAAATGAAAATGTGTTGATTGCCGCCCATCCTCCGGGAAACGCGCGGCGGAGCGCTGATGATCTGGGGCGCGCTGCTCCAATTGCAGGGCCCCCG